TCTAGATGATGCTTTACGAGTTAATCATTGTCTTTGCTTTTTAACATTTTTATGAATTCCTTATCTCACTATTTCCCATTGAATCCTCAGAGGTACATAATCAGCCTCATGTTCTTATTATGAGTCTTTGTTTTGTTTTTATATCGTGTTTTATTTGATTCTATTTCATGTCTTTATATTGAATACGTACCCTTTGTCAAAGGAGCCTCTTGGCACAGGATTCTCACATGATTGTACTTGTTTAACCCGGAGTGACAATAAACAACCTTGAATCTTGGAAACTTGAATCACAGATGGTGGGCGCTCAGAGGTGTCCGCAGGGCTGGACCTATCATGGAGGCCGCTGTTACGTCCTCGGCACTGAGAACAAGGTCACATGGAGCACAGCTAGCAGAGCCTGCAGGGAGAGGTACACTTTCACAGGGAATAATGTTTAAAAAAATAAAAACGACTACAGGATAATTTTAGACTGAGAGCACAGTCACGCATGCTTCTGATGAATTGCTTGTTACCCATTAAAAACTGTGTAATTGGCAAATTATCTGCATGACCAAATATCCTTCAGAAGACACAACTTCCCTTGTCTGTGTGATTTTAGATATAAAGGCACTCTAGCAAGCGTTCTCTCCAAAGCCGACATGGACTGGATGTGGGACTTCAGTGGGAGAAAACCCTTTTGGATCGGTGGGTGCTTCTGATTTAACCTTCACAACATGGATTTGTTTATAGACTATTTTATTGGGTGAGACAGCAAAAAACATGTCAATCATCCCCAGTCCAGTGGTCAAAAGAGGATATAATTCTCACCATAGAAGGTAATGAAGAGGAGATAAATAATAACAACACTAATCTTGAAGTAGAACAGAAAGGCATGGAGCTAAGTAAGTACATTGAATAAAGACAAACACATGCCATTTATTTATGGTAAAGCCATTATTTAATCTTAAACCTTTCAAAGAAATATTTGTAATTTAATTTTAAAAAGCACTCAGCTCTTGAATGTTGCTCTATCCCAAGCGGAAACCTCTGGTGTTGAACAATGAAGCAGATGCTGAAGTGTAAAATTCTGCAATTCCTCGAGTCACCACTAGAGACTGGCTGCAGAAGCACAGGAAGTCACATACATGCCCATTCAAAAAAGCCTGTTTTTACAGCATAGATTAACATGTTTACAGCCTGGTTCAAAAACCAAATACCGTAAAAATCCGGAATATAAGTCGCACCGGTATATAAGACGCATCCTGTTTTGTAGGTCTCTTAGAGAGAAAAAAAGTTTAAACTGTCTTCCTGCATGACGATTTATATTGTGTTCAGCGATGTCTACAACGTGCAGTTTCTGTGCAGTTGTGTCGTTCTTTTAGTTCTGTCTGTTTTAACTTTTGGGAGTTTGCGCTCCTACTAGCTACAGTACGGTAGTTGTAAGGCACAGACTCCGAGCTTGCGAGTCGCGCTGCCCGACTCCGCTGGTCACTCACTTTAATATAGGACTCTTTCAATGAAAAGAGCACTCCACAAGGTTTATTTACGGAACAATATACCACTGTAAAAGTCGCGCAGCCAGCCTGGTCTGTGTCGCCGTCTTTCCCAGCATAGTGTGCACTTAGCTTTCAATACACGGGGAATGGGGATGGGTTTTTAATCGCATCAGGTCGCAGTGATAGGGGCTGCGTCACCTGCGGTAATGACGGCGCGTGTTTCAGTATGTTATACTGGTATATTGGTCGCACCGGTGTATAAGACGCAGCCAACTTTTAAGACGAAAAAATAGGTATTAAAAGTGCGTCTTATACACCGGATTTTACGGTAGGTCTAATTAGCTCATGTCTTAATCGACACACACTGTACGGGGGGTGAATTTATTGATGACTCATCAGTTTTGATTTAATGAAGGATAAGAGTTATTCACAATAAGGCGTATAGCTGACCTGATTGACAGGCGGGTGCGGTGTAACGGTTTCCGCCTGAGCTCCAGCTCTCAGCCTGTCGTTGAGCTCTCGTCTGGTCACTTTATCAACAAAACATGAAAACAACAATTAATCAAACACAAATCACGTTCTAGAAACCAAGCTATGATTGAGCTAAACTGTAGCACGGATGGTGTGGAAATTTGACGTTAGGGCTTAGTGTCTCATTTCAGGGAGTGCTGCTAGACCCTAAAAATGTGTGCTGCTGCTTCCATGGGACATTTGGGAATAACTGACATTTTTCATTTTTCCTTTGATCTTCTCCACTGAGTTGAAAAGCATCATTAAAAATGATTCATACTCTGATAGTCTGACTTATTTCCTGTTTTTAAGGCCTGAACGACCGGGAGGGCAGGGGACGCTGGGAGTGGGCGGGCGGAGAGTCGGTCAGCTACACCAACTGGAGGAAGACCCCGCCTCGCTCAAAAATGAAGGGCAACAAAAAGTGCGTCCTCGTGTGGAGGAGAGCAAAGTGGCAAATCAGAGACTGCAAAACGAGCAGAGGCCATCGCTTTGTGTGTTCACTGAAGACATGAACGTGAAACACAACATCACAGCCATGAGCCACTGTGTTGTTACAGAGGAGGAGTGACAGATCCTCAGGACGTTTACACCGCAATAACTTTCCAATAAGATCAACAGAAACTTCTCTGAAACTGTTTATATCATTTATAATGAATCTATAATGTGACAATTATCATTTCAAAAAAAGCTAGGTACTACGTGATGCTGTTTACACTCATTTATTTTAATTAACCACTGAAAGTTTTCGTCTAAATGTAAAGATCACAGGTTGTTTTTTAAGATTTATTTGAGGGATGACTCTCTAAAAGTGGAAAATATAAAATCATCGACCCCGAGTCGACATCTTCTCAGACAAATCTCTGCACTTTTGGGGTTTTTTGCTGCCATGTTGCACACAGAGCATTGCAGCCGCATCGACATGACAGATTCTAAACTTTACCAAGTCTAAAAATTATTTTGTGTTGTAGTCAAGACCAAGACCAAGGCATACCCGAGACCAAGACATACCCGAGACCAAGACATACCTGAGACCAGAGTGCTCTGAGACAGAGTCAAGACCAAGACCAAAAATATCACTGAAGAATCATCTTGTGTGCAGCAGGCGTGTCACTCACTTAGACCGTAACACCGGGAAGGTTGCGGTCATAAGAAGGGGATAAAAATTACTACAAATGGTTTAAAGTTATTTGTTCTTTTAGAAAGAGGTGTTTTCCTTCTCATCACAGTAATGTTGTGGAAAAATAGCAAATCAGTGGTGGTCTTGACCGGTTTTGATTTAAAATCTGGAGTCCGCCCAGCCTGAGACCGAGACAAGACCGAGTACATATGCTTTCGATTCCGAGACGAAACCTTCAAAAAGTGGTGTCGAGACCAAGACTGATACCGGTACTACAACACAAGTTTTCATCATTCACAATTTCTAATGAAACCTCTGCATATTATTCAGGAGCCCAAAATTAATCTGCAGAGGTCTCATCCTCTTCAAAACAGCCAGACCTGGATTAGAAATGGTCTGAATAAAGCGGTTTCATTTTAAAAATATCTGAGGTTTTTCAGATTTGTTTCTCTTGAGGGCATGTGATGTTAAAAGGAGGCTGGGAGCTGAGCAGCTGCCGGCTCGTTTTAAGGTAAGGATTCCTTCTTTAATCTAATCACACTCAAGTTTACTGGGCCAAGAATTATCTCATCAGTTGCTTCTGCTACCAAACAGACAGATCCCGTTATAAAAAACCAGTAAAAAACACTAAATGAGGCGGTTTGATTTTAAAATCTGTTTCTCCTATTCTCTTCTGCATGGTTTTGGGGGCTGTGAGCTGAGCTGCTGCTAACTTTAGTACACTTGCAATGACTGGTACTTAATTTTAAAGGTCACATTCTTCTAAATCCACTTCCCCATGTTTCTCTAACACTAATATGTGTCTCTAGTCTGTGTTCAAACCCCCCAGTGATGAGATAAGTCCATCCTCTCCGTCTTCTGCCTGCGCCACTTTGGCAGAAGTGCCTGCCTGCTCCACCAAAATGTGTGCTCGAACAGGCCGTTTGGAGATTTTCCCTTCATGACATCACAAAGGGCAGTAACCCCTCCCCCAGGTGGGTGACACTCCCACAGCTAGGTGTTTGTTCTGCCCTCTGAGTCTGCCTTCTCACCGTAAACAATAGGACATTGAGCGAGAAAGCCAGAGTACACTCAAGCCCTTCCAGAGAGGGGGCGTGGTCAGACACAGCTCATTTACATATTTAAAGGTACAGACACAGAAGCAGCCTGTTCTGAGCAGGGCTGAAATAGAGGGTTTTATAGACATGATCAAATACAGGATCAGAGTGGATTTAGAACAAGAAACTTCACAGACATGTTTTGAGGAGCTCTGAGACTTATTTACACCGGTTGAAGAGGAGGAGAATATGTGACCTTTAAATAATGAGAGTCGGCGACTGGAAATTTGTGTTTGTTTGGCTGAAAACTAATCAACATGAAAAATCAGAGTCGTGTAAATTGAGATTTAAAAAAGTTGAAGCTTTTTATTTAATAAATTAATCTGGTTAGACCTCTTGATTCTCTAGCTGTGTCAGGAAGTTTTATGTCCAGAAATTACATATAATTACATTTTCAAACTTGATGTTTTGATTTTGCTCCTGCAGCGCTCACTCTGTCTTCAAATCCTGTTTATTTTAATTAATTGAATTTGTGTTTAATCAGATGACCGCAATTTAACAGACAAACAGTGTTGTAGATTAGTTCTGTTTGGTTTCCATGTCTGGAAGCTCTAATGTGATGAAAATATTTGTTGGGACTTGAGGGAGGGAACATTTCTGAAACCGTGGTGTTGTTTGTTGGCTGATAATGGGGTCGAAACATGAAATTTTTGCCAGCAGGATTATTTTACTGTTTTCATGTTGTTAAATAGAGCTGTACTTTGGTTAGCGCTGTTACTTCACAGTGAGGAGGTTCCTGGTTTGAATCCCCGTCTGACAGGAGCCTCTCTCTGTGTGGAGCTTGCATGTTCTCTCTGTACATGTGTGGGTTCTCTCCGGGTACTCCGGCTTCCTACCTTAGTCCAAAGACATGCTTAATAATAATGAAAGGTCTGTCTTGTATTGACGTGAATATGTTAAATGCACAGTATGTACATTCCACCACCAGGGGGCTCTCAAGTAAACCTACAACAAAAGATGACGTATGATGCTGGCTGGGAATCATGGGAGTGATTCTCTCTGCTCTGCTCCTGTAACGTGCAGATGTCTCTGACCAACGCCCGAGCTGTCTCTTGGGCACAGCAAGCAGGGGTGATTGTAGGGTCTGTTGGGGCCCAAGGCAAGGGTCAATTCGGGGCCCCCTTCCAATGAATTTCCCTCTTTCTTTTTCCACCCCTGGATGGATAACTCATCCTCATTTTCCTTCATTAGCAAACTTTGGTTTTCACAGGAATAATGCTGCGACGCTCAGCAGGGAATTGAGAATGAGTTGCTGTCAGATGGGGCCCCCTTAGGCAGTTTTCCTACTGTTGTTGCTAAATTTGCACAATTTGAGGTAATGCTGTGGTTTCAAAGTTTGTCAGCTGTTGGTGGGGCCCCTACTGGCCTGGGGCCCCCAAGCAGTTGCCTGCCTTGCCTGTTGACAAGCAGCGCCTCTGACAGCAGGCATGATAAATATGTATGCTCCTCTGTGTGGTTTATAAGCATGTGTTGTTGTTGTCCTCTCTCTCTCTCTCTCTCTCTCTCTCTCTCTCTGAGAATCCGCTGCTGTTATGGAGATCTGGGCCAGTGGGTCCTGCGAACCACAAGGTTAAGCGGCAACGTGATTATCCCCATCATGTGATCTACAGACCGGCCATGAAAGAGAGCTTTTTATACGAGCTGTAAGAACTTCTCAGAGGTTTTTCATGCATTGAAAGGATACACGGGATCCTCTTCAGCTCGGTGAGTCCTCCTCCTCATTGCACCGACCACATACTTATGTGTACTACATGCGTGCTGAGTCTTTTCTTACATCTTTAGTGTTTCAAAAACCAGTCTGATGACTTCTTATACTGTGTTTGTGGAGCCTGAGGCGACTAACAACTTGTTAACTACAGTAAAAACTAAAAACAGAAACCTTACATTTTCTAAGAAGTATCCGGATCATCTGTCAGTCAGGGGGAAAGTCTTTAAACTTTTGATACAGTCGCACTTTCCCTGATGTTTCACCCCTTGTGTTGACTAAAATGGAGTCCTTTGCTGAGCGCTAATGTGCTAATTGATTAGCAGCTGCTCTCTTACTTCTGTGTCTCTTCCTCCGGGTCATGTGTGGTGAAAAAGACCGGCTCCAATCACTCGTTATATTTTTAAAGCTTTTGACTCAAAGAGCAGCCCTGTTATTAAAACAATCTTAACCTTTCTGTTCGTTTCTCTTTCATCCTGTTGTGCCGGCTGTAAGGAGCTTTTTCATTCTCTCTTCTGTTTGACTGTTTCTTCACAGATTTTTGTGTTTATTTCTGTTTATACATGGTCACTGTGTCGGCTTGTTAACCCATCATCTTTCTTGTACCTCGTTGAAATTAAAATCTCTTTTAAGGAGCGTCCTGGCCGAGAGAGTTTCACACATACAAATACTAAAGATACATCATTAGACATTAAAAGACACACACACATCAGCGAGAACATCTACAGCCACATGTGTCCTCCTCAAGTCGTTTAACATCCGCTTAAAGTCATCCAACGAGAGCAGCTTGTTAAGTCTCAACTCAGTTCTGAAGAAAAGGTCGTAGGATCAAAGATTTTAAGTCCTTGTACTCTTCTGACTGATGGAGGTCTGAGTGAAGTAGACCTAAAGTTGACGTGTAGGTAAGGAGACGTCGGTGTTTAAGTCTGTGTGTGGACAAAGGAGACCATCCAACACGTGCAGAGAACAAACAGTGACGAGTTTGGCAATCCTGTTTGCTCATTTACTAATTTTGTCCCTCTTTCTAGTTCATTAATTTTATTTACTGATCCTTTTCCTTTTGTTTTGTTTGTCTGTTTGTTTTTGTCTAAATCTGCTTGTAAAACTGTATCGTACCACAGTTCCCCTCTTGTTTGTATCTCTTTTTTATTGTGTGAGTGTGAGTGTGTGTATGCACGTTTTGGTGAATAAATGTTTAAAAAAAAAAAAAAAAAAAAAACAGTGACGAGTGAGGGATTTCTCAAATCATTCTTCTCAATCTATCATTATTTGTAAAGCGCCAATTCATAACAAGTGTTATCTGGAGACGCTTTCCAAAAAGAGCAGATGGGATAAGATGCAGGAAGGATTTCTCCTTTGTATTCCTCTCGTTCCTGTTTTCCACACTTCCTCTCCACTGAGGTGGAGGTCAGAGCAGGCCGTGCATGATTGAGGATGGCTGTGGTTGTGGGGAGGACGCAGTACGATGGTGGAGGCTGGGCGTCAGGGACATCGGGTGGTAGTAGTGCACGATCACCTGCTGAAGATTGGGGGACCTCTGTCCAGCTTCTGCTGCCAAGACAAAGCCTCCTGGGCTTCTGGCACTTCTTCTGATAAATACGTCATTACACTTATTTTCTTAAGCCACGTTCCCTTTAAGTCCTGATAAACATCTTAGTTTAAGATATACAAATCAAACATTAGGGCCTGAATTGTTTGTCAATAGGTGTAGAAATCTACCAGGGTGGCAGCAGCAGCGAGGAGGTTCCTGGTTTGAATCCCCGTCTGTCAGGAGTCTCTCTGTGTGGAGTCTGCATGTTCTCCCTGTTCATGTGTGGGTTCTCTCCGGGTACTCCGGCTTCCTCCACAGTCCAAAGACATGCTGGTTATGTTAACTGGTGACTCTAAATTGCCCATAGGTGTGAATGTGAGTGTGGCTGGTTCTGGTGTTTGGCAAAGCTTAAAGGCAGGGTTGGTAATTTCGTCAGTGTCCAAAAAGTACTGTAGCTTTAAACCACAAATCTTCATTCTTTCAGTACTTTTAACTGTATTTTTGCAATGCAGGTAGTGTGCAGGAGTTTGCTTTTCAATTTTGTTAATTCAAAACAAGATATTACCCACCAATGGGAGCCTAGGACTTCTATTTTTTGTTGTTGTCATATTGAAATTGTTTGATTTTTACTTTATAATTAAAATCAGAAGAGACTGAAGTTAGAGTTACTATGATTTATTTAACAGTTAAGGAAAAGATTAGACTCCGTCATGATGATTTCATGAACTCAGAGGGGCAGAGAGGCCGACAGGAGGATAGAATACCCCCCTTGATGGAGACTAGACACTGGTAGGTGGTGTTGATACCCCCCTGATGGAGACTAGACACTGGTGGTGGTGTTGATACCCCCCCTGATGGAGACTAGACACTGGTGGTGGTGTTGATACCCCCCTGATGGAGACTAGACACTGGTGGTGGTGTTGATACCCCCCTGATGGAGACTAGACACTGGTGGTGGTGTTGATACCCCCCTGATGGAGTCTAGCCCCTTTTGGGTTGTTGATTACCCCCCCTGATGGAGACTAGACACTGGTGGTGGTGTTGATACCCCCTGATCGGAGTCTGGACCCTGGTGGTGGTGATAGAAGAAAGCAGGATGTGATGAGGAGTGGGTTTCTGAGGCTGTATCTGAACTCTGCTGAGCTGGAATGGAGGTTACCGGGGCGGAGGAGGAGGGTCGCAGCGACCTCACTGAAATGACGAACTGACTGCTGAAGAGAGAGAAGTGGTAGAGAGGGAGGGGCTAAGTAGAATGAATGTGTGAGAGAATATAACCAGTGGTCCTGCTTGCTCCATGTCAGAGTTTAAAGATCTGGTAACCTGACGACCCCAAAGCAAAGGAGGTAGAACATGGAAACTAGAAACCCTGAGTAACGGGCCCGTGGCGACCTGAGGTTATACACGGTCATCAGATGACAGCCAATGGGTTTGAAGATTGTAGATAATGAAATAGAGCTGTAAAGCTGCACGGCATGTGATGCACTTAGTAAGCTATTTATGCGTCCATTAAGATAAAAGGGCAGGGGCGCTGATAGCCTAGAGGTTAGTGCATGATGCGCCCAACGTACGGAGGCTGTAGTCCTCGTCACAGTGGCCATGGGTTCGGGTCTGACCTCTGCCATTTGCTGCAGGTCATCCCCCGCTCTCTCCTCCAAATGTCTCTCTTCAGCTGACCCATCTAATAAAGCCCTGGCTGTTTATTTTTTATAGATTTGTAAATTTTTGCCTTTTTCTTTGTAGGAAATGTGAAATGCTCTAAAAACTGTAAGCCTTTAGAAGGTCCACTCAAAGGATGTTTTTTCTTCTGTCTTCCAGGTTTGATCATGACACATTCATCTGAATTCTCTCCTACTCTTCAACCGTAAAAGCTGGAGCTGAAGAGGTTACGCTGCCGACGTTTCTCTCATGGATCATCAATCCTCAGGCCAACACAGTCAAACCGGCCAAGCCCCAAGCTTTCAGTGGCTTTCTTTTGCGTACCAGGGCCTGAAAGAAATCCCCTATGAGACTATTCTACCACAGACTGAGAGCCTGGAGGTGCTGGACCTGAGTAACAATCTGCTGGAGGAGTATCCTTTTATGAACAACCCAACAACCGCAAGAGCAATGTGAAGCACATGTCTGATCAAGTGGTTATTTCTTTTTTCTGCTTTATTCCCCCCGTCTTCATCGAAACAGTCATCTCCGTTTTCACCTTGGTTGGTTTTTGATGGATGTTGGGCTGCACACTCTGACAGGCCGTGCAGACAGAAACAGTGTGAGAGATCGGAGGATAAGATCTAAGATTCTGTGTGGTGCAGAGAGTCAGCGTATGGAGGAGGAAGGGGGAGGTGGGGGCTCCAGGGGAGTGTGAAAGGAGGCTTCTATGATGCAGAGAGTCATGGGTGAGGGTGGGGGGGGGCGGCGTCGCTGCTGTGACCTCTGTGTAAGAAGCCGTTTTGGAGTCTGTTTGTGTGTGTGTACAGCACCCAGTCGACAGTGGGGTGTGTAGTGTCCCGGATGATGGCCATGGCCTTCTGGGTGCAGCGTGTCGTGTAGATGTCCTCTAGTCTGGGGAGGGTGGAGCCGGTGATCCTCTCTGAAGATGGAATATGGTAAGCGGTTGCAAAAGGGGACGTTTGCCTGCCATGATGAGCTGAAACTCATCGACGGACATCCAGAGAACAGGATTTTGTGTTCTGACAAACAACATGTTTGTTCTGTCTTTAAACAGAGGCAATGTGGTTTAAAACCAATAATCATTTACTGTCAAAGCCCTGGGGTCTGTGAAAGGTCATCATACAAAGTGTCTGAAGACAGCCACACAACAAGATTCAAGCCAACTTAGTAGCAACACATGCACGACGCTCTGACCTCAAACAGCAATTCTCTTTATTTAAATAACTTGGCCTCGGGCAGGAGGCTCTCTGGATTCTGCTGTATTCATTGTCATTGTTCATTTAGTGGTCGTAGTTGTGTCCCTGCTGATGCATGTCCTAAGATGAGGGGGCAGAGCTTCTGAAGGAGCACTGCAGTGTTTAGAGCGAATCCCAAAAGGCTTGTGTCTGAAATCAATCGTCCTAACTAGAGAGCGCCATGTAGCAAGAGGGAACTCGGACAATTCTTTCTCATTTTAACACTTCATGATCGATGAGCAAATGAAGAGACAACGGTTTGTGAAAATCTGGAGGGAGGTCATTTATGTTCACACAGAATGTTTATTTTTGTTTGATTAACAGAGCGAGCGTCTGCGACAAAATCAGATTGATTAACTTGTTTCATATCAGAGTGTTCTAACAGCCCGAGTCAGGGGACGTGTCAGGGGCTCTGTGTATCTGTTGTGTCCGTGTGTTCTCCTTCATTGAGTCCTTATTGGAACCCGGCTCTGCTGGGACGTCTGGAGAAGCTCACCACGCTGATCCTGGACTGCAACAACTACACGTCACACATCAAGTTCCCGTACATGCCGAGCGTCACCACAGTGTGCATCAACAAGAACAAGATCAACAACCTGCCCGTGTTCGTGGAGGAAATCAAACGGAAGTTCCCCAACATAAAGTAAGTCAGGGAACTGTTTTAACATCTCTGCACAGGAAGCATTTATTCCTCACCGCTTCTTTTCTGCTTTCAGAATCCTCAGTATGATGAACAACGAGGCAGCTCCGAGCTATTTCAATGGAGGAAGTTTGACCCAGTACAAAGACTACAGGTGAGCACCAAGGAGCACTTTGTGTTCTCTTAATCAAAGACGCTGCTAGTCAACAGGCAAGGCAGGCAACTGCTTGGGGCCCCAGGCTAGTAGGGGCCCCCGAATGGCGGACAAACCCGAAAACCACAGCAGAGACTCAAAAGTGTGCAAAGTTTAAAATGACAGTAAAGCTGATTTCAAACATGCACTCCTGAAAATATCTAGAGAATTTCAGGAGGACTGCTCCTGAAATCCTCCTGATCTGGTTGTTCACTCATGCACCTCACAGCGGGAGATAATCCCTGTCGATGGGAGGGGGGGGCGGGGGTCACCTGAGGAAGACAAAAAAGAATGCCGTGGAAGGGGCAGACGAAGTAACAGAGCCCTCTACACGACTCGTTAATGAAAATATGTGTCTTTCTATCAATGCTACATGTAGTTGAACAGAATCTCAATGTGTACTAAAGAGTGGAGAAGAACATACTGGAGAACAGGAAACATAATGTAGCAGGTTCATTAGAGCACGGAGATGGTAGAGGTGGCGTGCAGACAGTCTATGGTCGTGCAGCGATCACAGGGAATAAACGTCTCCACCCCCTCCCACTCGCTCCAGGTGAATTCTCCTGATTATATCCTGCTGTGTTCTCACATCAATTTACAGCGATATAAACAAACAAACACATGAAGAGAGTGCGTTAAATTTCTCCTTGGGGATCAGGCAGTGTGCAGAGAGCTGCACTTGTGAGTCTTTCTGGCTCTGGCCCGGCTAATCGGTGAACTGATTCACAGAGTTTGCATATTTTACGTTCCATAGTTCAGTTGTGTAGTTAAAAAAAAGCTAAGCTCCAGATTTACTTATGGAGAGCCGGCTGCAGAGGATCTTAAAGGCTGTGGAGGATTATAAAATGGCCAATTATTATTAATATAGAACCCAACCGTAACAGAACTTTAAAATCAATCCTGACAGACTCAAGGAGGGATTGTGAAGCAGCTTCAACCGAGGTGGTAGTTCCAACTTAAAGGAGCAGTATGTAACTATGACACTAGTGTTTAAAATGGGTACTGCAGTCTAAATCCTAAACATCACAGAGAGCTGTCTCCCCCCCGCCCCCTCCTCTCTAGAGTCCATGCTCACACAGGTCACCATGTGGTGAACACTGAAGCTTCAGTGTTTATCCAGCTCTGCATCGGTCTGTAAACCTTTGTGTTCTAACCTCTCTCCATTTTTCAAAAGCATCTCCAATATTGATCCTAGTTTGAGCACGTTTCTGCTCGTGGAGCTTATTAGAAACATGCAGAGGCTTTTTAGGTCGGGTACAATCACTTCTATCTGAACCACTTCTCTTGCCCGCTTCCATCACTGCAACACCTGTTGACCTGATAACTGGTCTCATATCTGACAAACTGAGGGGCGTCCAAAACGGTCGTGTGGGGGTGCCTTAAAAGCGTCTACCTCCTCTGGTCCAAACAAATCCAGATCATTCAGGAGCAGAATCTAAAGTTAGAAGGAGGACATACTGGCTGCTGCATTGTTGTCAGAGAAGCCAGCACTTCAACATATTTCCTTAATGTCTGATCAGATAGTAAGATACCTTTATCATTTCACTCACTACACATTTTACTGACTGGACCTTTAATCGTAGTTTCTGAATGGATTAGAGGAGCATGAACAATGTGTGTTTCACCGTGTTGGGAAAGGAACAGCCGAACCTTTGCGATGTTTCTCAAGTGAAAGAAAGCTGCTTTCGTCTCCTTCCTTATATGAGATTAAAATGTAAGTCGTAGCCCGTTATAATACCCACACTCGTGACTTTTCATTTCGTCTGAGACAGACCTTTGTGTACTTAAAGAACACGTAAATGGTTTCCAGATGCATGACTCAGCAGTCTTTTCATAATGCCACAGCAGGTGCACCGACTTTGTAAAACCAGTTCTGTGCACTAAATCTATTTGTAAAGCTGGTAATGTGAGAGCCGTTCAGCATTGCTGCTTATTGTCCTGTCAATGTTCCCTCTCTGTTTTTGTTTGGATTCTGCGCTCAGCAGATGCAAAAACAAACAAAACGTCACCCATTGTTCACACGAGGTCTGTTCTCCGCTGATGTCTCACTGAGGAAGAGGGGATAGGATTATGAGAAGCATCCACTGAGCGACTAATGGCGCACAAACAGGCTGGCATACGGCCCAACTTGTTCATTAGACGTACAACTAAAAATGTAATCGTCCGGTGTACGCACAGCTTTAGGGTGCTGTCATAAAGCTGTGCTGCCTTTTTCAGGTTTTTAGTCATGAAACTGTCATCTTTTGACTGAATATGTGACTAGACTGCGTCATGATGACTTCATGAACTCAGAGGGGTAGAGAGGCCGACAGCGGATAAGATTCTCTCCTATGGAGTCTAGACCCTGGTGGTGGTGGTGGTGGTGGTGGTGGTGATACCCCCTTGATGGAGTCTAGACCCTGGTGATGGTGGTGATACCCTCCTGGATGGAGTCTAGACCCTGGTGGGTCTTGAGACCAAGACATATTTGGAGGACTACAACTGAAAATTAGCCAGCATGTAAATACAAAGCACCAAACCAGCGCCCCACCTGCATCAAGTTGAAGTGTGTCTTGTTTCCTTTGCCCTTTCAGACAATATGTCATCAGCCAGATTCCAGGCCTCGAGATCCTGGACGACACAGAGGTCCTGGAGAAGGAGCGAGCCCAGGCCAGAAAAACCTACAGGCTTCAGCAGAGCAGACAGAGGCGGAGACGGAGGAAGGAGGACTCATCAAAGAAACAAACGCACACGCAGAAAAAGTCAAGTACTATCATAGATGAATAGTTTATAGTGAAGTTTTTGAACCACCCCCCCCCCCCAAGTCCCTCCTTTATCTGCTTTTTCATGTTTACACTGAGTTAAATATTCAAATGTTTTATAAAGCTGTTAAATAAAAAAAGGAATTATTCTACCTGCCGAGTGCATCATTTTCAACACCCTGATGTAGTTCCCTGGTTTGACCACTAGAGGGAGGCAAAGTTAAACAGACACGGGGCACTGTGGCTGTTTTTCACAGTTTACTGGGTTCCATATTCTGGATTTACAGCTTGATCTATCAGCACCACGTCAGGAGAAACTTTGAACTTTAGAAAAGTGTTCAGTAATTATTTACTTTTTGCAACAAATATATACGATAGATAACCTGATGGGCAGAAAGTTACTGGGTTATTTAGGTTCTCTTATGTAATGAAATGCTGTTTTTCTTGATGTTACATCGGGGTGAATTACATTTTTTTGAGTTTTTAAACATTGGGCAAAATTAAAACATCTAACGATGTCGCGTTTGGCTCTAAAATACTTTTGGGATTATTTTTCAATTTATTTAATTGATTTACAGATGTGTTGTTTCTGAATCAGAAATGTTTTATTATTCCCCACTGGGGGGATTTCAGTCTTTACAGTCGCTCTTACACACAATATAGCGGTAGAAAAGTAGTCCATTGAAGTTTACAATAAAATCTTAAAGGTTTCTGATCATTTCTAAAGAAAGTTTACAAAAATGTTCAGGAAGTTTTATTAAAATTCCCAAAAGTTTACAAAAATGTTGATTTTGTGCTGCAGAAAGATCCAGAAATTACTAAAAGGTTGACCTTCAGTTAAGAGATTTTCACTATTTTGAAGGTCAGAATAAACCTTAAACGAATGCTGAATCACAAAATCTGCACAACATGCCAACCTTAAAGTTGGTAAGCAAAATCTTTCCCCTCTGCCCTCTTTGGACATGGCCCCACTGCAGCTTCCTGTGACAGGGAGCGCTGGTCTTTGTGAATTAGACAGTTTTACAACAAGTCTCATTTGCATAGGAAAGGGGAAATTCTGCACTTTTTAAAATACCCTAATTTTCATGGATGCAAATGAGACGGGCGCACCCAGGACGCTGTCTGCTTAGAAGGGCAGTTTGCACACATTTCACTCTTTGCACGAGCTTTGTGGACGCCATCTTTGTCTCTCATTTGTACAGATTTAGCGCCCACTAAAGCAGCACAATCATTTCGTGGATCTGGTCCCTTTAATTTTTACAACAGTTGATGTGATGTTTGGTTTTTACATTTTCCAGGATCCTTTAATTGAACATGTGCATGTGACTGATTGACGTCATCTTCCTGGTTGATGAAACTTTACTTAAAAAAATAAAATAACTGGGGAGGAATATTTGTTGTTCCTACAGCGTGTTTGCTGACGTCTTTCCTCGTGCTTTGTTTGAAACCCTTTTTTTCTATCCTCTGTTTCATATCAGTCCTCCTCATGTTACTCTTTTGATCTAATCTCAGTTCCTGTCTCTGCTGCTCAACTCCCTGCTTTGGTGCTTCTGGTATCTGTGGAGCAGAGGGGGGAAATGTATCGGTTGTAATGCTGTCACAGACTGTTATCTAACAACGGTTTGGCTTTAACTAATCTCTGTAAACAGATATCTGCATCAAGCACAGCTAGAAATCCTTCCACAGACATAAACACTTAAACAGAAGTTTAAAAAGACGTCCTATAATGTCTCCTTTAATGCCAAGTACGTTTACACATACGGTACTCACTCATGGAGGGAACTTTACTCTTTGAAGGTCTCGGTCTTATATCGGAATCAAAAGCATTTTTACTCAGTCTTGTCTCGAGCGATGTACGTTGCTTTGGATAAAAGTGAATTGTAGAATTGTAGTAGAATTGTCTCAGTCTCAGACTGGGTGGACTCCGTTTTTTTATTCAAGACTGGTCAAGACCACCACTTATCGGCTATATTCTTACACCATCACTGTGATTAGAAGGAAAACACCTCTTTCTAGAAGAACAAATAACTTCTCGTTTGATTTTTATCCCCCGGTTACGGCCGCAACCTTCCCGGTGTTAAGGTCTAAATGAGTGACACGTCCTCTTCACACAAGATGAGTCTTGGTTTTGTCTCTGTCTTGCCCTGGCCTCAGGCTGTAGGAGCATGGCATCTAGGTCACTAGTGAGTGTTGTGTTTGTGTGTCCACTTTTCAAGCTCATAATATTTACTGAATGCGTGTTGTTTGTGTGTGTAGGTGAAGTGTATTGTCCGCTGCTGAATGTTCGGAAGGAAGTCAGAGTTTCATTTCCTTCAACAGATCAGACAGCCTTTGTCTTTTCTGATCGCCCTCGAGTGTTTGAGCGTGTGTGGTGGTCGTTTGTGTTTGTGTGTGTTTTTAGCTCGAGGTTTCGAGCCGGCTTTCCTGTGGAATGAGTCGTGAGATCAGCACTGTTCACAAACTCCAGGTAATAATTACAATAAACACACAAGCAGTTGTTTAGTTCAAAGACTCAAATGTTCTCTTTTAGGCCCGGCAGTGAAACTATGGTAGAATTATATTGTACTTTAATTTAAAGGTGACATATTCTCCTCCTCTTCAACCAGTTTCAATAAGTCTCAGAGCTCCTCAAAACATGTCTGTGAAGTTTCTTGTTCTAAATCCAGTCTGATCCTGTATTTGATCATGTCTATAAACCCCTCTATTTCAGCCCTGCTCAGAACAGGCTGTTTCTTGTCTGTACCTTTAAATGTTAATGAGCTGTATCTGACCACGCCCCCTCTCTGGAAGGGCTCGGGCGGCTCAGTCTTTCTCCCTCCATGTCCTATTGTTTACGGTGAGAAGGCAGACTCAGGGGCAGAACAAACACCTAGCTGTGGGAGTGTCACCCACCTGGGGGAGGGGCTCCTGCCCTTTGTGATGTCATGAAGGGAAAATCTCCAAACAGCCTGTTTGAGCACACATTTTCTGGAGCAGGCAAAAGACGGAGAGGATGGACTTTTCTCATCATTGGGGGGTTGGTAGACAGACTGGAGACACCTATTAGTGTTAGAGAAACATGGTGAAGAGGATTTTAAATAATATGTGACCTTTAATCTTGTGCCAAATGTCTTGCATAAGTTGCCGGTTTATAATAGGTATGAAAAGTTTGAGAAATAAATATAAGTAATTCCTCCAGTTAAAAGTCTGTGCTCTTGGAAAAAAAAAATCCCATGCTCTGAACCTTCATCAAGTGTGTTACAAAGGTTCTCATCCTTAAAGGGTTTGGTCTTGCCGGTCTTGGAGAACTCTAGTCCTTGGTATGTCTTGGTCTCGGTGAGTGTTTTCATGACTACAACACTAATCAAATGTTTAAGGAGCAGCAGGAGTCTGAGTTTGGTCCGAGCTTCACTTCTTTCTCTGATATGATTGTTTCATCCTTCGCCTTGTTGAACCCAAGCATCGTAAATTAACTCTTTTATAGTTCAAAGGTTTTACGTCAGCAGCAATTTGTGGCCACGTGTCCCAAATAGTCCTGAGGCCCCACCCTGCTCCTAACTAAACTGTTGGTTTATGAGGTCAACTCTTATTTATTTAAACATGCCAACAAGAGGCTGTAGAGGCAGCTGGAGATGAGATCATGTAGTTGATGACACGGGTCTAAATGTGGAGCAAACTTAGCGACATGTTGCCACTTCAATCCACACACTTCATTTCAAAGTTGATCGCAATTAATCAGATTTTTAAGCGCATGTTTGAAATTCGTGCTTTTATTTTGAAATAAAGGGCCCTTAGAGTGAAGGTTAGGTTAGGACATGAAGTTAAGCACAGAAACAGGAAGTGGTTAGGGATCCCAAACTGAGGTCAAACAGCTCAAAGGAACAGTATCAAAGGTCAATGTGTGATGTCATAAGGTGGATATTACTTTGGACTCATCAGCTGAGCTGTCTGAGAGTTTGTTAAAGAGAAATGAGACATTCAAAGATGCAGCAGTGTCCTTCTTTAACATCACTGAGACTACAGGGAGCCTGAAGGGACAAAATAGCATGATATTAATCGATATTAATTAATGACAGCTCTACTTTTTACACCTCAGAGACTACATGGCTTGACTGATTTGTTAAAAATGGAAGCATGTTTTTTTAACTAGAGAAGAAAATATAACAAAATTGCTTCAGAAATGACTCAAAACAGATTTGGTTTGTCGACTTGTAGCAGCAGAACGCCGTGCAGTCTCTGGTTGAGTTGAGTCATTTTCTGTATTTCCACTTCTGGCTCTGCTATGTGTGCGATAAAACACAGTGAATCATCAGCTGAATCAGTTCCTTTTACCTTGTTGGGGCTGAGCTGCGTGATTCTGCAGCTCTCCCTCCATGAAAGCTCTCATTTCCAAACAGCTGATTGATAACTAATAATCATTCTTGTTACCTCCTTTTTCTCTCTGCAGGTTTTGTCTTTAACGCCGTGTACAGGCCTTTAGCAAAAGTCCAGCGTTTAGAGGGAATCTGAATAAAAACATGATGATACTGTGGGTTTATCATTTCTCTAGCTGGAGGGAGTCGATTTAAAGAGCCATATTTATCCTCTGCAAACACCAGCTGTGAAGTGAAGGACTTGCTGCATATTTGTTTCTGCTCTAACAAGTCTTTGACTTGTTTACACAGACACACAAGGCCCCGGCACTTCAAATAAAGACTGTTAGGTAAGTGGGACAAGTTGCCAGAGACAGAAGCTGCAATGAAAGTATACACGATCCAGGAGTTTGAAAGGTAATTTGGGTATACTGCTGCATCTCAATCACACATCCAAATGCGTGTGATTGGTCATTTTCAATATTTCTACACCCTGGGCCTTTTTTCTATACATACATCGGGGTACAAAGAGGTACTAAAAGTTCTTGTTTTGTCACTTCAGGTTCAGTTTGTTGTTCTGTAAGTGTCTGACATCATAACAGAAAGGATCCCTACTGAGTTATGGACCTTTTTGTTAAAAGAGAGAGGATGGTTTTGTAAAAGGAACAAAGCTGTTGTGTCACTCTCTTCAAAGCAACCAAACTCCATTAACCAACATGGTCATTTGAGGGTTGCTCGCCTACAGCTGCCTCCATTAGTGTGTTTGTCCTCTTGTGTGAGTTTAAATGGTTTGTTCGGATCCAACACAATATTTGTGAAACAAACAACACCACCGTAATGAGGCCACTGTCAACAAATAGCTTCTGGTAGAAATGTTCTTTTTATCGATGGAGTCTGGTTGATTTCCAGCTTTGCAACAACCTTGAAAATAAAGGGAGTTGCTGGTCTACCCCTGCTTTGATATTTCAGTTTGTTTCATTGAGTTACTTTGGTGTCTAAACTGATTATACAAAACACCCAAACACAAACAAAACAGCTAACTGGTCATGATGGGGGAAGACCAGCAACTCCTGCTCTTTTAGGTTAAATCAATGTTTTCTTCAATGAAGTCTGGTGGGTTTGCTGGCTGTTTCCGATTTTGAGAAAATCCTCTTACCCTTTAAATATAATCCATCTCTGTACAATCCTTTCTGTAATGTTGTCAGACACAGAACAACAATCTGAGCCTGTCAGTGACAAATAAAATAACTTTTATTGGGAGGAAGTGCCCCAAAGGATGGCGTTGCAGCTGTTACAGCCCGTTTTTAGTTTAGTCATTTAGACCTCAAAACATTTGGAAATAGTTCCCATGAGTAAAGATTCTGGACTTATTGTTTAAGGGGGAGGAAAGTAATCACATAGTCTTCTACCACATTAAAAAAATGAGTTTTTAACCATAGAAATTAGTTGGACAGGCGTGTAATCAAGACCTAAACATTGTCCTGTCCTGTATAATGTTTCCGCCTCAATATGAGTCCCTGTGAGGGTCTGTAACTCTGCTCCACCATGTGTGTTCATAATGTGTACGTAGATACAGGCCTGGCTCCACAGCCATAAAACCGTCTGTGCTTGTCAATCACTAATTAAAAAGGCATGTTGCGGCTCTCTCCCAGTCTGCTTCGCGCTCAAGTGTTGCCTGTTTCTTATTCCTCTGAGGAATTTGGAAAGTGGCCACTAACCCTCACAACCACCTCCTCCACCCCATCCTGCAAAAAAACTGCTGCTTCAAAGACTTCCTGACATCTGGCCACAGCAGTCATAGCTGGAGGCTGAATGGGAAGATGGATGGGTAGGGTTGACTGATGAACCTGATAGAGGGAGCCACATTCTGTTTGTTTAAAGCAGCAAACTGAGCCTTTAAAGAAATGATCTTGACAACTGATTATATTGTTGTTAACCTTTATATATACCCATAACAGGATGTGATACATGTGACTAGACTTAAAATGAAAGACAACAAAACCTCCAGACTAACAACCCATTTAAAGCTTTTAAAGAAGTTTCAAGTGCTTATGTTTTATGTCTGATGATTGATAATTTTATCATGTCATTCAGTGCTTATCTGACTGATTAATACTTTAAACTATCTTCTTATACAATATAGGGGACGAACAGAAACGCCAAAATATAACTCCTTAAGCTATAATTAAATAAAAAACACAAACTGGAGACTACACTAAAACTAGGATTTTTAATATGTAAACTTTTATAAACACATGGTACAGTCATAGGGCCTTTAAATACAAAGTGCGGATATGAAGCAGGCCGAATAAATAACAATGTAAATGTACTTTGTAAAGGTTGCGGTTTTAAAGGAGACACAGAGAAACACACAGCCAGGCTTCCAGTGAGATTACTCAACGGGGACGGAGTGTGCATTTCAAGCAGATAAAGGGAACACTTTTAGTACGGCACGGCACGGCATGCTTTAACTCCTGTAGTTTTTCTACTTCTATTAAAATGTCTAATGACTATTTCCATTTTGTTGTTAACTTATACTGTAAAAAGGAAAGACATACGCACAGCCTTATAATGTGTTTTTATAAGCCTCAGGACATTCAGAGAGATCCAAGAGTAAAAGTAGTTCAGCACGAGACCGGAAACTACGTTTATTTGCTTCAAAATAAGGGATTGTGCTTCTTTCCTTCTTAATGTGTTATGGAAAACGTTTTAAATGTGTTCAAAAATGACAGTGTAATAATGTTTGAGAAATGACAAACAAACTCCACTTCAATTACAATAAATACAAATGCAAATAAACCAATTGAAATGTATATTTTTTATCAAATCATATTCAATGCAAATGACAAAGATGATGAGCCTCAAGTGAGCAGGAAAGTGTTTTGTCAAGGCAATGTCTGATTTTGCCTGAAGTATCAGGAAAATGGTCATGTAAGTCCATGAGCGTCATGCTGTGGTCCAGCTGCAATGCTAAAAAAAGTAATAAGATTAAAAAAATGTCTGGTAAACGTCTTATTCATTATGTAAATATTTCACTGTCATGTTCATTGTTCAGAAACTTAATTCACTTTAGCATTTCTGTTTGTTGTTCGACTTTTAATTAAATGAATCAAATACAGAATCTTAACATATTTAATCCGAAAATAAATAAATTAATAAAATAGCTATGAAATATATAATCATGTTGATAAAGCAAATACCTCACTTTATCTCACTTTAGCTCATGATGAGCTGAAATCTAACATTCTGACCTTTAGAAAGGACGGCGCTGTTTTATTTTGAAACTCCCAGCCGGAATTCCGGTGTTTTCGCGTGTGCAACTTGACAACTGAGCCGCTACCTGTCAAACAGTCTCCGGTTCTCCTCGGTGTTGAACTGAAATGCCGGCTGGCTGTTATTTATTTATCTTTTAGCCTTTTACCCGGGATATTTTTAAAAGAATTCCCGGTTTTTAAACGTCACGTTGTGTTTACAGGACTACACACCGGTACCGGCACCTTCTCTCTCTCTTTCTTTTTCTCTCTCGGTGGGTTTTTTTTTTTCTTCTCAGCGGAGCCTCTCGGTGCTCAGAATGGGGGCTGGATGATTTGACAGTCCGACGTAGATTCAGGCTGATGGACCTGATATAGTGTTGAACAACGGCATGACCTACATACCGCAGAGCTTACCGGACATCTCTGCAGTATGGAAACAACCACCGACGTCCTGTTCAACCTTGTAACACAGCACTAAGTGACCTTCCGTTTTTTATTTGCTGCTACGGACGGAACTATGCAGAAGAAAACACGTGAATGTGCTCTGGGCTGATAAGAGAAGAAGACAGACCTATGTGCAAAATAAGGGAGCGTGATAACCAGGATTGCGTGCTTGAGGTTTTTTTTCCTGACCTTTGACCTTTAATGCAAAATTAATCAAGCAGGTGGCTCTAGGATTCCGGATACCCGTGGATCTACCAGATAATACACTCGTGTTGCTGTATGGATCAGCTGTAAAGGGCCTAGAGCAGGGGTCAAAGGTCCACTGAAGCAACCAATGGATGCCTTATCGACTCATAAATAACATATAAAACAATTGAATGGTGGGGATCTATAAAGTGTTTAAATAAAACAGGTAGAAACAAATATATTTCAAGGACAGATTAGATTCCTAAATAGACTTTTCATTATGCTTCTAAATGATTGTCAGCCTTTACCTCTCCTGAGGGACACGGACGTGCCGCCTCGGGTCAAAGAAAACTTCATTCTGACCGGCTACCGTTTCCCAAACTACAGCCTGAGGGATTGCTTGTTATCAGCATTCAGGCCGACCAATGAAACTGGGAACTTCTGGACGCACTTCCTCCCAGTTTTTGTTTTTTTCTACTATTTCGTGGAGGCGTTTGGTTGGGAAGGCGCACCGCATGGCGACGCCCCCTTCTTCTATCCGTTCTGGACCTACTTTATCGGGGTGTTCTGTCTGCTCATGGCGAGCAGCATGGCCCATCTGCTTAACTCGATGTCTCTGGTGGTTAGAGAAGTCTGCTTCTTCGTGGATTACGGCACCATCAGCGCCTACACAGTCGGCTCATCTTTGGCCTACTACTATTACATCCACCCTCAGGCAGGGATAGTGGAGACGGGAAACCACAATGGATCTCACATGGCCCTGGAACATGAACCCAGGGAGGCTGTCACATCATCCTATGCAATCCCAGAGTTCAGTGTGTTCTTTGAGACCTTCTACATCCCGAGTGCGTGTATGGTAGCAATCATCTGCATCTTGTCCTGCTGCAACACTCGTCAGAGGTGGAGGAAGCATCGATACGTCATCCGAACCCTCGTCTTCCTGCTACCGTTCCTCGTCTCTTCAACACCGGTGTTCTACCGGCTTCTCACCAGATCACCTTACTCCTCCACCTCCTCCTCCTTCACCGCTTCTGACTCCACCTCCACCTTCTTCTATCGTCACTGTTTCTGGCTGGTGGTGTCAGCCGTCTTCAACATCAGCAAGATTCCTGAGCGACTTGCCCCGGTCGCTTCGACATCTGGGGTCACAGTCACCAGTGGTTCCACTGCTGCACCTTTCTGTCCATCCTCGACGAGCTCCACATGATCAAGGCTGAGGTGAGGGCGATCCTGCTCAGCCCGACTCTGCTGCTCCCACCGGCAACCCTCTCACGCCTACCTGGACCTACTGTTGCTTCGACCTACGGGGTGATGCTCCTCCTGCAGACCACCATCATCTCCATCATCGTGTGGTTCTCCTGGAAGGCCAACTGCATCTACGGACCCGAGAGAGACCAGCTGGCAGAGGAATATCCCAAGAAGCACCTGAAATGTCACTGATCACAGATTTGTGTTTTGAATCGCCTTTACTGCGAATGACGTTTGCACGTTTATTCAGAGCCATGCCACTAGAAGAAGTGCACAAGAATCACGATAACCCCCTCCTGATTCCATGTCTGTTGCATGTTTTAAACCCTTTGAGAGAATTGTGCAAGCTTTCATTGGGTAAATTTGGGACAAAGGGAGATGAGAGGATTATATTTGGAGCAGACCAATGGATGGCTGTCTGGCTGCGTGGATATCCTGAAATCTGCCAGGGCGTCTGATGATAAAACTACCTCTAGGTGTTGTTCACTCGATGACAGAGGAAAGGTGTTGGTACCCAGGGGAACACAAGTTCCATTTACCATTTGGGTAAAGTGGCTACATGTTAGCTTAAAGTGTTGTCAGTTAGTTCCTCCTGTTACTTCCCCTTTCTCTGACTTCAAACTCTGTTTTTGCTGTGGTTGTGATTGAAAACTAAGAGGCCAAGAGGATTAGGGCCAAATTTGGAAAAAAAGTTGAGCTCAGAACTCAATGTTTTAAATCAGAAATAAAATAAAAAAAGGAAGGAAGTCTACATTTTATGTTTTTAAAAGAATTAATAAATAAATAGTCATGAAGAAAATAAATTCAAGCAAAATAAATCTGAATTCTAGGATTGAAGAAGAGATTATATTAAGGTAACTCCACTTTTGGATTAGTTTACTTGTGTATAAGAAAATTGTTTTGTGTAAAAACAAATGTTTCATCAAAGTCAGATTTTATACTTGATACCCGAATACATTTTCCCTGGATGGCCTCAATTGTCCTCCGTAGAATCCATTGTGTGACTTTCCTTAAGCCTAACTTCTCTTGCTCTGAAATGAACGATCACGCAGTTTAATTTCCTCTCTCTGTCCACGTAACAGGAAGTGTGGTGGCCTTGACGAAGCTTCAGAAATAGCTGAGAGCACGTATCAGTGAAGCACTTTCAGGGGGGCCGGTGTAAAGCCCTGTTATTAAGAAGCCATGCTTGATTTTTAACCTCCGGGTACTTCTCTGAGGCATGTGATGATGTCCTACTGACGGGTTCAGTCAGGATATTTAAATGTGAAATGTGTGTCATTGTGCTGTCATCTGCTGTATGTTTGGTTTCCATAACACTGATGGAAAGTTCCTCACAGATTATGTTCACAATGCGTAAAGTGCTGTAATTCAGATTAAATGTGATGCAACATTTTCTAATCACTATGGAAAGCTTACCGAATTTTCCTGCAGCTCACACAGGTAGTCTACACACTGCGTGCACAGATTGTAAAATCTAGCATTCCAAAAATGATAAGACTATAAGACTTCAAGGCCAGTTTAGAGACCTGCATTGTGAGCATACTTTAATATGGATGATGTAACCAGAGGCCGCTTTCTTTGTCATTTCATGTTCAGTTATCTCTTAGAGAAAAAGCCATAGTTTGGGGTAGTGGTAGTGAAGTTCGTGGCAATATTTTTTGTCGTACTACATTATCAGGACCTTCCTGGACAGATTTGCACTTACAGATAGATCAGGTTAACGTGGGCTTTTGTACCTTTGAGTATTACCATCACCTGGGAGTTACAGATCCAGGAAGAAATGGAACGTTTTGCATTTTGTGAAAAACCTTGACTTTTAACACTTTATTGTGGGCGTCCCAATTTCAGCATGAAGTGATTTTCTGACCATCTGGGAGAACATTTCAGTCCTAAGCATTGCCCTAAAAAAAAAAAAAAAGAAAATACTGAAAACTGTTTCCCAGTTGCATCAGTTTTTCAACCGAGACCAAAATGAGTTGTATGAGAGGCTATCAGGGCCATGTTTAATAAATAAAAAAAATATGAGTGAGATGAATAAAACATAAAGAGCCCCTTAATATTATCCTTAAATATTTGAAACAAAATAATCAGTAGTTTTAATAACTTTCCATACAAAAAATCAAACTTTATGTCGTCTAAAACGAGGTGACGGTCATACGTTATTTTTTGTAGATTTTTTTTCAACCAGATAAACAGAAAATGGATTTTATGAAAAATATTTAAATGCATGACTTATGATTCAAGGATTCTCTGGGTTGTCTGGATCATGGGGATGAACTGAAATCGAGAGGCACTAACCTGGACTAACATTCACCATCTCGTAATTCAGCGTTTATCTCCATACAGCAATGTTGTCAATATATTATTCCCGCGCTGTAGGGATGGTATTTTACCAGCAATAATGTGTAAAAAAAGACCTGTATTTTGTGTTTGTTTTTTGATGTAAGGCCCTGTGTCCACCTAGCATTTCTTCCAGGTAGAAAAGCTCTGGCTGTGTGCTCGGGGAGCACTTACATCCGTCCTGTCTCATCCGTCCTGACAACAGTCTGTTAACAACGGCCGCTGTATGAACGGCAAGGCTCTGTTATGTTTTACTGCATGTTTTATATTTTACAAAGTGTTTACCCGATCAGATACAGAGCAAAGGGGTGTGGGTACAATATGGACAGTATCTTACATTTGCAAAAGAGCACCGGTGACATCAACAGCGCCTTTCTGAGAAGTTGAAAGGTTTTCAACTTGAGCGCCGGGAGCGGTCGCACAAAAAAGGTGGAGCGTTCGGAAAAAAGACACTGGACACTTAGCTTCTGGTCCGAGCGGTCGCCTGCTGCTGCTGCTAACGCTCTCTGCTCATTGAAAACATCTGAAAAACTATGCTTGCTGGTGCTCAGAAAAAAACGCCATGTGGACACAGGGCCTAATTCTGCTCCCTGAATTCAAACCCTTTGGTCTCAGTTTTGTAGGATGAACTTTCACATGAAGGGTTAAGCTTGTGTTTAGTTGTCTTAATCCAGTTTGTTAGGAAATTGACTTTAAATGGCTTTTTCAAATTGTACGTTTTCATGTTTGTCGTGTTCTTTGTATATGTAAATTAGAGCGCTGTACGGAGAGTAGCTAGTTAAGTCAGCAATCAGTATCTGATAAAATATAGCAAAATATATTGTGGACATTTTCAGTACTTGAGCCTTTTTTCTAACACACCCATTGAAAGAAATATTAATATTATCAGTTGCAGACTTGTTGAATTCATAGAGTTCATAGATTTGTGTAATTTTATTAGCTTGCTAGCTTGAGTCACTGTTAGCTGCAGCTTCTGTTTTATTTAAGATGCTATAAAAAGAAAAAGAGTAATTTAAAAATATTGAAATCTGTTCGATTAATTTGCACACTGAAAATGGACCATATGATGATTTCTTCGTGTGATTTGAATGTTTTTCTGTCACGTTCCTGATTTTTCATCGTGTCGAGAAGTCAGAGATGGAGTTGCATCTGTTTTTAAATGTTGCTGACTGATGTTGGTCCCTGTGTAATTTCAGAAATGTTGTGATAACCACTGTGTTAATCATATCTGCACATGTTTCGACTTGCACAGAAGAGACTCATGACGCTGTGATGAAGAACACATTGAGACGTTGGTTGATCATGATGTTATGGTGCACTTTAAAGCTCTCTGAAATGTTCTTTTAAGGATTGATCAAACAGTACTGTATTAATCAGCACATTTCATGTTCAGATAAGACGATGCATTCGATGCTAAAGGGATGTCTCTACCTCGACAGAGCGTTTAATCTGATCTAAACTGGATTTATGTAAATGGTGAAACAGTGTTTTAGACTAAAGAAGCACTCAGGGCTGACTGAAGAATGACACAGATATTATTTACATACATTTAAAGTATGAATAAGAAGAGAAGGAGGATGATTATAGTCTGTCTGTTAATGCTGAAAAAGATGAAACCCTCCGTTGTTTTAATTGATGTATAAATTAGCACTAATATCAATGATTTAAAGTTTTATTGAATAAATTATGCAGAGAAATATTATTTTGGCTTCTGATTTATTTCCCTTCATGCACTTTATTCTGTATGAATGTATGATACTTTTTAACGAATGTATGTGTATACATATACACATACATTCAAACATGCATACATACATACATACATACACATACATATAAACATGCATACATACATACATACACATGAATATAAACATGCATACATACATACATATAAACATGCATACATATAAACATGCATACATACATACATATAAACATGCATACATACATACATATAAACATACATACATATAAACATGCATACATATAAACATGCATACATACATACATATAAACATGCATACATACATACATACATATAAACATACATACATATAAACATGCATACATACATACATATAAACATGCATACATACATACATACATATAAACATGCATACATATAAACATGCATACATATAAACATGCATACATACATACATACATATAAACATACATACATATAAACATGCATACATATAAATGCATACATACATACATACATATAAACATACATACATATAAACATGCATACATATAAACATGCATACATACATACATACACATACATATAAGCATACATACATACATACATACGATGGAAAAAAACATCATTCATACCTCTGTGAAAAAAAAACGACACACATAACCATATCGGAAAAAAACTTTAAATATGCGTATTCACGCACACATACATATACACACTTCATATCTTCCTGGTAGTTCCTCAGGTCCTTTGTCTCATTGGTTCCTCTGGATCGTTTCTGATGACGCCTGCTGCTGTAGACTCTCCTGACTCCAACTGATTTAGCTTTTAATATCAGTTTATTATTATTATTCAAATAAAGACTATAGTCCTGCTCTTTTTGTAAAGTGTCTTGTGGTAATACATCACTGCTAAATAAATAAAGATCGATTGATTGATACATTTATACCATATATATCCTTCAAACATTCATACATGAACCTTAAAATGAGAACTGGATAGAAGTGTTTTCAGTCTTCAATGAAATGAAATCAGACCTCGTCTGTTTCTCCTTCTATTGTTTGAAACGTTGACTTTCCTTCTCTGAAGGTTTTCCTGCATCAGTGAGAACAAAGCTCAAACCAGCTTCAGGAGACAAACAGCGAGTCTGATGGGTCTATTTGAAGACTCGTACTCTCCACTCTATTAACAATAAAAGCATCCAAATATAGAATCCAGATTAGTCAGTGTTGGTCATTTATTTTCATCCCCTCTATAAATAAATGAAAGTTAACCAAAGTTCAAGAAAAAGAAATGAAAGGCAAGAACAGAATCACATTTTATTGAAGTGTCAGTCATCTGTGGCTGAAAGCATTCACACAGTGTGATGAACATGAGACGTTACACAGACACATGATCAGGTCTCTCTCTACGATCTAATAACTAACATTTGATGACAAAGAAGAAGACGGCGCACACACAGTCAGATTATAAAGTAAGGCAGTCGTTAACGTTAACTTGAGATGGAGACAAAAAGACCACTTCACGATAAAGTGTGGAATGTGAGAACGTTTATCGAGCGTGAGGAAGGAGTTAAAATCATCATCATACCTTTCACTGAAAATATACACGTTGTAGATTAAGTAAATATATTTATATATCGTCTATAGATTCAGTACTCTAGTCCAGAGAGGCAAGAGAGATTCAAATGTTCTGGGGATCTTTTTTCTAAGGAGGATTTTTTCTTTTGCTTTCGACTTAAAAGTGACCTTCCTGGGGTGCTGGTGGTGCATTGGTGGATGCTGTGGTCTTCCAGGCAGGCGGCCTGGGTTCGAGTCCGGCCTGTGCCCCCCCCCCCCCTTCACTGATAACGAGGAATATGATCATGGGAAACTTCCCCCCTGCCTGGACGTGGATATGATTTTTTAACGTCTTAGAAACTGAATCACCAGTAGGTGTTTTCGTCTCTCTTGCCTCTGAGGGCGCTCATATTTCAGTTTAGGTCTGCTGTGTGATCACAGGAAGTAGCAGCGTTCTCAGTGAAAAGAGGAAATGATGTCATCCAGCTACAGTATAAATGTCTCTCTGCTCCAAACTCACGACAACGATTCGATTATTTTCAGACAGTTTTCTTCAAAACAGCAACGCCATATTGGACTCCAGCTGAGGATCAGAAGCCCGACTCTCCTGCTGTTCCGCTGAACTCAGCACGTTTGTTGGGTTTAGTTTTCGGACATCTTTCGGATCATGTAGTTGAGGATTCCTCCGTTGTGGAAATACGCCAGCTCCACATCCGTGTCGAATCTCATCCTCACCTGGAATGTTTTCCCGTGTCGAGCTGTGAGAGCACACACACACACACACACACACACACACACACACACACACACACACACACACACACAGAGAGAGAAACCTTCAGGTGTCATATCAGATTACAAAACGATGATTAACAGCGTCATTAACGTACCTTGACGTCGACGATCATGCGCGGCGTGAGCGGCTCGGGGATGATGATGGTGTAGCGCTCTCGTCCCGTCAGGCCCAGGCTGTCAGCCGTGTCTCCGGTTAGATACTCCAGAGGAATCACTCCCATCCCCACCAGGTTACTGCGATGGATCCGCTCGTAGCTCTCTGCTATAACAGCCTTAATACCCTAAAGGCAACAACAGAACACCACATGCTTCAGTCTCTCACTCGTCGCTTTCTCATCCTTACCGGAGTTATTTTTTTGACCTTTGCCCTCTCTGATACGACAGCTGAGGAAAGACAGGAGATGTTGGGGAAAAGAGAGTTTTGGGATTATATGCACCAAATGGTCGCAGGTCGGAGTCAGATCATCGACTGATGTGACAGAGACTTTGTGTTTTTATACATGGAGCTGGACGGATGCTTTGTGCGTTTCTTTGTGCCAGCCTCCACCATCGGAGTCCACACCCACCGCCGTCCTTCATGCATTCATGCACGACCTGCTCCGACCTCCACCTCAGGGTGGAACAAGAGGAATACGAAGGAGAAATCCTTCCTCCCTGCATCTTTTCCCATCTCCCCCTAACTCAATTTTCTTAGCAATGAGTGGCGCTGCTGGCACGCTCTGGAGATGGATCGTGGTGCGTGATGTGGAAACGGGAGCACTGACAAGACTGATGTACCACAGCGAACATGGACTACAGTATGTGGAAATGGGGAGTAAGGAAAATGAAATATCATAATGTGACGGCTTACAAGCTGCTCGTCTTGCAAAGAAGGAAAACCGGACCAAAGCAGGAAACATCTGATCCTCAGGGGGAGTAAGATAGTTTCTGCAGATTGTCCATCATGAGTGATGTTCATCGAGGTGGAAGAAACTAGTGAGTGCAGAAGAAGTGTTCACAAACTCCAGAGAAAAGTACTCTCTATCAAAATCTTCTCAGTCAAAACAAACAGACACGATTGTGATTCTTGCTTTATATAATCTACCGCTCATGATAACCATGAAGAGTCTCCTCACCAGTAGAAACGGACCCTTTGCTGCCCAGTCTCTGGAGCTGCCCGAGCCGTACTCTTTCCCCGCAAGAACCAGCAGAGGGACTCCGGACTGCTGATACCGCTCGGCAGCATCGAACACATCCAGCTGCACACAAAGACGGAAACATGCGAGACATCGTTAGCCTCTGAGCTGAGCGCTCTCCACGGAGTGTAAACATAATCAGAGAAGGAGAGAGGGGGTCGTGTGCTGACCGTGTCTCCGCTGGGCAGGTGGATGGTTTGAGGCGCCTGCTTGTTGAGGAACTTGTTGAACAGGCGGATGTTTGCAAATGTCCCTCTGGCCATGACGGCGTCGTTTCCTCGCCGTGAGCCGTACGAGTTGTAGTCCCGAGGGTCAAACTGTCAAAACAAGACAACGATGAAGCAGAAAGCATGAGAATACTGCAGGTTGAACTCTGCAGGTTACAGCTTGACACAGAAAACCAAAAGTGATTTCCTGTCCTGGACACCATAAATACCCATTATAGATAAATACATCCAAATAAGGTGGAGCTGAGTTCATGACTGAAGTGAAATGACTGACCAATCACAGCAGATTGTTTAGTAAAACTGTCTCAAAGTCTCCAAAACTGACATGTCTGGGTCTTCCAGTTTATTTGAAGCTCTTGTGACTCGTTCTAAATTAACTGAGAGAGAAAATCTTCAGGTATAAAATGGTGTTAGCACCCTCTGCTGGTGAGGTAGCGCGCTGCAGAGCTGTTCCTGGCGATGTTTCCTGCAGGAGAGATGTGGTCGGTGGTGACCGAGTCGCCCAGGTTCAGCAGCACGAAGGCGTCCTGTATGGATTTAGGAGGATGGAGCTGCCTGGTCTGAAACAAAGAGGACATAAACACCAGTCAGAGTTTCTGAAAGTGGAAATCTGGATCGTTGTTGTATTTAAAATAAGATGAGATGTGTAGATTTGTTTTTGTTTTTTACCAAACCATCGAAGAAAGGTGGAGACTTGATGTAGGTGGAATTGGAGTCCCAGGTGTAGAGTTTATCAGACGGAGCGACCAGAGAGTTCCAGCGTTCGTTCACTTTCTGCAACAACAAAAATATACACGGTCAGAACACACATGACCTCCACGACCCCTTGCAGGAATACTTCTTCACAACACACCTCTATCTTCTCGTAGACTTCTTTAAACATGGACGGGATGACGAAGGTCCTCTCCACGGCCTGGATCTCCTCTCGTGTGGGCCAGATGTCCCTCAGGAAAATCTCTTTGCCCTCAGAGTTAACGGCTTCAGAGGAAACAGAAGACGAGAGGGTCGAGTTAATCAGGGGTGAGACGTCCTCAGGACGATGTCATCTCTGTTCCTTTCATTATGAATCCTTCTGCTCATCTCCTTCATGAATGTTTGTAGTTCAGATAAAATTAACTAAACCTTTTTTTTTTTTTTTTAATTGTGAAGATGCAGAGATTAACATGGCTTAAATCAAACAGTTAAGGATCAAAGAATAAACCTGCCATACTCAGGGGTAAAGACAGCTTGTGTCTGATCCGAGTCTTTTTTATATTTCTGAGAGATTTTTTTTATAAAGGTCGAGTTTGTTCGATTACATCACAACCGCTCATTAAACTCCAAAGACACACCGCTCCATTATCAAATCTTCAAGTGCCTGAGGGCTCAGATGTGAACTTTCTGCAGGTCCTGGTAGCCTAGTGGTTAGTGCTTGCACCCTGAGGTGCTCAAAGTGGACGGCCCAGGTTTGAATCTGATCTGTGGCTCTTTTCCCGCATGTCGTTCCACTCTCTCTCTCTCTCATCCTGATTTCTAGCTCTACTAACTGTCTGATCTCTGAGTAAAAAAAAAAAGAAACATTATCTGTGAGTCTGCATATGTAAGGATTCTCCTTTTGGAAGTATCCAGAGCATGGCTCAAAAATATATCGTTATAACATGTGTGCATGTGCAGTAGTCTCATCACAGGACGTTGGTTGGCGTCATGCTTCTACTTTTCTGTCGTTTAATACAAACAGAAAGTTCTCGTTTTCCGCGAATAATTCAAACTAAAAGTCTGACATCACCGTCAGTGACAGAGACAGTGTGAGAACTTCATGAGAACTCTCTCTCGTCATCTGTGATCTATCTGCTGATTTACGTCTGGACACAGAATCACCGTTTCATCAGTGAGAGAGAGAAGCTCTTCGTCTTTGTGTCTCACTTCTCACCAATGGGCTCTTTGTCAAAGTCTATCCTGACGGTGCCGGCGATGGCGTAGGCGATGACGAGCGGAGGAGAAGCTAGGTAGTTTGCTCTGGTGTTTGGATGAACTCTGCCTTCAAAGTTTCTGTTTCCTGAGAGGATTCCTGCTGCGACCAGATCGCCCTGAAACACAAGAAACACATCTAAACACCACCAAGGAAGAAACACCAGACTCATGATTCTTCAGGTCTAATGTTTACGTCAAAAGCTTGACATAGGAAAGGAAGGGAAGAGGAGGAAGAAGAGCTGATGAAGGGGAGACATGTAAGATCAGCTGGTTGGTACCTGTGTTATTGCCTCCACCACCGGCTCTGGGAGCGGCCCGCTGTTTCCTATACACGTCATGCAGCCGTAGCCGACCACCTCAAAGCTAACAGGAGACACAGACAGAACATTGTTTACAGTATCTTATCGTAGTGTCTTCCCTGCTGGACTGTGATGACTGTGAATACTGATGTTTTCTACCCAGCAGACATTCAGTAAACGTGCCGAAGTCGCCCCGGTCCCTTGAAATAATCCTTCAGTTCGTCAAGGGTTCTCAAGGAAACTCTGAAGTATGCTGAAGTAAAAACTATGCTGCACTATATTTGTAGCTTTTCCACTAGTTTAAAGTCAGGGATTAACTGTATCTCATAGTTCCATCCATCTTCGGGTCAAGGTGGCAAGAGGCCTTCTCACCAGCAACGTTTTCCAGCTCCTCCTGGGGGATCCTGAGGCGTTCCCAGGCCAGATGGAATATGTTTAACCCCTCCAGCAAGCTCTGGGTCTACCCCGAGATCCACTCTCAGTTGGGCGTGCCCGGAAAACCTCCAAAGGGAGGCGTCCAGGAGACATCCTAATCAGATGCCTGAACCACCTCAACTTTCTCCTTTTGATGTTGAAGGAGTAGCGGTTCTACTCCGAACTCCTCCTGAATGTCTAACCTCCTCCCCCTCTCTCTAAGGCTGAGTCCAGATACCCTCTGCAGGAAACTCATTTGGCAGCTTGTATCAACGATCTTCGTTGATACAACGAAATGTATCATCGCTACACAAACAAAGCTAATGACCACAGGTGAGGGTTTGAACGACATGTAGATTGAAAGCTTTGCCTTCAGGCTCAGCTCCCTCTTCACCTCGACGGTCCGGTACAGGTAGAATATTTTACACTTTAACAGAGTCACACTTTAACACTTACATCTCGGAGCAAAACAACAGCTGATGACGAGCATGAAAACCGCACAAAGGATCGTGTAATGAGGTATTTGTGCACCGTAAGAGATGTCACCTTCGATATGGTCATCATAAGAAAACAGAGCAAGGATAATGTGTTTATTTTAAAAACACCTCCACGTGTTAGCAAGCTGAGGAAACGCTCCAAACTTTTGCGTGTTGCATCATTTTTGTTCAGAGAAAGAAAGCTGATATACCTTCGTTTTGCATCTTGTTTCCCAGTTTAAAGAAAAGAGGAAAGCCCACCCTCCGACTGGTTTCTGGGCGTGCTGCAGCACTCTCACCTGCTCACTCACATATCAGTTGCAAAGCCATAACAAAGTATAATCATCATGCCTGTAAATATCATGAGTTGGGTCGAGTAGTGGAGGAATCAATGAGGAGGTGTTGTGCTGCGTTTGCATCCTTTTTAAAACAAAGTGATAAACTTTGGGGTCAGGTCTGTTAGCTTCGATATCAGCGATAAAAACCAGCTCAGCTCAGATTCTCTCTGCCATCACACTCTTCATCCAGACGTTTTAACTCAAGTGCAATGACAAGAGGAGTCCAGCAGGTGTCACCTTTGAGCTGCAATCAAATACTTCCAAATAATGAACCATTTTCAGAGTTTCTACATCCTCCTCGCCTCCTGCTTTAGCACAGAGCAGAGGAAAGGTGGCAAGGAAAGGAAAAAAGGGAGGACGGAGTAGCGGGGACAGGAATCTAATAAACCGAGGCGTCGTAAAAAAAGCTGTTTTATAAAAATAGACGGTATGACACAGCTGCTTTATTAACGCGTATCACTGTATTAATGACCTCTGAGGGACTGGTTGTTTATTCAAGGACATAAAGTTTTTTAAATCACATCAAAGTAGAGCCTACTGCCCGTTTTTATGAGCTGTAATCGAGACGAAAAAGCAAACTCCACCTGCTGACGATTCTTTTTCTTTTAAATCTACAACATTTCAAATTCACGACCTTCAGTCTGTCCTGAGGATGAGCAGCTTACCCCAGTTTGGAGAGGTAGTCCATGACTCCGCTCTCCTTCAGGTAATAGGTGACGACCCCGCTGCCCGGCGACAGGCTCGTCTTGATGTACGGCTTCACGCTCAAGCCGCACTCCACCGCCTTCTTAGCAAGGAGTCCTGGAGGAAGAGCACGGACTGTGAATAACTAGCATGCATCTCTCTCATCACATTTTAGATATTCCTTCAGGACCGGGTTGCACCAGCATGATGATCACAGCTCCTCTACGTCTGGACACACAGACTTGAGAATTAAGGTTGACAAACACTTTTCAAAACCACGTCTTTTAAAGCTGAACAGCCTCAGTTATTTTAACGATCGGTAGTATCCAAAAGTAAAACTTGAAAACAAACGACAGATCTTCAGTCAGATTTTCAACAAAGCTGCTGCGAGGAAAAGAGAGAGAGAGAACAGCAGTGGTCGTTTCAGATTCACGCTGTTTTCACATATTCACTCTGGAAATGTCTGACCTGGTTGTTCACACACATGCACCTCACAGCAGGAGACTAACTCTGTCAGACAGGAGGGGGGGCGGGGTCTCCTGAGGTAAGACGTGATGTAAAATGACCGACACAGAAGTAGCAGACGAAGCCACAGAGTCCTCTATATGACGCTATAATGAGAATATGTGTCTTTCTATCAATGCTACGTGTAGTTGAACAGAATCTCAATGTGATCTAAAGAGTGGAGAAGAACATACTGGAGAACAGGAAACATAATGCAGCAGGTTCATTAGAGCACGGAGATGGTAGAGGTGGCGTGCAGACAGTCTATGGTCGTGCAGCGATCACAGGGAATAAACGTCACCACCCCCTCTCACTCGCTCCAGGTGAATTCTCCTGATTATATCCTGCTGCGTTCTCACTCTCAGCTCACTCTGACTTTCTGCAGAATAAATACGAGGAGGCTGGAGGAGAAACTCCGGGTGAAGAGAGAAACATTCAGCTGTTTGTGTTCACACATGACGCTCAGAAAGAAAATATAAGAGTTTTTCTGCGAGCGTCAAAAGAACAAAGAGCAGAGGAGGAGACACTTTCTGAGGTGTAACTCAGCCTAACAGATGACCTGTACACTCACCTGCTCCGAGCATGACGGACGGGTTGCTGGTGTTGGTGCAGCTGGTAATGGCGGCGATGACCACAGAGCCGTGACTTAACGTGAACTCTTTTTCGTTAAACTGGAAGGGAACGGACGAGTTGTGACGATCAGGAGACACCTGGAAACCTTTGAAACCCGTCTGAAAATGTCACAGAGAGAAAGAAGGTGAGTTGCTATGTGGACGTGTTGTCCTGTCTTTACAAAAATCGTAAAAAAGGCCAAAAAGAAAAATAATAATTGCATAATAATAATTGCTTGTATTCTCGTTTTTTAGATTCATGAATTATCCATTTAGTGTATAAAATGTCTTAAATTGTGAATTATCAGTTCACATATTGTTTGAGATGCGTGGTGAACCACAGGATATCTTCGCTCGTGTCTACCTTTGCTGCCAGGCAGGATTCAAAATCGGTCTTCATGTCGGACACTGGGATTCGATCCTGGGGTCGTTTTGGACCGCTGCAACAGGGAACAACGGCACTCAGATCCAGCTCCACAACCTGAGAGAGACAGAGACATTCACACCACATTGAAATGTTGTAAATATGGTAAAACACCTCCACATTCACACACTGATGGTAGAGGCTGCTGTGTAAAGAGTCCATCAGTATTAACTCATCCATTCATACACACATTCACAGGTCAGAGCAGTTTCTAAAAGTGGAGCATAACGGAGAGAGTGACCTGAGTGAAATCTGGATCCTGAGAGATGTTGTTGTAGTCTCTGAACATCGACACCGCCTTCAGGTACTTTGTGATGTAGGCCAGTTTCTCCGCATCTCGCCCTAAAGACCGTAAACAAACATACAACCTGGAATATAAAATGCTGAGATAAATCAGGGAAGTCTATGATAAAGTTATGAATACGCTCGCTTTCAGCTCACCGGTCTGCTCCAGGTACTGTATGCTGACGTCGTCCACGGGGAAGAAAGCGGCGGTGGCGCCGTACTCCGGACACATGTTGGCGATGGTGGCTCGGTCAGCGATGGACAGCTGAGCGACACCGGGGCCGAAGAACTCCACAAACTTCCCCACGACGCCTACCTGACGGAGGTGCTGTGAGGAGAGCGAGGAGACAGTGTCAAGTCAAACGTTTTCTGCATACATTTGATATCTTAATGTCTCATTATGCACGATTAGAGTTTGCAAATCTGATTCTCAGTACCTTGGTAACGGTGAGGACAATGTCAGTGGAGGTTATGAACGTGTCGGGGGTCCCACTCAGCTTGTATCCCACCACCTCAGGGAGCACCATACTTATCGGCTGACCCAACATCACAGCCTCCGCCTCGATTCCTCCGACGCCTGAAGGATTGAACAAAACTCTTAATAATCTACGATCACAAAAAAAACCTTTTAGAGATCAGAGTGGGCTTTGAATCCAACCTGTGGATCCTTTCCCGCATGTCATTCCCCTCGCTCTCTCTCCCTGACTTACGACTCTATCTATGTCCTATCTCTCCAATAAAGGCACAAAAAGCCCCAAAAATAAATCAGAACAGGATGATGCACACATCGGTCTTTTGCAGACCCGTGGGACATGTGTCATTTGACATAATGATGTCATCAGCGTGCAGACATTTGAATGACGCCGAGCTGGGAAAGACTGAACTTTCTGTCAGCCAATGAATGAATAGTGTCCGTTTTAGTTCTGATTTGAGATGGATTATTAAGCAGGCAAACATCTCCTGCAACCTTTAAGGAGCTGCACCCACGCTATCATCCCCATTTTCACCACACACAATGGATGGAGACAGGCTACATTTTGCCTACTGCGTCATTATGCTAAGCTAAGCTAAACTCTATGATCCCCATTAATCTCCAGCACATATCCCTCATAGCCTTTAATAAGTTGTGCAGCAGATCTACTAGACAGACTTTGTTTTCTTACCCCATCCTAGGACTCCCAGTCCATCGATCATTGTGGTGTGGGAGTCGGTGCCCACCAGGCTATCGGGGTAAAAGAAGCCTTCATATTTGAACACCACTCGAGCCAAGTACTCCAGGTTGACCTGATGAACAATCCTGACCCCGGAGGAATGATTCGCATGTTTCTGAACGCCTTCGAGCCCCACTGAGAAGGACAGACAACATGTTTCATGATCAACACATCTCTTTATTCCACACATTTAAACCTTACACCAGGGTTGGAAATTAACATTTTTGTCTACCTGCCACTGTGACTGGTGGATTCAAAACTCTACCAGTCACTCTTTTTTTACTTGCCATTAGATTCTAATCCATGCTGCGCTCAATTAAAGACACACAGAGTAAAGAAATTTAAGCACATAGCCTATCACTGTAAAGACTGAGACGAGGAGGGTCGGACTGTAAGTCTCATTTAGGACTACCTGTCTCTGCTCATAGAGTCAGAGTCAGCAGGACGTTACTTTTGCACGTCACTGCTGCTGTGCTAATTTCCAGCCCTGCCTCACACTGTGGGGTTTGTCCAGATTTTATACCTTTAAAAACTGAAATCTCTCTCTGTTCCTGTCAAACTCCAAGTCCTGGTTTTTCTGAACGCTGTCCGACCTGAAGGGGGGTAAAAAAGAGCCAGTGAGTTTAAAATGTAGCTGGGTCACATACAGAAAAGTGAGCTGTTCATACTGTATCTGAACATGCTCTTACTTTCTGTTAAAGTCCACCTGGATGGAGTGATCGATGACGAGGTCAGCTGGACAAACAGGATTAATCTTCTCCGGGTCACCGCCAAGTTTCATCACCGCATCACGCATGGCGGCAAAGTCCACGACAGCAGGGACGCCACTGCAAGGAGAGTCAGAGTTAGGACTTGGGCCTTTTTTTTAAAATAATATTGTGATCTAAATGACTCATTTGTACAAGGTAGGGAATTTCTTCAGTCTGCATCCATGAAACAGGCGGTAAAAGCTGCAACATGATTTTAAAAAAAAAAAAAAACTTAATCAAAGTTTGTCCTCTTCAAATTCTTATTTTTTTTCCACAGACCATACTACTGCTACTGCTCTGCTAAGTTCAAGAAAATAGTTATGCAACACTGTATGTAAAAATACATATTTGAAAGGAGCATTATGTAACTCTGACACCTAGTGTTTAAAATTTTGACTTTAATGTCTATACTTGTTCAACCTGCATACAAGGTTTTCCTATATTTCCCGCAATTAAAACCTCAATATCATTGATATTTGAAGATCTCGGAAAGCCTAATGCTATCGTCTTCCAAGTTCCCAGTTTGTTACACAGATTCCTGTTAGAAATCTGTAATCTGAAGGTTGAGGCTACCCTCAGGGTTTTCTATCAAGATAAAGCTTCTCCACAGTCCCAGAAAACATTAAAAAGCTCTTTTCACAGATTAAACACTCCATGACTTTGAACTTTATGTGTGAAATTGATTCATTCAGTTCTGTTGGTAAAAGGATATAAGAGATAAGAAAGATAAGAGGGTATTTGTAAAAGTTTCTTGAATTGCTGTCAAACTACAGAGCAACACTCTGACGTTTGTAAGTAAATAAATGTATCATCAACACACGTGAAGTCCTGCAGGATGACGCGGGCCGGTCTGAAAGGACCTCCACAGTCTGAGTCTGAGTCTCCTTCCAGTTAAGGATGCTTTCCACATCTGAGCTCTTCACCAGAAACTCATCGCAGTTCCTGACGGCAGACTCCAAGAGGACACGGATGGAGAAGGGCAGACGGTCTTGGAAAAAGACAGAATATTTAGTGAACATCCAGCAATAAAATACCACTCAAGCTACTCAAAAACACATACCGTAAAATAAGTTCTCTCACCATATCTGGGATCTGCAAGTTTGGTAAGATTGTAAAACTGCTCATTTGGTTCATCTGGGTCCAGATGCTCAACTATATGTTGAAAAGGATTCTTCACAGTCGCAGACATCCTCCTTTATGTGTCAGAACTAATCTAGAAGAAGAAAAAAAAAAGATCAAATGTAAGCTTGTTTTAATACCATACAATAATACAAGAGGTTGACTAATGAAAGGTAGTCTTCAACCACTGCTAAATGGTTTGACAACTACTTGCTCTGAAGGTTTCAAATGTTGTTGATTTCAAAGATGGTCACTCAACTTGACAGTAACTGAGCATGTTCGTGCATCACCGCCTGACACTCTGCAGAGTGATGATGCTTGTAATCTATATAGCGCCCTCTGCTGGTGACAGAGAACTGCTAGTGCAAAACAATGAAACTCAAATGAAATGATATCTGACTGGTGAATAAATCTAGTAATATTGCACATAGCTAAGATTAAATTAGCAGATACCAATTGTCACTGGATATGCTAATATCGGTCGAAAGATTAAAGATACAATATGAAGATTCCACCACCAGGGGGCTCTCAATCATTACTACAATAACAAAAGATGGCATTGAGGCTGGTGGAGAATCATGGGAGTTCTCTCTGCGACTGCGACTCCCCCCCCAGTGAAAACGAATGCTGCGTAGTAAAGACGAACAGGTGAAACCGACCCGAGGAAGAGAATATGTTTACCGATGATGTATCCATTAATTGACATGACGTTTTTATCAAAGCAGCACATACAGGTACAGCAACAGTACGGCAGCGTTCAGTAGCAATTCCCACTTCTTCCTGTAGAGGTATTTCCATGGCAACGATAAACATTACGTCAGCCATGGCGGCTCATCATGACGGCCACCTCGACAAGACACGTCCCGTTACGACTCTAAAATTACAGATTACTCTGGTGTTGATAACTGTCCGAAATATTTGAGGTAATGTAAGTACTCAACAACAAAAAAATCTCTATATAACATGGGTTTAATCCATTTTTAATTAATTCAGATATTTAAATGTAACCATTGTCATGCAATTCTACATGTTGTACATTTAATTATTTTGGTTAGGAGGCTGTAACATTGTTCAAGACAAAAAGAAATTCAAGCAAAACTTTACAAGTAACCTATTATGGTGATATTCCTCATATACATCTTCTCCCTTAAAACTTTGGATGCTTTGTACCAATTTACCAAAAACTCTCATTCATCAGTGAGTCGGTTGCTTTTCTTTTACAACGTTAAGATGGTGTACGTTTTCTTTATAAAACCATATTATATGAATCCCTTCTTTTTTACATTCTCTAATCTCTACTGAACTTCTAGGAGATACAACCTTCAGTCACATGGACCAATCATGTGTGTCCAATCTCAAACCTCTTTGGTCAAAGTGCTTTTAAAGATATTGTTCCTCCCTCCTCTGCGAGCTCCAGAGTCACTTTAAACAAGATTATGTTAAAAAGCATTGAAGATTATAAACAGGATTAAGGATTATTTAAACACTGACTGAATGCACATGTTCTGTTGCTGAATACGACCTATTCATTGTTCATTATTGTTTTATGTGAAACTTTTAATGCTTCTCTCTTGACCTGTACGCACTGGAACTCTTACTGGTAAATAAAAGTAAAACAAAAACGAGAAAATTGTCTCCTGAGTCTTACCTGAATTTGAAACATGTTTACTGCACATGTTTCAGAAAAATCTAAGAGGCTGTAGCGTCTGTTTACATCGGCTAAACATGTTTAAGAAAAAAGGCCTGGTTTACAATCTGGAGTCCATCCATAGTCAGTGATGAAATAGATAAACCTTTATGGTTGCAGTCCACGTGGGCTGGTAGGCCCGCCTGAGGGTTAGTGAACTCTTGTTCCACGTTTTCCAAACCTTGCATAACTACCAACTCTTAAGCAATCTCTCAACACTTTTAACACAAAAATATGCAGCTTAGCATTTAACTGCTCAACACATACACAGAGGGTAATCAGAAGCCTAAGTAAAATCTGTTTCCTCGAGAGGCGTTATCTGTGTGAAGGGTGAACCAATGATAAAGAAACACTTCACAGGGGGAACACACATCCTGAATATCCACATACTAGGCAGGCTGAAGCTTGGCTGCAAAGTTCAAATACTGATACTGACATTACTATGTTGTAATGCACACAAACAGCAGCTTTGATTTACTTTGACATGCTTAATGCAGCAGAAAGAGAGGAAATAATCCTACATAGTAACATGCTATTTGCTTTGTAATCTTGCATAGATACACATATATGAATATTTAATGTTATACATTATTATGCCAATAGCTCAGTGGCTAAAACCCATTTTTTTGTATAAATTGCAAAGTTTAAAGTTGCTGGATTACTGAATCTAGTGACTGCATATCACATCAGGTAACAATAAAAGGAAGACATTGAAATTTGAATTCTTGTTGGCGGTTTCTGTCAATATAAAATTCCTGAATTTTGTGAATAAAAATACATGTCATATCACTTAATTCTAGCAGCCTTGTTGTATGTTTTAAACGTACTTTCTGCTTGTCAGGATGTTTTTGTTTTTAGTTCGGTTGAATTTCAGAAAATGTGTTTACAGTTATTATTATTACTATATTATTATACAATTATTATTATTATTATTATTATTATTACAGTCCTCAAAGGTAAATTATTTTTTAACAAATCATCCATAGGGATTCATCCTTACTACGAATACTCTGTGTTTGTTTATTCTAATAAAACATTTCTGTTGAGGAACCAGTAAAATATGTTTCTAAATCTTTAACCTGACATGGCCTGATGTTGTGACGTAAGTTAGCATTAGCTAACCTGGTCAAACTTCAACATTAACATACTTTAAAAGTTAGTACGGAGACTTAAAAGCTTGGGACACGCTTAGAGACTGTAATTAATACCGGATATTTAGTATAACATGTCAACATAAGTAAGTGTAAAAGAATAAAGATTTTAAATTAGAGGAGCAGTCAAAGTTAGCTAGCTTGATACTTCAGTGTTGTTCATGAGAGCTCTGCTACGTTAACTAGCTCCTTCATGCTAATCAACGTTAATAATAAAACAGTGAATTTAACGTCGGTTTAATTTGGATAACTTACTTCAGAGCAGCAGAGGAGACACCGCAGAGCACGGCGTGTGTTATCGACACACTGTCAGAGATTATCTCATACAGACAGCCTCCTGCAGCTGCAATAACTTCCGCGTTGTCAAAGAACTACAACTACCACACACCACCGGTCAGAGTTTCAAAATAGAAGTAAAAACTACAAATGTAAACGCAACAATAACAATGGTCAGAGGTAGTGGATATTTAAATGTATATTTATATATAAAATGTATTACATTATTATATTACATTGTTATATAATATTTTTTGAATATTTAACAATAATAACCCATTATGCCAAAAAGAAAAAATATGAAATCTTAACACTGTTTACCAAAAAACAATGATGGCGGTCTCCATGCTGGAAATGCTGTCTCATACTAACTTTCATTCAACCTAACGACAGGCTGAGAGCTGCAGCTGAGGTGGGTTTTAAACCTCCTGACAAACCGTTACACCGCGCCCACCTGTCAATCAGGTCAGCTACACGCCTTATTGTGAATAACTCTTATCCTTCATCAAATCAAAACTGATGAGTCATCAAAACATTCACCCCCTGTACAGTGTGTGCCGATCGAGACATGAGTTAATCAGAACTATTTGGTTTTTTGAACCAGACTGTAAACATGTTAATCTCTGCTGTAAAAACAGGCTTTTTTGAATGGGTGTGTATGTGAATTCCTGTGCTTCTGCAGCCAACCTCTAGTGGACACTCCAGGAACTGCAGGACTTTGCACTTCAGTATCAGCTTCATTTTTCAACACAGGAGTTCGCCACTTGATAGTTAATAGTTTGTTTAATCTGTGTTACACAAGAAATATGACCAACAAAACTAAGTTTCTGCAAACTCAAATTGCTGTTTTGTAAATGTAGGAGAGACGCAGCAACTGAGCTTTTGATATGTTGTCACACTTAACACTAGCGCCTGATCACTTTTCAAGAGGTATACTTTTAAAGATTATGTTGCAGATTATCTCAAATATTTGAAGTTGTCGGCTGAATCAGTCTGTGATTCTAAATCTTTTTACACCTTTTGCTTATTTATAATTACATTTGGGTGCAGGTTTAAAATCATCAGAATAACTCTGTCATGAAACAAAGAATGTATGCATTATCATCCAAGTATAATAACCTCTGAAGTGGAGTGAAAAGAGAAATACGCAAGCAAGAAGACCTTCATTAGGGATCATCTGTCACAGACACCAGTACCAGGATGGTCCAGTAGATGGCAGCAGAGACACGACAGATACTTAAGGAGAAACCTGTGAGCAAAGGTGCTGCAAGAAGAGGAATAATGGCAAGCTTGTCACTTCAGGGCATGGCCGGATAAACCATTAGGGAAACCGGGGGCCTTAGATCTGTAGAGGTCCCAGATCAGTAAGTTAATTGGCAAAAAATCAGGTTAGATCTCGCTCTGCTTTAGCCTCTCTGCTGGTGCCACTGCAAGCCATCATACCTATTCTCTGATTCTGTGGTAGAGGGGGCTATAGTGTCAGTGGGTTTGGTGGGTGGCAGATTTCCAGAGGGGCCCTTGAAAGCCCAGGGGAACGTTGGTGTGTTAATTTGGCCCTGCTTCAGGGAACCTCATTTCTGTCATTTCATAGAAATGTAAACATGTTAGAGACAGAGAGGCTGCAGACTCAATGTTTAATATTCAACAAATAATTTTGTTTTAAAAAATGAGCTGAGGGATCATCCATCCATTATCTTTAACACTTTTCATGTTCAGGGTCGTGGGGGGCTGGAGCCGATCCCAGCTGTCATTGGGCAAGAGGCGGGGTTACACCCTGGACTGTTCACCAGCCAATCACAGCGCTGACATATAGAGACAGACAACCAGCCACACTCACATTCACACCTACGGGCAATTTAGAGTCACCAGTTAACATAACCAGCATGTCTTTGGACTGTGAGAGGAAGACGGAGTACCCAGAGAGAACCCACACATGTACAGAGAGAACATGCAAACTCCACACAGAGTCCTGTCAGACAGGAATCGAACCTCCTCGCTGTGAGGCAACAGCGCTAACCACTGCACAAAAGAGGGATCATAAGGACACCTTTTCATGTTTTTTACAAAAACAAGCAGTCTTATAAGCATTGCAGAATGTTCTACAAATATCAAAATGTTTCCCTCTCTCATCTCTGAGAGTCCACAGCAACACCTTTTTTTATTTTCAAACAATAATCATAATAATGCATATATTTATAAAGCACTTTTCAATGTGAGTAAAAGGTCTGAAAACAGGCTTTTTAAGTAGTCCAACAGGTGTAATATTTGTTCTATTTTATTTCTTAAAATGCGCACGTAAAACTCCACGATAAATGTGGCTCCAGGAGTAGGGAAACACAAATGAAATATGTGTAAAGGCTTTGTCGCCCCACAGGAGGCTGAGTGTAGTCTCATAAATGTCCTCTAAAAATGTCTCCTGAGACAACAGAAGAAAAGAAAACCAATTAGTGCTTTTACACATGCAAAAAACTCCTGAATCTTTCGGGGGAGCTGCATGTGTGAACACAAACAGCTGAATGTTTCTCTCAGACCTTATCCAGAGTTTCTCCTCCAGCCTCCTCGTATTGATTCTGCAGAAAGTCTGAGGGAGCTGATGTGAGAACACAGCAGGATATAATCAGGAGAATTCACAGACCACAGACTGTCTGCACTTCAACATAGCATGCTTCCTTAATGTCTGGTGATATAGTTAGGTCATTTTATGATTTTATTTTAGTAAATTTCTTACATATTGGTTTGGTTTGCTTACTTGCAATAAAATTGATTACAAATGTTACATTACAAATATGCATGACTCAGCAAAGTGTGAAGGTAGTTGATCAATACTGGATGGAAAGGCTGGAAACATTGGGTGCTGATTTTGAAACACATTGCTGTTGAGCTACAACATTAAAAACATGTTGGATTCATCCTTTACTTTTGCTCTAATTCCTGCACCTGCCGACCACACAGGCTGCAGTCAGTGTTAAAAAATGAGGAAATGTCAGTGACACCTTGTTGTGGGGGAAGGGTGGAGGAGGAGGGAGAAGGAGACTGCCTCCCTCCCTCCCTCCCTCCCTCAGTCCCCTGCACACACACAGACACACTCTCTCTCTCCCTCCCTCACACTCTGCCTGCCTTCAGCAGCATCTGACGGCTGCATCCTCTTCTCTCTGAAGCACCGCGGCTCCTCCATCCTCCTTCTCTGCGTCGTCTGCTCCTGACACTCTGACCGCTGCAGGACTCCTTTGTGTCTCTACGGGGGCCCTTGTTGTCATTTCTCCCCTTTTTTTAGGGAGAAAGAGAATTACATGGACATGATGGGGAACAAAGAGCGACGAGGCATGAATTTCAAAGGCTTGCTGAGGAGGAACTGGCTTCTGATTGCCACGATTATCTCTGTGCTGCTCGGTATGTGGACGCCGCTGAACGCCTGCTCCTGTGTGCTGAGAGAATGAGACGTTCTCATCTTTGATTTAACCTTTTTTTTTTTTTAATCATCTTCACTGCTGTTTATGTGTGCACCCTTCCTTTTATGTATCACCATTCAGCTCTGCTCTCAGCTGCTGTCACTGCTGAATAAATCATCCTCTCCTGCATCTGCATCCCTCTGCAGGACTGAACTGCAACAGCAAAATGTGTGTTAAAGAAATCATCTGTTTGATCCATGATTATATGACATGAACATAAAAATACTGCAGGCTGTGTGCAGAGTGTAAAGCCTAGCTGTCCTCTCCCCCTGTGTGTCTGGATGTGTCTCAGTCAAACGTGACCAGACTGAGGGGACAGCTGATGCTGCTCTGTGATGAGGATGTAAAGTACTAGCAGCAGGTGTTAAAAACAGGACGGCTTCAAAAGGGTTCAAATCTTATTGCGATGTAGTTTTAGTTTAGTTTATCAGGAACACCATTACCTGCACCATAGCTGTGACTGTGTCATGACATCGTACAACTTTAAATCAACATGTCTTTTTTATGAATCCAGCTGAAATCAGTTGTGTGCTGCATTACAAAACATATTTAGACAGACATTAAAGTTCCAACCAGTAAGATGTGTAGTGAGTGAAATGATAAAGTGAGCTTACTATATGATCAGACATTAAGGAAACATGTAAGGCACCCCGACACGGTTGTTTTGGACGCCCCCCGGTTTGCCAGGTATGAGAGCAGTTATCAGGTCAAACCAACAGGTGTTGCAGAGATGGAACGAGAAGTGGTTCAGATAGAAGTGATTGTACCCGACCTAAAAAGCCACGAGCAGAAACGTGCTCAAACTAGGATCAATATTGGAGATGCTTTTGAAAAATGGAGAGAGGTTAGAACACAGAAAGGTTTACAGACCGATGCAGAGCTGGATAAACACTGAACACTTCGGTGTCCACCACATGGTGACCTGCGTGAGCATTGACTCTAGAGAGGAGGGGGCGGGGGGGAGATAGCTCTCTACAATGTTTAGAATTTAGACTGCGGTACCCATTTCAAACACTAGGTGTCAGAGTTACATACTGCTCCTTTAAAGGAACACTTTAAAGCTCCTGCAAGAAAATTGGTTGTGTGGATTTGGCGCCCCTTGTTGACAAAGTGATATGTAATATCTAGAACTGGATTTTCAGCATGGGAAGTGTTTTGATTTCCATTTTCAAATTTGTAGGCCGCGCTGTATTTACAGTATCAGGTATCAGCAGGATTGAAGCCTCTGTGTAACTTTTATAGTTAAACTGACTCACCACAAACAGATGAATGGGCGCTCCTCTTGGGGATGAATCAACCAAAGGTGACTGTTGTTTACTTCCTCATTCCATGACAGTAAACCAGCTTAGCCGGGCATACTGCCAAATTACCACAAGGACTGGCAGTCATACTACATACTACTGTTGAACACAGAATGCAGAACACTGCTTCATACTGCTTCTATGTGTACAAGACAAGTTCAGCAAAGAGACTAGAGATGCTGCTTTGTCCACAGGGGGCGCCAAATCCACATAATATGAAAGTTCCTCACAGAGGTCTGTTATGAGACGGGTCATTTCATTCCGAATTTCCGAATGTTTGTGATTTTTAACAGTCTTAGTTTCTTTTCCAAGCAGTAATAAAAATGTTTTTTAACTGAGTATTTAAGAATAAATCTGATTAATGTTTATTATGATTTCACGTTCACATATTTGCAAACAGCAGAACTATTAGCAGTTTATCACAACCAGATAGTAAATACATCCTTAAAGGAAGAATGTGCGATATGTGACACATAAATAAATCATAAATCCAGTCTATCCTGTGTAAATGTGTCTCTAAGTCATGACTGTCTACAATGAGTGAGAAGCTCGAGTCTCGCTGGCTGTGTTGTTGTCAAAGCTGTGTTTACATGGACGGGACGGCCGGCTCCTCCCCTTGTGTATGAAAGCTGTTTTAGTTAAGAACTAGAGAGAAGAAGAAGAACATACTCACTGATTATTTGGATGTTAGTAAGAGTTTTTAGATCATGCTCATTCTGTGTCAGTTTATATACAATGTGAAGCTATGAGCTAACTAAAGAGCGCTAACATTAGCATGCTAACACAACAATGCAGGACACAGGTGATTGCAGCTCGAGCAAAGGACAATTTTGTCCACCGCTTGTGCTTGACTCCTTCGTGCAAATGCAAGGGGAGAGGGGTTGGAGGTGCGTCTCTGAAGGAGAGCGGAGGCTTCAGTACGGAGGAGGTGTGGCCAAACAGGACGTTTGTTTTGGTTTTTGTCTGGTGCTCAAGGGCGACATCTACTGGATCAAAAAGAACCACAACCTTAGCCTTGCTTTTTATTTAAAGTCTTTTTCTTTTCCTACCAAAATTAACGTCTTATGTTGCACCCGTTACCTATTTTGACCATTTTCATCCTCCAATCATAGGTCTTCTAGTAATAAGAATAATCGGTGCTTGGTTGGTTGATGTCCTACCATAAAGACACATGATCAATCAGAGAACATTTAAGTAAAAGCAGAAATGAAATAGCACCAGTGTGCACATGCAGGACCTCAGGCTGGAGAACAAGCTGTGCAAAGGTTTTAGCTAATTGGATTGTTTGCAGTTCATACAATTGAAGTAAAATCAGTTGTTTCTATGTTAGTTTGGGCTTGAGGGTTAAGGTGCTAGGGAGGAGGGAACAAATTCACTTTCATCTGGAGATTTAAGACGTTGAGTCTGCTGTTTAACCTCTTCTCTTCACCTGCAGGAAAATATATAAATATTTTTACAAGGGCCATAAAGCCTGTTGTCCCTGGTTGCTCTCTCTCTCTCTCTCTCTCTCTCTCTCTCTCTCTCTCTCTCTCTCTCTCTCTCTCTTGAGTTAGTCACAGGAACAACAGCGACAGTTTCCCCTGAGGTCCACATTTCTTCCGGCTCACCGTCACTGTTTTTTTAATTCAACTCAGTTCAAGGTTGAGTTTCAAAACATCGTCAGTGGGCTGAGAGGAAGCAGTTTACCGTCTGCTGCTGCTGTAAAATCAAGGAGGGAGTCTTTATTTTATAGCAGCAGCTGTAAACTGAAGGAGAACACATACAGGGTCACACACAGGGACATCAGGCATAGCAGGCTTTATATACCTGCAGCGGGATGTTAGTTTGGACCTTTAATCTACACGCTGATTCCACCTGAGTTTGCTGTGTCATCACAGATTTTTACAAGCATCTTAATGGAGGTCTGTGTATGCGTGATATGCGTGAGATGACAGTGTGGACTCCATTAAATCATTGAGTGGAATACATACAGTGGTTTATAGCTGTGAGATATGGACCAGTGTGTGTTGCGCTTCGTTAATTCTCTTCAGATGAAATTTCACTGAACTCGGCAATAGTTTGACTGTTCTGCAGAGGAAATGTTTCATTCCTTTAAGTGCCATAAAACCTGTTTGAATATTTTTAATAGTGAAGGGGCATCGACATCAGACGTTTAAATGTGCAGCAATCATTGTTGCCTGTGTAACTCTCTGTTTTCTCTTTCTTGATGTTTCAGGGATCAGTTTGGGCGTCGTGGTCAGAGAGTATGCGTCCCTCTCAAACCTCCACAAACAGTACTTTGGTTTCCCAGGAGAGATCCTGATGAGAATGCTGAAGCTCGTCATCCTCCCGCTCATCATTTCCAGCATGATAACAGGTAACTTTACAGGTCACATATTGTTCTCCTCCTTTTCTCAACACATTTAGTCTCAGAGGTCGCCCAAACAGGTCTGTGAGATGTCTTGCTTGGTCTGGATCAAGTGGTTAGCCCTACACATCATATATGGGCTTCATGAGGTTATGGAACCCGTATCCCCTAGGACCAATTTGCCTCGGGAGACCCAAGGGGCTCCACAATGCAGCTCCCACATTCACAGCTACCCAAAAACCCCTCCACCACTTTAAGATGGCGATTCCCGGAGGAATTGCCAGTTAAAGCGATTCATGCATTTGATTTAGATACCTCTTGGGCATGTCCTCTGGAGATATGCCCAGGGCACGCCAACTGAGAGGAGACGCTGGTGAAGTCCAAGGTCTGCTGAAGGGATTGTACGTCCCTTCCCTGGGAATGCCTGGAAAACGTTGCTGGAGAGAGATGTTTGGCTGCTGTCGAGGTGACCCGGCCCCCCATATGTAGAAGAAAAATGGAAGGATGGATTGACAGACTTTAGCAGCCTTTAAAAAACTCTTGTCTCCACAGTCCCCCTCCCCGTCCTGTTTCAACAGCAGGGACAACAACAGCGGCAGACGAATGCCATCTGAAAATGGTCTCTTTACACAGCAGCCTCTACCATCAGTGTGTGAATGTGTAGGTGTGACCTGAGGTGTAAAAGAGCTTTGAGTAGTCAGAAGATGACAAAAGAACAATACAAGCTCAAGTTCATTTACCTTTTTTACTCCATAGAAAGTATTTTCTTCTTCTTTCTTCCCCCACCAACTGTTGCAGAAGGACGGGTTCACTCAGAAAAAGAACAACGTATGAAACATGTTTTAGCCTCTATGTGAAACATAAACAAGCTGAAGGAAGCAGCTTCCTGTCAGTGTGAACACAGAGCTGAGAACAACAAACCCAGAGGGAGTTTGACTTCACTCTCTTAACGCTCTGATATATTTACATAGGGTATATTTGGTTTCTGTCCACACAGGTGTTGCAGCTCTGGACTCCGAGGTGTCAGGAAAAATTGGCCTGCGCGCTGTAATTTATTACTTCTCAACAACCATCATAGCCGTTATTCTTGGTGAGTTGATTCTGTCACTCGTCCTCCCCTCACTTCACTTCTCCAGTTCTAAGAATTACTGAACAGAACCCAACAGTTTCTTCCAGTTCCTCTACAGTTCAGACCTTCAGATGGTGTTATAGTAACGTGTTGTACTGAGGGGTGTTGTCCTCTCTGCAGGTATTATTTTGGTGATGACCATCAAACCAGGCGTCTCTCAAACGGCCGATCACATCGACAGAGCGGGGACGACGCCCAACGTCACAACCGTCGACACACTCCTGGACCTCGTCAGGTGAACTCAGACTCACATAGTCATAGGAACCACATCTCTTTGATGGGAGCAGGATTTATAGGCCATGTTTCTTTCTGAGCAAACAGGTTAACACGTTAATCGCAATCTACAATAAGAGCATTACATTTTGTAGATAGTCGTCCTCAGTGTCTCCCTGTAGTCTCAGTGATGTTAAAGAAGGACACTGCTGCATGTGTCTTTTCTCTTTAACAAACTCTCAGACAGCTCAGCTGACGAGTCCAAAGTAATATCCACTTTATGACATCACACATTGACCTATGACATCACACACTGACCTTTGTTACCGTTCCTTTGAGATGTTTGACCTCAGTTTGGGATCCCTAACCACTTCTTGTTTCTCTGCTTAACTTCATGTCCTAACCTTCCATCTGCCAGAAGGGTCTTACTGTATTTCAAAATAAAAGCATGGTTGAATTCAAACAGGAAGGAAAATACCCTTAGATTAAGATAGTACTAACATTAAAAATAAAAGCCTAATTAAAACTTCTTCAAAATAACTCAATTCAAACAAATAGATTCAGAAATCAGGGAGAGAGATAGTGGGGAACAACGACTCTCAAGCCAGACCTGAACCCGGGCCATCTGCCTGGAGGACCACAGTCTCCGCACACTAACCACTTCGCCACAGGCACCGCAACAGCCTTAGTTCTCGAGTTAAACAAACGAGTCCTTTTCTAGCCGGTTCAATCAGTAAATAAAACGCCACAAACTGGTCTGTAATGGATGTGAACTGAACTTCTTTGTCGGTAGCATATTGTGGAGTCTGATCCTGTATTTCATGCCTTAAATAAAGACAATAGCCTCGATTATAACAAATCAAGCATGTGCTTTAAATGAATTTGCTCTGAAAAATCTTGGATTCGATTTCTGGAAGGCATCTTTCTACATGCACAGAGCAAGATCCATCAAGCAACCTGTATAAATATATTTGTCTTCCGTTCATCCCCTGCCTTGTCTTTTTCCTCCAACAGAAACATGTTTCCAGAAAATCTGGTGCAGGCTTGTTTCCAGCAGGTAAGAGTCTTTTCAAATCCGTTATTTATTTCTGATTTAAGTGATATTCAAACATCCATCAGGAGGTGGTGATTATTTAGTATGCGTGTGAATTTAACTCTGTGTGATTAATTCCACTTCAGTACAAGACCAAGCGCAAAGAGCTGGAGCCTCCGAGAACTTCGTCCAACATCAACGCTACAACCACCACCATTCCTCCGCTCACGACCACCCTCGTCTCAGTCGTAGAGGTCGGTAAACACGTTTCAGTCTTCATTCAGAGCAGTCAGCACCTTAAAGCAACAGATTCAAACTCACAGTTTGCAAAATATGGGCAGCCTGATGAAATGTGATGATCTAGATACCCCTCTAGCATGAATCCAGATACTATCCTCTAACTTATTGTTTGGATGCAAAGCCGAAATCAGGTCAGAAATCAGGAATGGCCGTCATGTGCAAGGGTTAGTATAAGGTCACATATTCTGTAAAATACACTTCACCATGTTTCTCTAACACTAATATGTGTCCTTAGTCTGTCTACAAACCCCCCAATGATGAGAAAAGTCCATCCTCTCCGTCTTTGCCTTCTGCACTTTTCAGAAAATGTGTGCTCAAACAGGCTGTTTGGAGGTTTTCATGACATCACAAAGGGCAGTAGCCCCTCCCCCAGGTGGGTGACACTCCCACAGCTAGGTGTTTGTTCTGCCCTCTGAGTCTGCCTTCTCACCGTAAACAATAGGACATGGAGGGAGAAAGCCTGAGACACCCAAGCCCTTCAAGAGAGGGGGCATGGTCAGACACAGCTCATTTACATATTTAAAGGTACAGACACAGAAACAGCCTGTTCTGAGGAGGGCTGAAATAGAGGGGTTTATAGACATGATCAAATACAGGATCAGAGTGGATTTAGAATAAGAATACTTCACACACATGTTTTGAGAAGCTCTGAGACTTATTTAAACTGGTTGAAGAGGAGGAGAATATGTGACCTTTAAAACCCCCAAATTGACCTTTTTTCAGTAGACGGAGCTTTTATTCTTGTTCGAAATTAAAGGTTAGCGTCTGATTTCTTTTAAGAAGGTTAATCTTTTAACTTTCATCAATGTAAATATGAAAGGTCTAAAATTAGTGCCCTCCAATAGATGAGTTTGGGGTATTGCCGTGTGTCATGTTCAGTACAAAACATACTTTTTATACTTATTTAAAAAGTCTAACTTTACATTACACGTGTTGTTTCTAACATAAAAATTGAGGGTTGAGGAGTAACTTCGTCTTCATATTTCTGGCTTCGGGTGGCTTACCCAGCGGCCTTTTTGGATGGGTTAGGAGTGAGGATTGATATTTGCAACTGTGTTCTTCTGTTGGGAACATGCATGAACTGTTGGGGTTTTTCACTTCACATGAAAACAAAGATTCCCTTATTTTATCCACATGCCTCACTTTACGTTTCATGTTTCTACACCTGGAAACCTCCATCCCATCTAAATGCTTCAGAAGACCGAATAATGAGCCATAAGTGGCCACGGGTCAGCGGTCTGTCATCCTGTAAAAAGCTCATCAATGAGTCCTTAGATGCAGATAATGTGGTTGTGAGAGCGGCTTCCTGGCCTGGTGCTGGTTCCCTGAATGAATCGATTCCTTGTTTCTTCTGTCGGCAGAATATAACCAAGGAATATAAAATCGTTGGGTCGTATTCGGATGGAATCAACGTGTTAGGGCTTATCGTGTTCTGTGTTGCTTTTGGCCTCGTCATCGGAAAAATGGGTGAAAAAGGACGGATCCTCCTGGAGTTCTTCGACGCCCTGAATGAAGCAACCATGAAGTTGGTCCAGATCATCATGTGGTATGTATATTGGCTTTCAAATGGACAATAATCAAAAGCTACATGGGGGATTAGTGGTCGTGTATTTTAAACATTTTAAACTACTTCAGGGCAAACATGGTCCTGAACTTGGACCTAAACTAATTCTGTACCCACTATTTTAGAGCCAGTCTGGTTTCTTTCATGTCAATTTACAGCCTAGTACAAAAGCTTGTTTCTTTGTTGGAAAAACTGGAATGAATTTAGATAGCATCCTTTTTATTATTTAAGCTTGCAGAGTTTTGAATAATTAGGAGCATGGCTGAGTTGACTGACAGGTTGACACATTGGAGCTGTCCATCAGGAGGTTTAAGGCCCGCCTCAGCTCCATACCTGCCTGCTCCTAGATTGATCTAAAGTGAGTTTCGGACAGCATTTCCAATATGGCCACAGCCATCTTTGGGCATTAAAAGTGTCCTTTGAAAACAAATGGGCAACATCACTAAGACTATGTCCATGTTTTAAACAGTCTATGGTATAAGGATCAGTCAATAAGATGTGTAGTGAGTGAGACATTAAGGAAACATGTTAAAGTGCTGGCTTCTCTGACAACAATGCAGCAGCCAGTATGTCCTCCTTCTAACTTTAGATTCTGGTCCTGAATGCTCTGGATTTGTTTGGACCAGAGAAGGTAGGCGGTTTTAAGACACCCCCACACGGCCACTTTGGACGTCCCTCGGTTTGCCAGATATGAGAGCAGTTATCAGGTCAACAGGTGTTGCAGTGATGGAAGAGGGCAAGAGAAGTGGTTCAGATAGAAGTGATTGTACCCGACCTAAAAAGCCTCTGCATGTTTCTAATAAGCTCCACGAGCAGAAACGTGCTCAAACTAGGATCAATATTGGAGATGCTTTTGAAAAATGGAGAGAGGTTAGAACACAGAAAGGTTTACAGACCGATGCAGAGCTGGATAAACACTGAAGCTTCAGTATCCACCACATGGTGACCTGCGTGATCATCAACTCTAGAGAGGAGGGGGCCGGGGGAGACTCTCTCTGCTTGTTTGAATTTAGACTGCAGTATCCATTTTAAACACTAGGTGTCAGAGTTACATATTGCTCCTTTAAAACACTTAAAGAACCTTTTTTATATAGACAAAGAAAATCAGTTATAGTTCTAATTTGACTAAACAAAATTAAATTTCTTTTTTTTTTTTTTGCATAATCGTGCATTCTTTAAATATTGCTTGGATCTCAGGTCTTACGACTAAAATGACTCTTACTGAATGTGTTTTCCAGCTACATGCCGGTGGGGATCTTGTTCCTAATTGCTGCAAAGATCATCGAGGTGGAGGACTGGGAGATCTTCAAGAAGATGGGTCTTTATATGGTGACGGTGCTGAGTGGGTAAGCTGCCCCATTACTCCGATCCGCCTGCTCCACACTCTGGGATTTATGGGTGACATTTGGGCCGGTCCTCCCTCCAGTGATACAGTAAAAATCTGAGCTCTGTGTGGGCGCTGATAAGGGCCAAGGACATTTAAAACTGCTCAACCTGCAGATGCAGTAATGAAAGTCGGGCTCATGCCTCTAAATCTGAGCAACACCAATAAAGAGCGTACAGTAAATCCCATTCACGCAGGTCACGGGGTGAGTCTGAGGTTCTGAGTGTCCCTGTGATGACATGAGCACACTTTGTTGTAACGTCCTGAATGCAGCATCATCTCTAACCCGATAAACTTTATGAAGTAGGACTGGAAAGTACAGCAGGTGAAGTTTAGAGTTTTATGTGGTATTATTTTCATAGGACATATAATGGTAACTTTAATGATATTAAATGGGAATTGTTTAAAAGTTTCTAATGAAAGTATTGCTACAGAGAAAAACCTTTTTGTTAAAGTGTTAGATGCTTAATTAAAACCAGAAACAGATGTTTCATCGCTCTTTTCAAACCATCAGACTCGATTAACAAAAACAGTAACGTTACCTTTTAAAATATCAGACTTGCAGGTCTGTGTTTCATCTTTTTTTTGATGCATTTTGAGTTACATAAATATTGTGTTGGATCCAAACTGGATATTTAAAACACAACTAATAGTTACACAACTACACAAACAAACTAACTACTAGGTCCAAAGTAAAGACCGGTATGTCCCGGGTCAAGAACCAAGTAAAGACCAGCAAGTCCCGGGTCAAGAACCAAGTAAAGACCAGCAAGTCCCGGGTCAAGTCTCAAGTAAAGACCTTTTTAGCAGAATCCCACTGTGATGTCACAAAGAGAACACATTTGAAACGGAGCATTTTTCTCTGTGTTGTAAGACTTATGCAGACCACAAACAAAGGACTGGATGTATTTATTTTTCTGGGTCAGTAGACACTCAGGTTACCCAAATATATGTTCAAAAACACTGTAGAAGTGGATTTCCCCCTGTAGGGGGAATTGGAGTCCAAAGTCATCAAATTGGTGACTGGAGTCTGACTCGAGTCCAAGTCCTGTGACTCGGGTCCACATCTCTGCCTCATTGTCATGTGGAAATATATAAGCAGGTTCAACAGATATTCCCTTTAAAACCAAGTTATCAATTCCTTGCAAGAACACAATTCTCAATAAAATCTGTTTTTCGTCTCTCAGTCTTGCTATCCATGCCACAATCTGTCTGCCGCTCATCTACTTCATCATCGTGAGGAAGAATCCGTTCACCTTCACGCTGGGGATGGCTCAGGCTCTGGTGACGGCGCTCATGATCTCCTCCAGGTCAGCACTAACACTACTCTTAACATCAATTTTGTGTGCAAACCTATAAGGGCCTAAAACCAATCCCTGTGTTGTCCCCCAGCTCTGCCACCCTGCCTGTCACCTTCAGATGTGCCGAGGAGAACAACCGCATCGACAAGAGGATCACCCGTTTCGTCCTCCCGGTGGGTGCTACCATCAACATGGACGGCACAGCGCTCTACGAGGCGGTGGCCGCAATCTTTATCGCCCAGCTGAATGACTACGATCTGGATGTGGGCCAGATCGTCACCATCAGGTACAGAGTTAGGAACAACTATGTAGGATACAAAAAAAGCACAACGCTGAGATTTCTGAGTCCAGTCATTGCTTTACTGGAAAACATAGAAACATGAAATACTGATGACAACAACAAACATTAAACAAACATTACATCAAGAATGAGGTCAACAGTCCACATTTAGGTCACATTTAGGTTTATGATGTAGGCGTCTGACCTTTAAAAAGATAACACAATGATATAATTGAACACTGTGTAATGATGCTAGCACCAGTTTGCCCCATGACGGTAAGTTAAGATCAAAGTCCAACAATCTTTAATCCAAGTATGAGGCCGAGGAATCTAACAAGAAAAACAAACAACACCAGGGAGTGGGCAGGTAAGGAATCAAAGTCCATGAAATCACGCAAGACAGCTTTGGAAAGAGTCTTACGACACCTTGACCTGTGCCATGACAGACACTAATGTTTTAAGTTTTCTGGTGAGTTGACAGTTAATGGATACCATCGCTGAGGATCGATAACTGCAGACGACCTCTAAAACCAAACACAAATCAAAGAAAGAGACACAATTAACTTCTAGGGAGCACTCACTCTAGGCTGTCCCGTACCGTGCTGAGCCACGATGGTTCCCCCTCCTCATTCCCCCGCTGGCCTGCACTCACACTGCTCCAGGGCTAACCAGGTCGTAATACAACACATGCATGGCTTTACATGATCATGAAGTGTGCTTCAGTTTACAAGAAAGACGGACTTAAAAATGTAAAAAAATAAAATAAAAGGATGCGCAGTCGAGCCTGCAGCCGTACATCGGAGAACAACACAGAGAACATGACAGCTACTTTACTGACTAAGTGTCTTATTTTGAGTCATGTTAGTCAGATACAGTAGAAACACTCTGGGATTTCTCCAGAATGAAGGCTGTCCACGTTGTGTACCCGTGCCTGTGCTCGTGCATGAACTGTACCGTGCTGAAGCAAACCTTTTCCAAGCGTGCCAGGGCCAAGGAAGAGTACCGAGCTCACACTAGGACTAACAAACTGGATTTAAGGAGTGAAGCATGGTTAGGCACGGTACAGATTGCTTAGTGTAAGTGCACCCTTAGTCAAGGTGACAAAACAAACCTGTAATGACTACATTCCACCACAGGGGGTGCCAAAGAGAACAAAACCAAGACATTTTAAGACTGATTCTTTCAGGACTAATGTGTTTGGGTTTAAAAAACGGATTATAAATTGATGTCTCTGTGTCTCTGTGTTTCAGTATAACAGCAACAGTTGCCAGTATCGGAGCAGCAGGAGTCCCCAACGCTGGTCTTGTTACCATGGTGATAGTCTTAACAGCTGTTGGATTACCTGCAAGTGATGTCACTCTGATCGTCGCTGTGGATTGGCTGCTGTAAGTTGTCTTATGGCTTTTCTGTCAATCTTAAGAGTTTTTTCAATTAAAAATGTCAAATATAAATACTTTTTTAAAAAAGTAAAACGTTTTATTGTTGTGTTTCAGGGACCGCTTCCGTACCATGATCAACGTTCTTGGCGACGCTTACGGAGCCGGAATTGTCCAGAAACTGTCAAAGAGGGAACTGGAGAGGATGGATCTGACGTCAGACGTGGACGTCGCCAACCCCTTCGCTCTGGAAGCCACTTTGGACGACGAGGAGTGCGAGAAGAAATCCTATGTAAACGGCGGCTTCACCGTCGACAAGACAGATGCAATCTCATTCACTGAAACATCCCAGTTTTAGCCTCTGACCGGCTCAGAGGAGCAGAGAAAGTGCCACGCTGCTACGGATGTAAAACCCCCCTTCCTTCATGTATCAGCACCATGACGTGAGAGGGAAAAAAAACATCCAAACCAGCTCCCATCCAAGCTCAGACATCAGCAATAGCAGCCTCCATTAAGCTAACCCAAGATGATCACGCTTCATGTCGGACATTTACAACCACGACTAGATTAAAGTGCTTCCTTCTTACTCTCAACATGTGCCAAGATGAAGAAAAGTCTGTTTTCTTTTATGTGAGGCTGTGCTTTTCTTGCAAAGACGCACTCATAAGAAGAGCTGTTTGTATGTGAGTGCATGAGGACGTTTATGTAGCGTGTACGAGGTGTGTGCGTGCGTGTGTGAGTGTGTGTGAAGAAATATCTATTAAACTCAAACTGTAATCCTGATGTGAAACATCACTTTAGTACTTATTTACTCCTTTATTATTCTCTCAAATGATCTTCTCTGTGTGGCTGTGTCGAATGTCTATGTCCCATAATGCACTGCTTGTATATCTATCTGTGTGTCTACACTGTGCCAAACATATAAAGAACGTTTTTACGAAGATGCATGAAGCAATATGTTAAAGAAATGCTCGCCGCTGGCTGCAGAACGCAGGTTTTTTTAACGGAGACTTCACTGAGACTGGGAAACGGTTAACGAGGCTTCTGAAGTCGTTGAACACTGTGAACTCTGAAGACATTTTTCAGAACAGAATCACCGACATTCATTGGTTTGATTTTGACATTTATGATTATTAACAGCGTGTGTGTTTAGGCAGTGAGGGCGTGACCTCCTCGAACAACTGTGTTTCAATCATCACTTAATAGATATAAAAATGTAATTACACTGGAAAGACTGAGTTTTATCATTTATTTTTCTTCTCGTTTGGCTTCTGTTTTTTCACTGTGTTGTCAGCTTAAGGGCTCAACTATGGTGTAGACGCTTTGTGCCGGTGAGGTTGGTCCACGGTTGGCCTGAAATAAAACATCAATAATTGCTTTCTGTCGTGATTCAGGCACTGAATATATTTTAGTTTGAACTTTGTGATATTTACACACATACATAAAATGAAAACATGTCTCAGTCTGGCTACATCTTGAACGTCAGTATCCCTGAGGTTTGTTTCTGTTTGTACTCTTTCACCATTCATAAACAGTGTTTTTGAATATTTATCAACAGGTTTCCCCTTTGCTGCATGGTCCCACAATCAATAATGTCAGTCATGCTCAGGGTGGAAAGCATTAGGGGCAGGGTTGGCAATTTTCTCCAGATCCACTTTTTTAAGATGTTGGTTGAACTTGTCTTAAGGTCCTGACAGAAATTAATAACTCGTGCTCTGAAAAAAGGAACAAAGAAAATACGTCATCTGTATCAGTTGTAAGCCTCTAAAAACTTCAACCAATGTCTGCCACGAGGTACCAATCTGATGAACCAATCAGACGCCTCCCTGTCTCCCTGCTCGTTCTCTACCTCTTGTGTGCTCTAGACCACACTCAAAGCGCGTCACTGATGACAGAGTTTATACTGTGAGTTTACTTACAGCTGAATGAGACATGAGACGACGTAGTTTCTACACAATGCAAGAGATGAGCTGAGGTCCACTTCTGGAGCAACGGCTAAATTTTCAGTATCTAATGGCTGTATAGCGTTTTAGCAATCTGGGAGCTTTGAAATTAAGACGGGGGTGCAAATGGCCTAGAGGTTAGATGGTGCCCCCATGTACGGAGGCTATAGTCCTCCAAGCGAGCGGCCCTTTGGCGTCTTTCCTGCATGTCATACCCCACTTTCTCTCCCTGATTTCCAGCTCTATCCACTGTCCTATCAATTGAAGGCAAAAAGGCCCCCAAAAGAAATGTAGAAAAAAATGAAGGCAATCGCTTTTACACAGCATAAACGTGGACATTAACAATAAGACACCATAACGACTTTGAAGCCTCCCACCCTGAGCGTGATGTCACAACAACATGGCCGCCCTGACAAAACGGTCTTCCGTTTCTTTGTTTAAGTAAAATAATTTTTCCTGGTGGTTTTCCTTTCTAATTCCCTGGCATAAAAACAATCAAACACTGGAACTCATTTCAATAAAGCATGTAAAGCAATGTGCTAAAGGAGAATAATTCAGTAAGAAAAAAACGGTCAAATCTCAGTGACCTTCATTCTATAAGAGAAAACTACACACTTCTACTTCGCTGTTTGTTTCACAGTTTGTGAAAGAAATGACAGCTATGTAGACATGTTAATGTTAAGACTCTTAGGAGCTAGCTTTGCATAAAAGGTTGGCCACTTTAAATTCAGCTTCTATAGTAGATCGGTTTATATCAGTGGTCCAGCATGAAAAATTACGAAGACTTGTGAGATCTTCCTCCAGAACATCAGCTAATGTGTCTACTACTGTCTTAGTACTCGAGATTGGCCTTGGTTTCAAGACCACTTTTTAAAGGTCTCTGTCTTGAAATCAAAAGCATTTTGCCTCGGTCTTGACTGGGCGGACCACCACTGACAGGCTTCCACGTCATTACTGTGATTAGCTAAAAAAAAACAGTACTAACTTGGCAAACAGACTTGAGTTAGTTTTAGCGAACCAAACAGGTAAGGTGTGAAAACGCCCTTAGATTAATATAACGACACATTCTGGACCCAAATAAGTGACTGTCATAGAGAAGACATGTTAGCACAGCTTGGCTCAGCTAAAGAAGTCCAGACTCGGCCTCTGGAAAATCCCCACATCCTCGTGACACCTTCACTGTCATTGGAGACAGCAGCTCCTTTGACAGTAAAGCATTATTTAAAGAGGACATATTACAGCCCTTCTCCACCTTTTCAAACAGTCCCCTGTGGTCTAAATGAAACATCTGTGCTGTGCTTTGTACAAATTTTATCCTGAATCAAGCACCAGAGGAGGTTTGTGACCCTGTAGAAACCAGCTCTCTCAGAACGCTCCGTTTTAGTGTGTGTGTGTCTCTTTAAATGTAATGACCCCCCTGAGTTTTCCCTGTAGACTTCACTCCTCTGTAGCGAGAATAAAAATGGAGGACCTGCGCAAAAGCTTTGTTCTAGGCCAGGGGTGGAGTCCATGGGTGGAGATACCAGGGGAGGGGAGGGTATTTTTTTTTTACCAGAATCCCACTGTGACATCACAAAGAGAGCACATTTGAAACAGAGCATTTTTCTCTGTGTTGTAAGACTTATGCAGACCACAAACAAAGGACTGGATGGATTTATTTCACATTTTGTGGGTCGTTAGACACTCAGGTTACCTAAATATATGTTGAAAAACACTATGAAAGTGAATTTTCACAATATGTCCCCTTTAAAGACTTTGGTAAAAACTGACCAAGCAGACCTCTGAAGATTATTCCCTGCTGCTAACGCCTGTTCTTTTAGACGGAGTATAACACCCAAAATAGGATTCTGTTTCAGCGCCAGTGTGTGATAAGTCACAATGTTCCTGACAGAGCCGCAGTAGTGAGCAGCTATTTCTCTGATATACGGCAGCAGTTCACACAGAGCTGCATCGCCGCGGGCACAATTAGCTTTTAATGGCCTTCGGTTGATTTACCCGAGGACTCGACAATGTCAGCTTGATGGATTAACACGACGGAGACTTATGACGTCAAAGTCGTTGAAAGTCTCACTGTTCAACCTGAGATAAAACGCTGAGTTTCTGTTCTAAAAGGTTTATTTAACATCCAACACGTTACTTGGACATCACAGGGGGCGTGAACATTGTCCAACCTCTCTCCTGCACACACACACACACACACACACACATCAGGAGAGTCTGGACATCTCAGGGCTGTGTTGGCATGGTGAGGGGCTCGTTCCCTGAAGGAGGAAAGGAGCAGAAATCAGACATCACACACATGGACAGGGAAGAAGCAGAAGTGTAAAATATTTATGTCAATGCACAAACACTTGACCTACAAGTGAAGTAAGTTCAGAATGTAACCAACAGGACAAAAACCCTCACCTCTCCACAGCTGGCTGGATCCTCATGGTGGACCTGGAGAGATGGACCTCCTATATAAAACCTCGTCCACCTCAGAGTGTGACGCTCCCTGAAACAGAAAGAAAACAGGCATAGTCCCTTCCACTCTTGAATCATTAAAAGAAATCATGTGCAACAAATCCCAAAGATCGCGTGCAGACAGTCTATGGTCCTGCAGCGATCACAGGGAATAAACGTCACCACCCCCTCTCACTCGCTCCAGGTGAATTCTCCTGATTATATCCTGCTGCGTTCCCACTTAGGCTTGCCAGGAGGCTGCCAGGAGAAACTCTACATATTCAATCAAGAGACATGTATTGGCCTTGGAAACAGCAACTGGTCTGACACCAGATTATAAAAAGATGCTGATGCGGAGGTTTCTATAATGTTATATTTTACTCACATAGACAAGTCGGCGTACAGCTTTTGGTGTCGTGAGGAGTCCTCGAACCCGCTCCTGGACCTCCTCCCATTCTCTGTGAGAACTAAACATTAAATCAAAAGTCAGGCAACATCAGTGATACTTATTTATCATTCATCAATACTCTCTTTAGAAATGAAATCTGCTTCTTTGTAGTCAAACCTCAGTCAGATGATAAAAGTCAAAATCTATTTAAAGCTCCAATCAGTAAGATGTGTAGAGAGTGAAATGATAAAGTGAGCTTACTATCTGATCAGACATTAAAGAAACATGCTATGTTGAAGTGCTGGCTTCTCTGACAACAATGCAGCAGCCAGTATGTCCTCCTTCTAACTTTAGATTCTGCTCCTGAATGATCTGGATTTGTTTGAACCAGAGAAGGTAGGCGGTTTTAAATCACCCCCACACGGCCGTTTTGGACACCCCTCGGGTTTGCCAGATATGAGAGCAGTTATCAGGTCAACAGGTGTTGCAGCGATGGAAGTGGGCAAGAGGACTGGTTCAGATAGAAGTGATTGTACCCGACCTAAAAAGCCTCTGCATGTTTCTAATAAGCTCCACGAGCAGAAACGTGCTCAAACTAGGATCAATATTGGAGATGCTTTTGAAAAATGGAGAGAAGTTAGAACACAGAAAGGTTTACAGACTGATGCAGAGCTGGATAAACACTGAAGCTTCAGTGTCCACCACATGGTGACCTGCGTGAGCATGGACTCTAGAGAGGAGGGGGGAGGGGGAGACAATTCTCTATGATGTTTAGAATTTGTACTGCAGTACCAACACTAGGTGTCAGAGTTACATATTTCTCCTTTAATCCCTGTTTAAGTACAGAATTAAAGATTATGTTTTGGACCATGATGGACCTCTGAGCCAATAAAAATACAGCATATATTGTTATTTTATATTTGCCTTCTTTTCCTTCTCTATATCTGCAGTGATGTGCATTGCTGGGGGGCTTCCTGATACTTACCTCCTCTGCCTGGCCTGTTCTCTGCAGGACTGCCACAGTCTTGAGGGGTCTTTGTGGTAGTCCGGGGGGTCCCGTGTGTCTGAAGAGCTGGACTCGTCTTCTGATGTCCCTCCAACCTGCAAAATGAAAACAGAGATATCGTCACATTGATGCATCTGCAGCGCTGCATTTGAGAAATTTCTTTTTCTAATAGTTCACTAAAGGGCGTTATTTAAGGTTACGCTAGTCATCCTTATCCTTCGAATATTTCTGTTTCTTCCACTTTCAGATATTAATGTATGTTCTCATTGTAGCGTCGTATAGAGGACTCTGTTGCTTTGTCTGCCACTTTTGCAATCGCTCTTTTTCCGTCATGTCTTGCCTGAGGAGAAACCCCCCCCCCCCCCATCTGTTAGGGATATGGTGCGTTCAAATTGTCCCTCCTATCTCCTTTCACTATCCACTTTAGCTTAACCCCGGGGAAAACGTTATGAGGTCAAGGAAAGATGTTAGGAGAATTCATAAAGGACTTAGGGAAAGGCGATCTCGTTGCTCTGACAATCCGACCACATTTCCACTAGGCGACATCATTAAATGCAACGTGCCAGTGGAGGTTAATGACGTGGGTCTGCCGTGTTGAAACTACAATGTTCAGAAAATGGACTACTAAAAGCTCATCTAAAAAACTTTCCCCTGTGCCTTCTTACCGGTGAAATAAACCTAATTACCACATGGTTGGGATTGAAATAAAAGCAATATAGACTACCAGGCTACAAGTAAGAAAAGTGAAACCATCACCTTACTGTCCACTCAGAAATCAACATCAAAATAAGTATGACTGTATGAAATTAATTGTTACATTTATGCAAGATATACATAATGTTTTAAGCATACAAATGTACAACTGCACATAGCATCCTTAAGTGAATGAAATATGTTCAATAAAACATCATCTGGCTAAAAATGTCTGCTTATCCCTTCATCTCTTACGTGAGCTGAGCCCCTTTACAGTCATCGTTAATGTTCGTGAACGGTCGGCTGCGCGACTCACTTTAAATGTTGCGACCGCAAGGAATTGTGGGGCGGCATATCTCATCTCCTTTCGTGGCATATCTCATCTCCTTTCGTAAAGGATGGTCCAGTGTATCCTAAGCTAAAGGAGGTTATAAAGGAAGCATTGTCCCACCTTTCCTTAACTTTTAGAGAATCTGAACGGCTCTTATCACTTAAATGCTTCCGGGTCATTTCACTCAGTTAGGAACCTTACTAAGAAAAAATGGCAATTTGAACGCACCAATAGTCTCCTGCAGAGAGGTGCATGTGTGAACGACCACCTCAGGAGGATTACTTTGCAGGCCAAAGTGCAGAAATAAATGATACCTACCAAACTGTTGGATAACGATTTTCTTCTCACAGTCGGAGAATCTTTCACTGTAACAGCAGAAAACACAGAGAGATATATTGCTCTGGTTATAGAAAGTTGACTGTATGTAGGTTTAGAGGACAGTAGGAAACTTTAAATATAGGTTATCATCAAACTAACCAGCTTTGGTCTTATCAGTAGCAGTATAACTTTATCAGAACACATTACAAGCTGCTGTAACTTGACAATGTTTGACATTGTAAAATGTGATAAGAAGCAACAGAGCAGTTTTTTTTAACCTGTGGATGATTTTACCTGTGGATGAAGACCTGGTCAAAGGTGAGGAGGAGCTGGTTAACGGAGCAGAGCGTCGGGGCGAGGCAGACCGACCGGCTCCAGGCCATGAAGCTATCAGCTACACGCAGAACATGAAGACATTATTCAGAAAGGAAACAGAAAACAACTCTGAGTAGTCAGAAGACAAGAAAAGCTTTATACAGTCCATTTAGCATTATTATTAATGGTAATTCCCCACTCGGTCTGGCAGTCTGTATTTATTTCTCTATATTCGTCTCTAACCCCCTCTTCACACCCCATCCAGTCAAGGCCGATTGCTGTTCCAGTGAGTCTGGTTCTGCTTTAGGTTTCTGCATTTTCAAAGGACTGTTTTTCTTTGCTATTGTTGCAGAGTGTTTGCTGATTGCTGGGCTTGTGTGGGGAAAAAAGGAGCACACTCAAACAGTAACAAACCTTCAAGTGCACGTTCGCAAATAGACTTACAAGAAAACTGAAAATTATATTTAACATTTGGTCCAACATGAAAAGGCATAAAGATATTTAGCTAATAAATAAATGACTTTCCTGATTATAAACAAAGATCGTTGAGAAATCCAGGGATGTGTCTATGCATTTCCACTCAACTGAGTCTTCATCAGGACGTCAAAAAGCCATTAGCTTGGTTTTAAAATAAGTGTTGTACCACTCCCAGGGAGAATGATGACCTCTAAAGTTTCCTAAGATTTAAGCTTTAACGACTGAGCCATAAGAGAAGAAATAAAGATAGTGGAAAGAAGCAAAATCAGTTGATGGTTTATAACAGAGTGAGTGGGATGCAGGGATAATAAGTGCCTCAGTTATCCCTTTTACCTCTTACAAGGTAACAACAAATAAACATAAAACCAGTCACACGACTGGACAGGTGACAGAGAGGTAAACTCATAAAATTGCCTAACTTTTATTCTTGTATTGCTTTTAAACCTGGGCAACTGAGACAAAAAAAAATGTCTAATCCATCACAGCTTGAATGCAACCCAAATGCTCTTTGAATTAATTTAAATTATTCATTATACAGACATTCAGAGCAAAGTTAGCACTTAATGTGCAAATACTACATTGCAAAAGAAGTCAAAGTTTTATATTTATGTGATATTACTGATATTATATGTCGTTAGAGGCTAAAAGCTGAATAATGTTCATTCCTTCAGTATTCACATCTAATCAGTTTAACCTTTAGTCTAAGTGAATGTTTGTTGCAACATTTGAAAATGGATGTGATATTGTGTTTACAAGAATGGGACACTACCTACAGTCTCTAAGTGTACTATCGGAGGTAGAGCCTTCAGTTAGTTAGAAAAGTGGTTTTCCTGGATGTAAGAAGTGTATAAATTCTTAAGTATTGGAGAAAATGTTTTAAGAGCGATCACAAGGACCTTAACCCTTAACAAAGTTCCTCCTTGAGTCCATGCAGGATAATCTCAGAGTTTTAAAGATATACCCTATAGCAGCATGGTGGGACAACCCTAACACATAATGCCTCCGCTCGTGGCAGCCCCTAGTGCTGCATGAAAACGTGAGAGTTACCTGGTTGTAGATCTGCTGTATTACTCTAAACACAGATTTAAAGGTATATTATGTGACACATCTTTGACCTTACATGAGGTCAAGATGCTCTTACATGTGAAGGATCACAAAGCATGAGAGAGGAGGTGTTAGGTGAAGTAACAGCTGTGTGGAGACAAACTTGACTCAGCTCTGCCATCTGCTGGCAGAGCATGAAAATAAAGATGTGTAGTTTGCTCTTACAGGCTGAGAGGTGCTGGTGCTGTTCCAGGTCTCTGGGCCTCTGTGTGCTGAAGAGTCCAGACTGAGTTGGGTTAGACCCTGACTGTTTCCAGCTCTCAGAGGAGACAGGGACTGAGATCTGGAGATGAGTGACGGTGATCTGGCGCTGCTGAGTCTGTCCGTGTTTGTCCTGACACCTCGTCTTCTCTGAGGAGAGGAGGTCCTGGGTCTGCTGGAGGGCTTCCTGATTCTCTTCATCACTGGCTTCTGGAATTAAGAGAGTGGATCTCATAACAATATCTTAATATATCGACCTTCTGATAAAACTACAGGTATGAAAAGTGATAACCCCAACCCTCTCTACCGGTCATTCTTGCTATGTCTTCATATAAATTCTGGATCATATTTAAGGTCTAAAATGACGAGCCCGCCCATAATACATGTTTTATCTTAAGTAGCCTCTGTGACCCAAAGTTCTTAAAGGCAAAGAAGGTGCGTTGACTTAAAGACGACATTTTGTGTTTCAAAAATCCTTCCCTGTGCATAACTTAGCACACAAAACATAGAGCATATTTGCAGATTGAGAGTAAATTTAATTTGCCAGAATTACAATTATTTCGGCTAGTACATACAGTACGCATACATATGTTTTGTTTAGCATCTAATAACCACAGTGAAAAGCATCAAACGTAAATCATATTACAAACAGGAACTACAAAAAGTTGATTTGCAGAAAGAAAAATAAGCTAAAAACATAATATTTCATGTGTACTGATTTTAAACATTATCTGAAAAGTGCTTAAAAATAAAGCTACAAGTTGCCAAAAAGAGCTGCAGTTATATGAATCCATGAAGTGGATAGGTAGTGACTAATCCGGTCCTCTTAATGTGGACATGAGAGATGTCAGAGTGGGGCTGCTTCACAGGGAGCGCACCAGAGCTGTTCGGGATGAAATGCCTTGCTCAGGGGCAGCTCTGCAGTACTCAGGAAGTGACCTGGCACCTCTCCAGCAACCAAACCAACTTCCACAACATGGTCAGCAGTGGGACTTGAGCCGGCGACCCTCCAGTTCCCAACCCAAGTCCCTACAGACTGAGCTACTGCCGCCCTATCATAAGTCATCTCGATATATCGGAGGCTCATTAGTGAATCTTTACCATGAGCACATTGGGGTAAAAGTTGATCTTTGCATCAGCTGAGCACTCAATGATGGTCGTCTTGCTGGAAAACTCCAGCCTGGGAGCGATACCCTGAGAAAAAGAAGAAATATGCGGCTCTTAGAGACATGAAACTACAAACATCTACGAGAGCAGGTAACAGGTGTGTCTGCAGATACTTAATCACTAACAGGAAAGTGAGACGCTCGGGTCATCAGAACCTCTCGATCCACTCCGGAGAACGAAGGAAGCAGTTTGGGCTCCGGGAACAAGAAACGTCGAGCGTCTTCTTCAAAGCAGGCCAGAATGTCGCCCGCTGCAAACACAATTACTAAATAATCCAACACAAATAAAACAAGATGAACGATTAAGTATGACTATGATGATGAAACACGTTTACCTGGAGGAATCAGCTGCACCAGATCAATTCTGACCGTCTCATCTAAAGAGGAAAGGGAGTCAATAAAAGATCATCAGCAGAAACATGATAAAAGTCATACTAAATATTATGATTCATAACATTTCCATTCTTTATTTTTAAGATTACCACCCTATGCCCCTGACGCACAGACACCACCATTGGACTGCGTTGTCCCTAACCACCACCTGACGCCCAGCCACCACCGCCGTCCTCATTCATACACGGCCTGCTCCGACCTCCACCTCAGCGGCAAGTGTGGACGACAGGAACACAAAGGAGAAATCCTTCCTGCATATTATCCCATCTGCTCTTTTACAAGGTGGCTTGAAACACCTTGGCAGTGCTCAGAACGTGAACTTGCACCTCTTCAATTACCAGACCAATTTCCAGACTAGGTCCGCACCGGGACTTGAACCACCAACCCTTTGGTTAACAACCCAAGTCCCTACAGACTGAGCTACTTGCGTCACATTTTATGCTTATTTTCACTTTTTATCACACAAAAGACAGAGCTGCAGGGACACATGGCAAGATGATTAATGAAATGAATCGTATAAAATGTGTCAGTATAAATGAAGAATGGAAGGCTAAGAAGTCTAAGAGGATTATGACATTGGGAATTCAATTTAAAAAATAAGTATGTTAAGGTTAATGTTAATGATTATAACAAGTTAAGGTGACTTACACTCGAGCATTACTGCGATGTCTCCAGGGTCGACTGCATGTCTGAAAATCTAAACATAGCACAAAACAAATTAGGATTCTTTCTAACATAGCTTCCTTATTTTTTAAACAGCAGGATTTAACATCCTTGTTAGTAATTACTTGCAGTCACCCTGGCTCTGCTTCCCACACCCTTTCTCAAGGATCTCTCTTCAGACTTCTCCCTGTGTCTTTCTCTTGTGTTCTCTTTGTCGTTCTTTTCATGTGTAACTTTGGCACCAGGAGTAGTTGCATTTTGTCTTTGGCGGCCATGACAGGCCATGTGGCAGGGTAGGAAGTATCAGTGTTGTCACTACCTGGAGCTTGTATTTACAGAGTATGGGTCTGTTGAAGGTGGCAACGCTGTCGGGGCTGTGTGGTTAGGTAGGTAAGATAAAGAAGTGGGTGGGCGCCGGTGAGAGCATGTAGGGGGCTGAATCTGGGATGCTGGAGCTCACTGTCCAGCCTTCCTGAGGTGTCGTGGGACTAATCGGGCGAAACACCAGTCAATGGAGGTTCCCACTTGACGACCCCAATGACCTCCTGGCTCGTGCTGTCCATCGGTCTACAGGGTAAAGTTGTGGGGGCAAGAAGGGGTCCATAGGGTGGAGCTTACAGCTTGGGTCTACAATGCTGTTTTGGTTGTGTGATGGCGACCAATGGCCATAAGGTTAAGTAACGTATTAGTCAGGCATAGGGGCATTATTAGGATGAAAGATGTCTTTACCAATACTTTGTGTTAACTTCAAATTCAAATACATAATACAGATATGTCGCGATTTTCTTGATCATTCATATCTTCGGTAGTGTCGCAGCATTTTTATCCCACATCTTACGTAAAGACATACCTTTTCAAACGTCATCTTCTCATGAAACAGCAGCGGAAAGATGGCAGGGAGACATTCAGACTGACAGTACTGTCCCATGATGCACATGCTGATGTAGATATCATCTTTGTCTGACAGGTGAACTCCAGGACAAGAAACCTGAGAACAGTGGAAGAACATTTATTGGTTAGAAGCAAAATCTTTACTGACATTTTATACTTTATAATCAAAGGAGAAAAAATAAACTGACACCTAGTGTTTAAAATGGGTACTGCAGTCTAAATTCTAAACATTGTAGAGCGCTGTCTCCCCCCGCCTCCTCCTCTCTAGAGTCGATGCTCACACAGGTCACCATGTGAACACTGAAGCTTCAGTGTTTATCCAGCTCTGCATCGGTCTCTAAACCTTTCTGTGTTCTAACCTCTCTCCATTTTTCAAAAGCATCTCCAATATTGATCCTAGTTTGAGCACGTTTCTGCTCGTGGAGCTTATTAGAAACATGCAGAGGCTTTTTAGGTTGGGTACAATCACTTCTATCTGAACCACTTCTCTTGCCCGCTTCCATCACTGCAACACCTGTTGACCTGATAACTGCTCTCATATCTGACAAACCGAGGGGCGTCCAAAACGGCCGTGTGGGGGTGTCTTAAAACCGCCTACCTTCTCTGGTCCAAACAAATCCAGAGCATTCAGGAGCAGAATCTAAACTTCTCAAGCTTTATCTCGACCATAATTACAACTAGATATCGGTCATTTCCTCTGTTTACGAAAAAAGTTAATTCCCAAACTATTCACAATATTTTATCCATGCAGTGAAAACAAACAAAAAAACAAGATTCATCTCAAGAGGCTATCCATCAATGAACAGAATTTCTCTCCATCCTTAGGTTTAATCTGGATAGTAATGTATGCACGATTTGTCATGTAGAAATTGAATCTCAGGAAATTATTTTCTAAGGTTGTAAAACTGAGAAGCTTTTTTGGTACATTCTTTATTAACAAATATTAATTTGTTTAGAGTTAATCAAGTTTGTAGCATTTATAAAAGGCTTTAAAAAAACCTTTAGTCCTTTTTTTTTATTTAGCCTATATAATTTTGATATTTTCCAAGTTGTCATATATTTTTGTATTGCTGTTTTCTGGCCATATTGGTTGTTTTACTTTTTATTTTGTTATCTTAATATGCTGCTTGTGCTTGGAGTATTATGTGAAAAGTTCATCAGTTTGTTGAAAATGATGACCAAATCTTAAAAATACCAAAGCTACAGTTAGCTATTATCCAATACAATACATTATTTTGACTAATTATGCAAAGCAGCTGTTGAATTAACCCACCTGGTAATAATTACAGGTAAACAGCGTCATGACATTTAAATTCAGCCAAGCTGTTAAATAATTATATATTTGGTACTTTATCTACATGCCCAAATATGTCCCATAACTTGTCAAACACCATTGTTAATTTACATTAACAAGAAGATATTTATCTTTACTGCTAGGTGAGAAAATATTAAAATGACGTGAATGTCTGCTGATGTTTGGTTGGTCCCAGTCTGTATCAGCTGGTTAGGTTTAAAATAACTAAAGAAAAGAAGAAATCTTACCGCTCTAAACTTCAATTCAACCACAACTTTCAGGGCTTTGCGGGACATTTGATTAATTTAATAAAAATTAAAAAATACTATGTAAAACGGATCAACAAGCTAACCGTAGCCTACAGCTTATTTTCTCCGGTTGAGTGTCACGTTACCGTGTCACCATGGTTACTGCAACTTCCGGGTTTCGTTGACAGAGAAGCTAAAGACCGTTTCCGCCACAACCAAAACATAAAAGTAAACTTTTAGGTCGAGATATTATTATATATTATTATTATTATAGTCATTTACGGTTATAAGTCGTTAGCTGCTTCCCCTTGATGGAGTTCATGACTTTATTATAACATGAAGAGTTATTTATTATGTAGTATTTTAAATCATTTTTCATGTTTTTGTAATGAATCTCACAACCTCCCTCTCAGTGTCTTGAGACTCCCCAGGGCCGTCTGCAGGAGCCTCTTCTTGGAGGAGGCTGGCTTCTCCCCCTCCATCAGGAACATTTATACGTTTAAGATAAATTAAATATCCTTGTTCTCTTGGAGTAGAACCTGAGATTCCCTTAAGAATGGATGTATTTACACATCTTTGCTTCCACCCCTGTTAACCTCAAATCTGTTTATACTTCCAAACCTCACTTCCTTCTGTCTCCACGGTCCAATTCCTTTCTTTTTACAACATTTTATTGTTGTGTTTTTGTTACACCATCCTTCAAAATATCATACATTTGATCTGATTGTCTCCCAATAGCAAAGTTAGAATTAAAGTCTCTGTTCATTTTCACTGTCTCACCGTTTCCGCCCAGGATTTACAAAAAAAAAGCTAGAAGTTCCTTGTTTAATCATCTAGAAACAGACATTTAAAAGCTTTTAAATTAATTCTTCCGGAACAGATTCGTCTACAAGCAAAAATAAAGGAAACATTTATTTCTCTTTCGTGTAATAACTGAATATTTTGCAGCAATTTGATTAAAAGAAAAAATGTCTTCAAACTGAAATATTACTGTAATTACAGGAGGCACAAAGTAAAATCTTCAATAAATATCTGTAAAAAAAAATAAGAAGCTTGAACAGAAACATTTCTGGTCAGAAAACAGCCTCAGCATCAACATCTCTACACTCTGAAGTTGAGCTACGTTTGAGGCTCTCAGGCAGTTTGTTCTGGTGTGTCACGGTCAGAGTCAGAGTCGGAGTTTTCCTCGTCTTCTTTCAGAGTATATTCTCCGCCCTGGGTGACGGCCACCGCTCCTTTCCTCCGAGGCAGGACGGTGAAGAAGGCGTCCCTCCAGCTGCCCTTCTCCAGGAACGCCAGGATGATCTCGAACACTGCAGGAGGAACGAAAACAGAAAATCAGAAGCCTCGTCTCTCGCGCTTATTGTAGATCTTGATGTCGCTACCCAGACTGTGTTATGAGTCCTTACCGTGGTTGACTGCCAGAACCTTCCGACTGTTCATCTTTACAAAGCTGCTCAGAGGAAGCTGTGCGTGCTCGATCCCCAGCTCTTTCGCCCTCTCAAACGTGATTCCCTGAAGGAGAAAAAAAAAAAAAACAGACAGTTCAGCGACCAGCCTGCAGTGATCTCAACACACAGTGAGCTACAGCTGTGACAGCAGACGGACCTTATGGTGGTTGTGGTCCACCAGCCCTCCTATCACGTAGGCCTTTTTCTGGTCCAGCTCCTCCAGCACGTTTGGAGAGTCTGACGTCAGGTACACCAGCTCCTCCTTCTCCACTACGTCCTTGTAGTGTTCTGTTTTAATGTGGATGTCCTGCACACACAGCAGCATGAACATTACACAAAGTTATATACCAGTTGAAGTGCAGTGAAAAAGAACTGAGACGTCTGCTGCAGGATGAACCCTCCAGGCTACTGTAGCTGCCTCCTGAATCTCTGTTTGCTGTATCATTGCATTTTCAGTAATTAAGGACTCAGGTTGAACTGAAAAAGACGATATCTCTGGCACTGCTGCTTTAATATTATTCCACTTTTGTTTTAGCTGAAGCTGTCAAATTAAAAAAATCACACATAGACGTCATTCAGGATCCTGCTCACCTTCCAGTTCACCCATCCTTTGTCCTTCTCGTCCATACTCTGCTTCAGCTGCCCCCCGATGCTCGTCAGATAAAACTGGAGATATAAGAGGAGTCGTTAAGCATCAGAGAACTTCCTCTGATCTGCAGTCACTCAGTTATGATCGAGCTGGGATTCAAGTGAGCGTATAGAGAAATTAACAGATGATGTGTTGTTACAGGTGCTAACCCCATATCGAGTACCTTTGTAAGTGTTTATGTATTTCATGCTTCTTTATACCTTTTAAATGTTTCTTTTCTTTGTCTGTTAAATGTTCTCAACAATCCTCTGAAGAATTTCAAGAAAAGAAAAGGTGGGTGGTCTCTCACCTGCACAGGATGTAAGGCTCGTCTGTTCTCAGCGTAGCACCTCTGGATCTGTTTGTGAAGCTTTCGGACGTCCTGAACACAAAACGATTATCATCAGTGAGGAGAGTGAGTCCCTCAGTTCATGTCTCTATAGCCCTGATCAGACTGCAGTTTCAAGACGTGATATTTACGCCCCTGTTACGTTTTTCCTTCAATCTGAAAGTTAAATTTTTTTGGGGGGGGATTTTGATATCCTTTATTAATCCCTGAGGGAAATTCGGGTAAGACATAATGGACGGACAAATTGATCCCCACTCTGTACCGTCTTCAGAGGTAGTCACAGAGGCGAGATGGGATCAGCCGGGGAGCTTCCACTGTGGCGTGGATTTGCAACGCTGAATCACAATGTGCATTCACAGAGTGGGACACCAATATAATGTCTTCGCAGACAATATGAACGTACAAAGACGTGATGACAGATGAACTTAGATACGGCACTTTTGTAAAACCAGCCAGCTGAAAGGGGCTAATGTTAGTTTGTTCAATCCCCCTCGAGAGAGCCGTTTACCTTCAACAGCATGAGGTCGTCGAAGCTGCAGTCCATCACCAGCCTCACAGAGCTCGGGGTCACCTCTCTGCGAGGACGTTTCCTAAAACTCTGAGCTTCTCCTCCCTCCTCCTCCGTTTGATTCTGCCTCTGCTCACGACGCTGCTGCTTCTTCTCTTTTCGTCTCTCCCTGCAAGATGAGAAACAAGATTATTATCATTTTCTTTTTATTGAAGCACAGTTAAACTAAGAGGTATTTGTTTGGACCAGAGAAGGTCGGCTGTTTTAAGACACCCCCACACGACCGTTTTGGACGCCCCTCGGTTTGTCAGATATGAGAGCAGTTATCAGGTCAACAGGTGTTGCAGTGATGGAAGCGGGCAAGAGAAGTGGTTCAGATAGAAGTGATTGTACCCGACCTAAAAAGCCTCTGCATGTTTCTAATAAGCTCCACGAGCAGAAACGTGCTCAAACTAGGATCAATATTGGAGATGCTTTTGAAAAATGGAGAGAGGTTAGAACACAGAAAGGTTTACAGACCGATGCAGAGCTGGATAAACACTGAAGCTTCAGTGTCCACCACATGGTGACCTGTGTGAGCATGGACTCTAGAGAGGAGGGGGCGGGGGGAGACAGCTCTCTATGATGTTTTAAATTTAGACTACAATACCCATTTTAAACACTAGGTGTCAGAGTTACATACTGCTCCTTTAACTTTGGAAAAATGAAAAACAAGACAAATATTTGAATGAAGTTTTGCTCTGTAGGAGGAACTATTGCTCCCTGTACCAGCCAGTCTGCATCACCACCACTAGATAAACATTGCTCACATGTGTTTACTCACTTTCTCAGCTCCCTCTCCTCCTCCCATTTCTGCTGCTTCAGGAGCTTCTTCCTCTGTCTTTTGGACAGACTTTGGTTTTCACCGTCAGCTCCTCCGTTTCTGCTCTCTGTCTGCACGCCGGCTGCAGCTTCACCCCTCACGGTGTCATCAGCCATCTGGGAGGCTCCACCAAAGCTGCTGCTGTGTTGATAAATGAACTAGCTGCTAATGTTAGCTCGCCTTGACTGGCTGCATTTAAACGACTCTCGCCGTTATTTATTTGTATTATATTTAATCAAGAATTCAACTTTTTAAATGACGTCAGCGCGGTGATATCTATCTACACACTGTCACACAAACCGAGTGAATAAAACTTCACAAGCAGTTCAACTTAGCAACACACACTTCCACATGTATACTGCTGCTGGCGCGGACGTGACGTCATCCGGCCGCTCCAGATGCGTTCACGTACAATCGGAATAACAGGCTTCCTGTTTCATTATCTAAAGTTTCAGCAGCAGTCCATTCTTTCCTGGAGGTTTTGCTTCGGCCACATTTTTTCTTTCATAACACTTTCTTGTGGAGTAGTGATAAAATACCTGTTGGGGATAAATCTCACTTTTATTCAAAAAAATCGTTAACATTATATCTGTTTTGGATGAAGCAGAGCTTTCAAAAACCAACCCTTCCTTTCAAAGAACACAATTCAGAAGTGTAATCTGTTCCCTCTGGATTACTTCATTTAATAAAATGACATGTAGGGCTATCTTTCTGTGGAGGAAACATCATCTGCTTTGATTTTAAATGGTATCGCTGTATGTGACAGGAAACATAACAATAAACATAAACGTCTAGTTTTTCAAAGTAAAACCAATTATCTCAGGGAGGAAATGTTTACAAAATTCTTCATACAATCTGTAAATTCTTGACTCTCCTGCAGATGATTACAACACTGCAAAAACTCAAATCTTACCAAGTGTAGCCTATTTGTCTAATTTCTAGTCAAAAACTTCTAATTACATGGAGTATGAGCCACATTTTACTTCACAGGTACGTCCTATTCTTAAAATGTGATGGGGAGCCGGTGACCAGAGGTGCTGCTTGTCAACAGGGAACTGCTCGGGGCTCCAGACCGGTAGGGGGCCCATGAGGGCTCACAAACTTTAAACCAAAGCAGTGACCCAAAATGCAACTTGGGAAGAAAAAAAACTCCTTAAGGGGGCCACATCATTGCCTTGCTAAGCGTTGCATGCATGATTGATGTGGAAACCAAAGTTTGTCGATGACTGTCTGAGCGAAAAAAGAAACAGGTAAAAAGTGGAGGAGGAGTGCACATCGGGACACAGGCATGATGGTTATGATGGAGGGCCCCACAATTGATTTTTGCTTTGGGCCCCAGCAGACTCTATAGAATCGCCACTGCCTGTGACCTTGTGGTTGGTGGGCACGCCCAATGTGCATATAGGCCGTGGTCCTCTGGGCGGGCGGTCTGGGTTCAGGTCTGGCCTGTAGCTCCTTTGGCAGGTGGCATTTTTGCTGAATAGAAGCATTACAGGCCTCATTTTATACCCTTAATATCTCAAATCAAATGTTTATCTGGACTTGTCGGCTTATAAAAAGTGAAATGACTCAACTCAGATAAATACACCTGCTAAGATTTTAGTTTTCGCTTTGAATATATTCCTCATGAAGGCAGGTCTGATGCTGATCTGCTGATGATTTACATAGTTCAGAGTGTGAGTGTGTGTGTATGTGTGTGTGTGTGTTTGTGTTCTGGAAGTATATGCATCGCAGACACGCAGGGGATTAAATGCCTCTGATGTATACAGTCAGAGCTCTGCAACACGATCCTGCAAACATCCATACACACACATACCCTCCTGACCCTCCGGGCCCACAGCCAGCAGAGAAGCCTCTGACACCGGCTGCTTATTTAGAACACATTCCAACGTTAAGGGTGCTAAGTCAGTTTTAGACGCACCCGGCTAATTTGTTAATGTTGAATCTGATACACAGAGGATGCTTACCATAAACATATTTAAGTTGTTTTTAGGGCTGTCAAACAATTAAAGAGGACATTTCATAGCCCTTCTCCACCTTTTCCAACAGTCCCCTGTGGTCTAAATGAAACATGCTGTGCTTTGGTCCAACTATAACATGAATCAAGCACCAGAGGAGGTTTGTGACCCTGTATAAACCAGCTCTCTCAGAACGCTCCGTTTTGGTGTGTGTGTCTCTTTAAATGTAATGAGCCCCCCTGAGTTTTCCCGGAAGACATCACTCCTTCACTAGTGAGAATAAAAATGGCCGACCTGTGCAAAAGTTTTGTTCTAGGCTGGGGGTGGAGTCCATGGGTGGAGATACCAGGGGAGGGGAGGGTATTTCTTTTCCAGAATCCCACTGTGACATCACAAGGAGAGTAAATTTGAGACAGAGCATTTTTCTCTGTGTTGTAAGACTTATGCAGTACCTGCTGTTGGGGAGTTGTCAGACCACAGAGATGGAGCGCTCTGCAGAAACAGTCTTTGTTTATAAGTTATCACAAGAAATGTTTTTTGATGCATGTCCATCCAGGGCTTCTGTAACAAAGGCCAACATTTTTTAAGTTGTGAGACATACGCTCGAGTCCACAAGAAAAAACAAAGGAGGTCTGCAAAAAGGGTTTCAGGTTTATTACATGTTCACAAACACATTCATCATGGACACTTCATGAAACACGCCTCGCAGTGTTCCTGAACTCAACGTAAGCCTCGACTGTACATTTGCACAAACGTCAAAGTTAAACATTAAAACTTTGTCTTCCATATTTCATCTTTTCGTTTCTCCAAACCAACATTTCTCCATCTGTACATTCCCCGTTTCACTCCACATAAAAGTCCCTTCAAAATAAAAGTCATAAGTCATAAAACATCCTCCCTGTTTTCTCTTCCATCTTCACTTCCTGTGAACTTCACAATGTCCGCTCTCTGTCCGGGTGCAGACGTCCCGGGACAACACGGTGACGTTAAACAACACAAAGTCTAACTCTGAGACCTGCGGAAAAAAGTATTTACACTTTTGTACAATTTCATCTTGTAAAAATTAAGCAGTTCTTATGGAAGCCCTAAGTGGACATGCGTCCATACATTTTATTTTGCTTCATTTTTGCAACGATTAGTCAATTTTGTTTTTTTCTCGAGATCTAGACGAAGAGCCCGTGTCCACCTGGTGATTTTTTACGGGTAAAGCATGTGTGTGCTGCCAATAAAGCGCTGCACGTGCGTCCTGTCTCTATGAAAACGGCTGCTGTTTGACCCTTACTGCTCTGTTGCTTTTTTACTGCATGTTTTATATTTGAGATTTTTACCCCTTCTCTACGAGCATCAAATGGAGGATGCTCGCCCTCCTACTACATCTGGATGATGAGCTCGTCATCACAGCTCCGATCAGACACGAAGATAGGAGGATGTTTGGACACTTCATGATCAGTAGGAGACAAAAATACAGGGATCATCATTTATTTTTGCAAAGAGCGCCAGTGACTTCAACAGCGCCCTTCTGAAAAGTTGAAAGACTTTCAGCTAAAAGCGCTTTGAGTGGAAAAGGTAGAGCGCTCAGAAAAAGGACACTGGATGCTGGGCCTCTCCTCATTGGGAACAATTGGAAAACTGAAGCAGAATGCCAGACGAACATTGGCACTTATTTATCTTTTTGTCTTGGGATAACAACGCTGGTGTCCCTTGTAAAATAAGACGTTTTCTTGAGATCTCGATAAATTAGCTCGTTGTCATGCATTGAAAAAAAAACTGTATAAGTGAAGTAACGAAGTATAACAAGATGAGAAAACAACGATACAGCCGAGCAAATTAAAATGTCTGGATATCCGTCTGCTTAGGACCACCGTAGTTCTTGTAATTTATTGCACTCTCCCATGCACATCAGAAAACTATAGCAACAACAAAAAAAGGAAACTATCAAAGTGCTGCAGAGCCCACAAACCAAGGCCACCGTAGTAATTCAAACTTTAACCTTTTAGCAAAAACATTTTTTAATTAGACAATCCATAAAAAATGTTCACAAGTGTCGTTTCCTGTCACTGCAATGTTTATGAAAAATAAACGTTTCATGTCGGGTTGGTGGATCAAGTTTCTGAAAAAGAGAAACGGTCGACTGACTATCGAAGAAGGATGGACTGTCCAGCAGATCCAGAGTCCGTTAAATATTTAAAGTACAAAACTTAAACACGTCAAAATAAAGACTTAGACAGAAAACACAAAGGTCGTAAAAAGAAGTCATCCTCGAGGTCTCTCGTTGCCCCGCCTGCCCGGTAACAGCAAATCATTACAAATTCCTCTCATTCATACATTTGATTGGAGTAACAACAAGTTCTGAAACGTAATAAAAATCCTGTACATGTGCAGGAAGAGAGTATGGTGAGAGATCTCGAGGATGTCTGCCTCTACACATGTTCAACACATTTTACATGTTTCATATTTAGAAAGATGCTTAAATAACTTATAACTGGAGAAGGCAGATCAAACTAATGCTGTCATGACACTGATTAAAATCCCCCAACACAGGAGATATTTAAAAAACTGAATTCATGATAATAAGTTCATGTGTGAAGATATCAGGCCGATATAAAAATGAAAATGAAACAAAATACAAAAAACTTGACAAGTTAAAGTAAAGAATTTTTCTGAAAAACAACAGGAAATACACACTTTATACATATCTCATACAAGTTTGAAAAGCTGGAATAGGATGTAAAGAGGCCTTCCTCTGATCCATCTCTTCCAGCTCAAAAACAGAAACAAACGTACGTGATCAAAGATGCAGAGAAGTCCAGCGTCCACTCAGAGATCAGCCCTGTTGGGAACAACAACAACAAATAAGACAATAAGTTTCTTTCAAATAATCTACAATTCATTTATCAGACGCTTTTATCCACAGCGAAGAACAACACGAGCGAGGATCTAGAGAGGAGGATACAACGTCAGGAAGTGCAAACAAACAGCTTTAAGTCTGATGGGACACACAGGTGCTGACAGGAAGTGACCAGAGGTGCTGACAGGAAGTGACCAGAGGCAGAGCACAACATGGACAACCATCCTAAACATTATCGTCATCATCATGAAAGTCGTAGGTGTTCATGAATTGCTGGGTCTTCAGCTTTCTCTTAAAGGTGCAGAGGGACTCTGCAGATCAAATGGAGTTTGATATTTCGTTCCACCACCAGGGGGCGACAGAGGAGAAGAGTCTAGACTCTTAGGCTTTGTTTTTTCCGGGTAGAAAAGCGCTGGCTGTGTGCTCGGGAGTGAGATTATATATTTCCACAATCAGACACGGAGTGCAGAGGGGTTGGGTACAAGACACGATTTTGATTTCATGAACCATACGTGTTATCCATAGTTAGGTGCACAGCTGACCTGATTGACAGGTGGGCGCGGTGTAACGGTTTGTCAGGAGGTTTAAAACCCGCCTCAGCTGCAGCTCTCAGCCTGTCGTTAGGTTGACTGAAAGTTAGACTGAGACAGCATTTCCAACATGGAGACCGCCATTGATGGGACTCCAGCGCCCCCTGCAGGAACAGACGGGTGACGTCACTCAGGCTTTGATGATAATATTCACAGTCTGCGGTTTATTCCAACAAAAGAGGGAGAATAATTTCTACTCAAAAGCTAATTTCTCAAACTTGCGCCTCTCTGTTCCAGGGGGTGTGTCTCATGCTCAGATGAGAAGGGGAACTCCAAATGCCCTGCTGCTAGGTTGCATGTTGTGTTTATGTAATCTCTGATCAGAGGCCATGGGAACCTGGCTTCTCTCTCCCTGTCTTTAAATGACTGCTCCTATAAAAAGCCGGCCGACCCTGCAGCGACTCTGACCTGACAGGCGGCCTCTTGATGTCCGGCAGCAGCTGAAGCGGTCCCCGTGTATACAATAACAAATACCTGCCATTGCTTGACCTTTATACTCCCGCACTAGTGCTATGTCCAACATGCAGCCACACACTCACATTCAAACACCGAGCTAATGAAGAGATGTCAGCATAATCCTTTTTATCGCCGCTGTCATATCAGAATGCACCAACCAGCTCGCTGTGATGCATACTTACAAAGTTTACAATCCCGCTGAGTCCGCTCCTTTGTTATACTTGTTGACTGACATTTAAAGATGAATAAATAAAATACAAAACGCTGAAATCTACTGTAGGTCTTTAGGGTACATGGTAAAGAGGGTGACACTAGAGAGGTGGCATTTGCCCCCCCTGAGAAAAGAAGTAACCACTATAGACTGTATTAAACATGGACACTGTTTCAAACAGTTCTCACACATGCACTCCTGAAAATGTATAGATCAGGACTGCTTCTATCTCTTCCGGTCAGGAGAGGGTGCTGGGGGGTCTCCTGAGGTAAGACGTGATGTAAAAAGAACGACGCAGAAGTGGCAGATGAAGCAACAGAGTCCTCTAAGGGGTTTTGTGCAGGTGTGAAAGCATTATCTGTGACATCACCCACTTGTTTCTGATGAGGTGCAATAAAGGTGAATAGTGAAGTATTATAAGGAGCTTTAATGAACATTGGATTGTCACACTGTCATGCACTTTAAACAGCTTCCTCAAGAGTCTGAGGGAGCATTATCTAATGTTTCGGGTAATTTTGAAAACTTTTTTTAAGCAGCAGAGATTAGCAGCAATTTTTGAAGTAGCAACATCAGGGAACCCAAAAGTATGACTAGAATTAGAGGTAAAATGTGTCTTCTGTGTTTGTTTTAAGAGGGATGAAAGTTAAAGGAGATCTCTTATACTTACTTTTACCATCGATCATGTCAGTCAGGGACACCTATTGAGCAGCGTTGGTAGATGTGCAGCTCAAAAACCTCCTTATTTATCTGAAACTTGCCAGTAAAATCCCTCGTTTCAGCCTTTGCCAGAAACACTTCATTTCAGCTGATGTCTCTTTAAGGCCCCCCTTCTCCACCTGCCCAATTTCCTCCGATTAGCCAGCTCTGTTTGCAGTTGCAGGGAAATTTGAGAGAGTGGGCGTGTCCTTGAAAGAGCTTCCCGGGTGGGCGTGTCCTACAACTTTGCTCCATGCTTTGCTCTGATATGTTGGCAGAAGGAAACCACGTCCGGGGATTACACCAAGAACTGTGTCTTTTTTGCCTAGGTTTAGTGTGGACATCCAACATCATGACATTATATATAATTAAACATGAAACAATACAATAGATCCCCTTTCGTGTTTACCATTTTGGTCACACCTAGGTCATTAACTACCCTGTGGTGTGAATATAACCAGAGAATTGGAGAGATACCTGACGAGTTTGAAAAGTACCATGGCGTCTCACGTTTCACTTATGCAGCAAAAATAGAACATGGAAGTCTCTCATTAGACCCATATATCTACACAAGCATGAATCATGTTATCTCATGTTTTAAAGAAAAGAAGGCCCTCTTAACGTCATCCCTGTGTGCACTCTTAATACCAAAATGTTGCTTTTAACTTTTGAAGAGTTTGGAGCAGGTTTTGAAATATCATAAGTTTTTCAAAACGTGTTCATGCAGTCCTTTTAACTTTATCAGAGTTTTTGAATCAGCATGAGAGTTGTGTTGTCTAATTATGTGTCTTTTTAATTTCTAAATTACTGTATTTTTTAAGTGTTCTGCAGGATTTGTCGCTTATGTTTTTTAAATTTGTGCCTGTGGCTCAGTTGGTAGAGTTAGAGTCGGTCACCTTGCATCCGGAAGGTTTTATCATGTTTTGGAGCTATTTTAAATCACTCTGCAGTCTGTGAAGCTTCTTGTTCTAAATCCACTCTGATCCTGTATTTGATCATGTCTATAAAACCCTCTATTTCAGCCCTGCTCAGAACAGGCTGTTTCTGTGTCTGTACCTTTAAATATGTAAATGAGCTGTGTCTGACCACACCTCCTCTCTGGAAGTGCTTGGTTGGCTCGGGCTTTCTCACTCCATGTCCTATTGTTTACGGTGAGAAGGCAGACTCAGAGGGCAGAACAAACACCTAGCTGTGGGAGTTTCACCCACCTGGGGGAGGGGCTACTGCCCTTTGCGATGTCGTGAAGGGAAAATCTCCAAACAGCCTGTTTGAGCACACATTTTCTGAAAAGTGGAGCAGGCAAAAGATGGAGAGGATGGACTTTTCTCATCATTGGGGGGTTTGTAGACAGACTAGAGACACTTATTAGTGTTAGAGGAACATGGTGAGGTGGATTTTGCATCATATGTGACCTTTAAAACCTCAAAGAACAAATCACACTATCATTTTCAACCATTCATCCTCCTGTTCACTCAAACCTGTCTTAAAGATAAACATTCGGACCTACTCACCTGTCCAGGTAGGCTGCCGTTTATCTGTGCTCCACCACAAAGCTCATGGTAGTCCCGTCAAAAGAGGGCGGGGCAATGATCCGCGGACCTTGCTGGGAGGTGATGCTGATGACAGGCTGCGTGGCGGTGGAGAACCCCTGTGTTGGCCTGCTGGTGGCGGCGGCCTGCGGTTGAAACCCGGTGGCGGCCTGGGGAGACTTTCCTGTCGACATGTAGAAAGGACTTTCCATGTACAGGCCTTCCATCTGCTGCGACGAAGCCTTCTCCACGCTCTCAGCCTCCGACTGCATCGACATCTGTGACTGCACCAGTGTCCTCGCCGGGATCACGGACGGCGTCGGCATGAAGCCCGGGTAGATCATGTAGGTGTGTCCATACGCTCCTGGACTGAGCGCCAACGGTGAGATCGGCATGGGAACCGGCGTCATAGGAGGCTGCGGCATTGGCACGTCCACGTACTGGCCTGTTTCCGGGTCAAAGAGGCGCTTTGTGGTCGGCTGCACGGGAGTGTCCACCAGGTAGTAGTTTCCGGTTGTGGGATCCAGGAGCATCTTCCTCTGCGTGGCCTGGAACGGGTCCAGAGTGGGAGCGGGAGTGATTGCCGGGGAGAAGCAGTACAACTGAGGCTGATTTGCATTCATGCCCAACGGCAAAGAGTGGTAGATGGTCGCAGGAGGGATCTCAGGCGGTCGCGGCTCCATGACAATGCTGGCTCTCTTTGGGGACTGGTTGTACTCTTCATGACCCCTGGTGGTGGATCCCACCTGTCTTGTAGGGGTGGCTGGGTTCGTCTTGGTGGTGAACGTGTACACCAATGTTTTATCAGCGGATGGTGCTGGTTTCTTGGTGTTGGCGGGAGACTTTACCGGAATCGTTAGGTAGTTCTCGTTGTCTGCGCCCCAGAGATCTTGCAAGGACCTCTCTACCTCCCTTGTTTCGACTCCTTCCTGTCCACTCCGCTTTGTTTGGCTGCTTTTTAAGGACACGGGCAGTTTTGGCGACTTTGGGGTGAAACTCCTCGTGTTGAAGGGCGTTTGCGTGGCGGCATTCGGCGGCTGGGTCGTCCTTGTGCTCGCAGAGGGCTTAAGATTGGAGCTGAGGCTGAACATGTTTTTGTGACCTGTGGCGTTGGTGGTTGTTTGCATGGACTTGGGAGTCTGAAACACTTTGTCGTCTCTCCTGGGCAGGCTTGGGGACGCCGCTACAGCCGGGGGTGTCTTGTCGGCGTTGGGGTAGGAGTCTCTTCTGGCTGCCCTGTCCATGTTGAACCCTCTGACCTCCTCCTCCTCCAGTCCTTCATGGTCCTCGCTGGTGAGCAGTGAAAGAACATGGCTGTCTGTCAGCGGCCGGGGCTTGTTCTTCCTCTTCCACTCATTCCTTTCGAACACGTAGAGCTGCTCCATGGTTTTCACAGCCGCCTGGAGTTTGTCGAACGCCGCCTGGTTCGCCACCTTGGATTCAGGTTTCTTATCTGTGATATCTGATGGTTTTTCTTGCCTCTTTGAAGCCATGTTGCTTTCAATTCTCAATCCACTGCCCCCCTCTGAGGAGTTATTTGGGTTATCTATGGGTACTCTCCCTGCTGCTTTTTGCAGAACAGCGCCCTCTGGAGACGACCTGTCGAAGTCAAGCAGCTCCCCTTTAGAAATGTCTTGTTTCCCGTTGCTGTTTGTATTCACAGACTGACATTTTATCACTATAGGGGAAACAGAGTTTAGATTCCGATAGGGCATTAGCTTCTTCTGCTCTGTGTGGCTGTCAGCAGCGGATCTATTCTCGTTGTTATCCAAAGAAACAAAGTGATAGGAGCTTTTCACCAGTTTACGCACGTCTCTCACTTGATGAATGGGCGTCTGCAACTTTCCTTTATTTTCTCTAATGTCTCTAACCATGAAATGCGGCACTTTATCTGAACACTCACCCTTCAAAGCTGCAGCCAGGGCCTGGCATTTGAAGTCGTCTGCTCTGCCGAGGCTGGCTGGGTTACAGCCTAAATTAGGAGCGCGCAGTTTGGAGACACCGAACGGCTCGGTTTTATTGTCTCTGACGCTCCTCAAGTTAATTTTTATCTCCGGAGATTTAGATGTAGCCACACTCCTCGAGTCTGCGATGAATAAAGTGTTGTCAGAGTGCGGTTTTATTCCTCCTCCGTCCTCACATAGAGAGTAACTCCGGTTCTGCAGCTGCTGCCCCTCTTCTCCGTCACTGTGCAGCAGTTGGATACTTGGCACAAACAAATGTGACATTTTAATCAGTTTGCTGCTGCCCGATGAGTACCGATCCCCCTCGCCTTCTTTGTCGTTAGCTGAAGGCAGCTTCTCCTCCGGAGTTTTATGGTTTTTATGATCCTTTTGAAACTCTACCTCCTCGTCCTTCCAACATCTGAATGCGCTATTTTGGCTCCGTAGCAGCGTGCTTTTGGAAGCTTCCAATGCGCCTATTTTAGCATCGATTCCAGCTTCATTTGCCGGCTCTAAATTAGTTTCTAGTGCGGGAGCGGCCGTGTCTCGTCTCCGAGAATCGCTCTTAGTATCACATGAGCCGCTGTCAATGATGTCCCCTAATTCATCCAAGCACATTATGGTGTAGTCTGAGCTGCTCTCTGAAAACTTGGAGCTCTGTCTGTGCAGCTCCCTGCTCCCCTTCCCCCTGTGGCTGTCGCTGTCCTGGTGCACAAAGCTCGGGGAAGGCGCTTGATGCGGCTCACTTATCTCCCCTCTTTCCATCTTGCGCTCCTGCTCGAACTGCATCTTCTTAGAAATCACATTTTTAAGCAAGCTGGAGGCGAAGATGGCCTTCTTGTGTGTGTCTTCCATGGCGTTAGAGGCAGGCTTGCTGGCCCCTCTCCTCTGGCTGCTTGGCAAACTGTTGGTAACTTCATCTGTGGAACGTGATCCTGCAGAATTTTGCGCAAAGTTAGAGCGCCTTTCTCCTGCAGACATCCCCGATTTGACATTACAGCGAAAATTCAGAGTCTCTGTGAGTCTGATCACCCCACCGTGACCCTGACCGAGTTTCCCCATCAGCTCGATTTTCTTTGAAGTCGACGCGCTGTGGGGGGTCCCATTCAGAGTGAAGATCTTGTTGGTGGGCGGTTTGATGCTTGCCAGTGTCAAACCTTTGTACCCTCTGCTGCCCACATTTTTGGCTATTTCAAAAGAGGCTGTAGCGTTCTGATGTGAAACTACACTTTGGTCCATTCCTTGTGACATGTTGCCATATTTCAGGTCGACAAACGTTGACCACCTGTTAATCCCCAAACCATGCTCTGATGCGGACGACTCACTGGAGGTGCTGAAATTAATGGCATCAAAGTAAGGGTACGCCAGGCTCTTGAAGGATTTGGCTGTCAGATTGCGCACCTCCTTGTCAGCGTCGTCCAGCTCGCTGACAGCGCTGGACGCACCGCTGGAGTACTCGGTGACCTCTTTCCCCCTCAATTTGCGGCCAAAGTGTAAGCGTCCGGGCGCGGCTATGAAACACTTCGTCGTGTCACACAACGTCTCTGCCTTCCCATCAACTCCCCTTAACACATACCGGCTCATGTCTCCGGCGCGCCTGGCATGATAAAGAATATTTTTCTGTTCTTGGATGTTGCTGGGGTCATTTATAGCTCGAGAAGTGGTTCTGATTGACAGGTGGATCTGTCCGGCACCGTTGCCACTGCCCTGCTGCTTTGACACACTCTCATCTGAGCTGGTGAACTTGGCCGCGTCGCTCGGATCACTTTCAAGCAGAGTGCTGACTTCTGCTGCGTCCTGAGCGCGCCCCTCCGCCGCTCCATCACCATCGAATGAGGCGTAATCGACAAAAGAGTACACCTGCTGGTTGTCATCCTCGATGTCCCAGCTGGCGGAGGAGCCCACTCCGATATCATAATCCCCCTCATGGTCAGAGAGCTCCGCGAGCTGGATCTCGTGCGTGGTAATGTAGTGGGACTCATCATCCGTTACGCACGGGACGCTGTCGTCCGAAAGCACCAAACTAACATCATCCTCCTCCTCAAAATCATCCGACTCATTCCTCCCGCTCAGATAATCATCATCATGGAGGCAGCGTAACTCCTCTCCTCTTTCTGTCTTCTTCTTCTTCTCCTCTTGTTGCGCAATGTCGCGCTCGCTTTTGTCTTCAGATTTGAGGCAATCCTCTGACTTTGCTGTAACAGAGGGATGATCTCGTAAAGATTGTGAATGAGAGGGGTACTCCTTGAAATCTTTAGAACATCTACCAACTACAGAATTGTCTTTCTTCTTCGTTTTAATCTCAGTTTTAACCAATGACTCGTGGTTTGGCTCTGTTGCGCGCGGAGCTTCAGAGCCGCCGACAGACATTTGGTTTCTTTCATTAGATCCAAAGTCTTTCTCCCTAATTATTCCGCCCTTATCCAGGTCCTCTAAGTCCAAATCCACATATTTGAGTTCGTCCTGCTTCTCCGGGGCATCCTCCTTTTGACACGCGCGCTTTCGGAGCAGATCTTTGACCTCGCGGAGATCTGCCGGTGCCTCCACGCGGCTTTGTTCAGTCTTCATGACTCAGTCCGCACGTTTCAGTGGACATGCGTGTGTGACTGCAGAGAAGTGGCTGAGATGGAGACCTCCAGCCCCCCCCCAACCAACCACGGGACTCCTCAGAGTCACAGGCAGAGATGGTGCCTCACTCTGATGAGACGGAAGCGCTCCAAGTATTCCAGCTCACCGCGACATGCAGCTCAGAGCCGCGAGTCTAAAAAGGACCAGAGACATTACCAACTACTGTCTAGGCCAGAAGGTTCTCAAGCTGCGGTTCGCGGACCAATAGGAGCACTGAGGGCACTCCCCTTCAAACTATTCCATTGAAAATAGAAAGTTGAACTCACACTGTTTTTGTGCAGCTAATCACGAGTCACGATCCATGAGCTGCAAAAACTCATTAGTTATAATCTCATGTTAGTACATCATGAGAGGAAAATTACATTTAACACTTTCTAAACAGTGAAGAACAGAAGGTCCAAAAATGCAACTTCTGTACTTTTGTCTGATAGAGTATGAATCTGCTACTTCATACTTTGACTCCAGCACATTTGAGAGGAAAATACTGAACTTTTACTTCTTTAAATCAAACTCACAGTGACAGTTACTCTGCATCATCAGGTAGCATACTGGCAGTGGTGATTCTAGAGTCTGTTTGGGCCCTGGGCTAAAATCATTTGGGGGCCCTTCAACCAGCGTTCATCCCCATCATGTCCCGACGATTACGCCCCCTTTATTTCCTGTGTCTTTTTTCTCTCCTATAGACGGATAATTCCTCCTTTTTTTTTTATTTGTTGACTTTTCATAGACACACTTTGGTTTTCACATCAATAATGCAGCGCTTAGCAGGGCAACGAATCACTTTAAAGACTCACGTTAGAATTTAACCGTCTCCATCTTGGTATTTTGGATCTTAAATCATCAGCTTGTGTTGGAATCAAAAAGGGGTGTGTATGTGACTCATCTCTTACTTCGTCCCTCAATTACGCCTCTGCGACATTCAGATTGAAGGAGAAACATCAGACTGAAGAGGGCTTCTGATACCAAGAGGCTACATCTATTTCTCATATTATTATTATTTAGCAGGTTCAATGTTTTTAGGTATTTCTTAAATGCCAAACATTGCATAAAGAAGTTTTTGATCATTTATCAAATGTAGGAGACTCGAGTCCATATGAAGTGCAGCGAGCAACCTGTTTCTGCCTGACCTACAGATAACGTTTCCCAGCAGACCGGCGGCTCACTGGCTGTTTTTAAAAATACACGTCAAAGTCAAATATAGGCACCGTGGCAAAATGTGAAAATTGCAGCTACGTTAGTCGGGGAGGAATGTGTGCAGGCTTTTTGTGACACCTCAGATGACGACTGTCTGGCAAATAAACACCCAAGTGACAACAAGTCCTCAACAACACACACCCCCACGAGGAGGGGGCCGCCGTGCACACCGCTGACTGCTGGAGCGCTCACGGGGGTTAGTCTGTGTCAGGGGAGGCCGGTCTGGAGTCCAGGGGCCACCAGGGGCCTCTGGGGGTGTGTGGCTCATAAGTAGGTCACATTTAATTTAACTTTTCTGGACAGAAACAGGAACGGTTTAAGAAAATCAAGATCCCATAATCTCTGTGCACGACCGTTTCACATTTCTTTCCCCATTTCTTAGAGAGCTTTAGCACTACTGCCCAAGGCAAATGTCACCTCAAGGGCCAATCAAGTGTTTCTTATTTAGTCTCATCATATCTAAAATGTCCTTCAAAAGGTACATAAAGAGTAAAGTCTCAATCAAGACAATGGCTGTTTTTCTAAACCGCCGTACTACACGAGTAGTACGTACTGATCTGGTTAAAATGCAGTATGGGAACAAATGTGAGATCCTCAGGATGTCGTACTTATTCAGGAAAAATCTACAGTCTGCATCAGACCAGTCTCCCTGACGTTGTGTTTCCCACAATGGAAAGGGGCAGGTCAGAGGTCGAAATAACAGACAGCAGCATCCATCGTAACAGAGGAAATAATCACAATCAGACCAAACCACACAAAGAGTCACGAAAATCAAATGAATCACTCGTCGGCTTGTTTCAGACTGTAAGTGGACGCTACACTCAGTCGGCGTTTGACATCAGCTGGGCTGTTGTTCTACTTCCTCATTCAAAGAACGGAAACCAGCTTAGCCGGTCCTGTGTATTGCAGAATAACCCCCAACTGGAGGTCAGACTACAGGCTGTGATGAGATTTCTGTATCTCTGTAGATGTACAGACAGAAGTGACTACACCAACTAAGGTCTCTCTGTGTCTCCCCTCATATCTTCATCCATGCATACTATTTCAACACTAAATGCATAAGGACCTCTAATAAGGCTTTAATGTGTGAGAGTCTACAGTGAACTTCAAACTAAAGAAATCAGAATGAAAACAGCACGAGGCATCAAGGTGAATCTCCAGCACCATGGACAGCTCATGCTCTGTTTTTATATCACTGATAGATTAAATCTAGACTCTGCAGCTGGTAAAACTTGTTTCACTGTTCATGTGGGCTTCTGAGTTTCATAAAACGAGTTAGTCACAGTGACGCTGATAAGGAACAGACATTATACTCGACAGCGTTACTCTCTGTTGACATGGCTCCGAGAGTTTACGACTCTTTTGACACTCCCTGAACATATCGAGAAACCTTCCTGGAGAGTTCCAGTTTCATAGACGACAGATGGATCCGAGCTTCAATTTCAGCTGGAATCTTTACAGGGTGCAGTATGAGCTAAAAGTCAAAGCCAGTGCAGAAGTTTCAAAAACTGCAGTTCCTCCAGTGTCCACTAGAGTCTGTCTCCTGCAGTGAGTCAGTCCCATAGAGCCCCATGTTAAAATGTCCAACTTTACAGCAGAAATAAACATGTTTACAGCCTGGTAGTAGTTTATTTCTTGGTACACACTGTACGGGGGTTAATTTGTTTTTTAATTGATCTGTTTTGATTCTACTAAGGTGAAGAGTTTTGCATAAATTAGCAGAATTAGAGGCGTGACTGATCTGACTGATGGGTGGACGTGTTATTGTCCAGGAGTCTTGAGGCCCACCTCAGCTCTTAATCTGTTTTCTAGATTGAAAGTTTAAGTCAGCTTTTTCCAGTATGGCAACCATCGAATGGCTTTATGACACATCTTCAAAACCAATTTGTGATGTCACAGAGACTACGTCCATGTCCATGGAAAAAGGAAGAACGACAAACTTCAAAATGGTAGTCCAAAATCCAGTGGTTGGCGTTACAGATCTCATGTCTTGTGCTATGTTTGAAATTGAACCAAAACAAAGACCACAACGGGCTTAAAGGCTATTTTTGATCATTCTCTGTGTTTATCAATAAGAGCATCTTTGTTTGGCAACCAACATATGATCCATCATGAAATTTTGGCTATAAATAAACTATAAAACAATGAGGTTTAACTGTTGGGCCTCAAAGACAGAACTCTATGATCTTAGCTTCTTTTTCGGAGTGTAAAAATCTATGAAATGAAGCTCCAGTGTGAATTGGATGAGAGATATTTAAATGAGTAGAAGCATCACCAGAGCTTGCAGGACAGTAGCAGTCAGGAGTCCAGTCTAATTAGAATGAATAACTGGGCAGCTGATGGTTGGTTGGCAGGCACCCTGAACTCACCACCGGGCTCTGAGCGAGTTTTAACTCGGCTGTTGGTGGGCAACAAATTTTCCCATCACCTCAGGCCAGCAGAGTAATAGAGTCTGAGCCGGACACCAGAGACGACTGAGCTTAACGCTGAAACTCGGCTCCACATGTGTCACACTCTCAAATACAAGGATTAAAACATTTTCTCTAACAAGATTTAGATTTTTTTGTTTCTCTAATACTAATATTTGTCTCTAGTCTGTCTACAAACCCCCCAATGATGAGAAAAGTTCATCCTCTCCGTCTTTTGTCTGCTCCACTTTTCAGAAAATGTGTGCTTAAACAGGCTGTTTGGAGATTTCCCTTCATGACATCACAAAGGGCAGTAACCCCTCCCCCAGATGGGTGACACTCCCACAGCTAGGTGTTTGTTCTGCCCTCTGAGTCTGCCTTCTCACTGTAAACAATAGGACATGGAGCGAGAAAGACCGAGACACCCAAGCCAGAGAAGGGGCGTGGTCAGACACAGTTCATTTACATATTTAAAGGTACAGACACAGAAACAGATTTGATTACATTACATTCTGATTTGAATGTAATTGTTCTCCAAACGTGAAACAAACCTGAAGAAATCAAACATTGTGAAAGAATCATAATGTGCAGCTTTCAATGCAAAGAATCACTTTAACGTCTGCAGAGTAAACACAGCCTGCGGAGCTGTGCACACGTTGGATGCTCTCTAGTTTTGCTCATTACATCCTTATAATAAACATGTCAAATAAAAAAGTGATTAAAGCAGCTTCCTCATGTTGCAGCTGACCACAGATACGTGTCTTATGTAAGGGGTATAAAAACAGAAATTACTCAGCTGTCCTGTTGCCGTGGCCTCAGTCTGGCTTAAATGTGCAGTTTTTTTCTTTCAAAGGTCTTTTTATTGAAAGATAATAACAGAAAATAGCTTTTACTGTACAGGGAATTTTTTTTTTTTTCTTCCCCCCACCCACCCTTAACAAAAACACTCATACATGTCGCAAAACATTCAAACATGAGACAAGCCTAATCCAGACGACAAACAACCACAGCTGTAACTAGAAGTCACATTCTGAATAATAAAGGTCAAGGTCAACAATAAACACATCTGTACAGATAAGGGCAGTCCTTCCTGCGAAATCTAAAGGAAGCCGAGTTGCTTTTAAGAGTTTAATGTGCAGTTTTTCAAAATGAGGTTTTGCATGGGACACTATTTCCTCTTCAGAGATTTCTCTCCTCTTTGGACAGATTTCAGGGGGATTTCCAGCCGACGTGCGGCTCAAACAGACAGAGAACCTCACTTGCTCCAAAGTGTCACCCCGAGCTGAAGTACTGTAAACCCAGCCGCACAACAAGATATATTTAGACACCTATTTTAGAGCGACGCTGGTGGCTGCAGGTCTTGAGGAGATTCGGTTACTCCTGGAGTCCAACATTAAAACAGCAGGCGATCAATCATGTTGGAGTGTCAGTCAGGGCGCATTAAGACAGAGACTTAAGTCGTTAACGAGGAGAGTGAAGCCTTCCTATTGCTACGACAACAGTCTACTGTATGTCTCCATGGCAACGGACATAAATACATGCATATTATTATAAACTGAGGTCAGGTATGATGTGAACAGTTCGGGGTCAGATACCTTGTAAAGACTATCTGTGTCTCAGAGCTCGGAGAGACGTCTTCTTCAGCAGCTCATAAAGACCGACTTTATCTCCACGATTGAAGGATCATTCTGCTGATTTGACTCGTGAAGATCAGTTTACTCGTAAAGAGGACGAGCACTCAGCCTGAGCAAACAGTTATTTAATGTGATCTGGAAGCAGCTCCTGAACTACAGATGCAGGAATCAGAGTGGATCAGTGGTTTTGTATACTCAAAATCAGTCTTGGTCTCAAGACCGGCCTCAAGTCCACTTCTTGAAGGTCTCGGTCTGGTCTCGTAATTGAAAGCATTTTTCCTCAGTCTTGTCTCGGCCTCAGACTAGACAGACTCTGGATTTTAAATCCAGACTGGTCAAGACCACCACTGATCGGCTATTCTTCCACGTCATTACTGTGATTCTTTCTAACAGAACAAATAACTTCAATTCATTCATAATTAGATTTTTATCCCCCGGTTACGACCTCAACCTTCCCGGTCTGAAATAAATGACACACCTTTAGTCATTTAATGAATGACCCCCTTAACGCAAGATGATGATTTTGATATTTAGGGTCTTCGTCTTGTCTCGGTTTCACCCTGCCTTGGTCTTGGTCTTGCCTCGGTCTAGGAGCACTCTGGTCTCGGTTAGTGTGGTCTTGACTACAACACTATGGATCAGTTCAAACAGACTAAAGAAAAGGTGAAATGTAAATATGAATGCAAATTCAAAAACACTAAAAACAACGGGAACATGCTGGAAATACAAAAACCTGCTGCAGAAATAAAACTACAGAAGCCTGAAGGGAACATACACACTGTGTGCTGCTTGTAGGTCTGTAGGTTAACTCTGTAATGGATGAGGGGAACGGCGTGGAGGTGAGGCTGACTCTGAGGTGACTGAGTGAGTGAGTTGAAACTCGATAGAAGCTTACGGTGTTGCTGGCGTGATGTTGGGCGGTGGTGGAGGCGCTCTTTGAACCAGCAGCAGAATTTTAAAATCTATTCTCTGACGGTCTGGGAGCCAGTTTAAGACCTCAGAGCTGGACGTATCATTACGGATCATTACCGGTTGAGATCCCTGCACCCGAGGCCGCGTGGCCCCTCAGTGCTGGCAGCGGATCGTCACTCCACTCTCCCCATCCAGGAGCTTGGTGTTGATGAGGACTCGAGCAGCGACTTTCTGGATCCACTGCAGGTGTCTGGAAAATGTTTTAGTGAGAACTGTAAAGACACCGTGACATAAATCAAGTCGACTGAAGATAAATGCATGGACGAGTTTTTCCAGCTGGGACACGAGTCTAGGCTTTATGATCATCTAAAACTTTTAATTTTTATCTTACTCACTTGTCCTGTGACAACTGAGTAAATTTTAGTCTTCTTGAGATCTCGATATATTAACTCGTTATCACGGGTAAAACCAACGTTGATCCCGAATAACGACACAATACATCGAGATCGTGAGAAAAAGCTCTCATTGGCTGTTGCTGATATAACTGATCTCAAATCGTACATTTCACATTTCTGATTTCGAGATCGAGGAGGCTCTGACCCGATCAGGAGCAGTGACATTATCAGACTGACACCTCACACTTTATGATTATTTGGATAAAGTTGCGACAAACTAGAAGCAGGCCACGCCCCCTGATCGTTAGGGGAGCAAATCAGGCCTAAAGCCGTCGAGTGTGCAGCCATCTTTAGCGTCACAGAAATACCAGTTTCCAGTTTTTCATGAAGGAGTAACAGTTAGAAACACACGTCAGCCGTTCTCTTTGTGCAAGAAAAACTCTTCTCAGAGACCGAAGAGAGAGTCGGATAACTGTTTTTCCCTTTGGACTTCAGAGAGGCAGCGGATATATCACACGGTGAATGCACTCTGTGGGGTTCCTGAATGCAGCATTGGATACAAAGATTGGAGCTGTAATTTTAGAGAGGTAGTGATAATGTTAACAACACGCCAGAACCAAAGCAGACTGATGTGTTCTCCATCTGTCACTGTCCTTTCATCGGCGCAGCAGGAGAGCAGGGATCGTTTAAAGTTAGACCTGGATTCAGATCCATCATGTCATGCACTCCTGACTCCTTAATGTCCAGAAGGTGTCATTATACGACCTGTGTAAACCCTGAACCATGGACGTGAGCCCGTCCATAACTCCATGACTCAAAGTCAGAGGGATCATCGTCAGGTTTTACATTTCTGACTTCTCCAGAAATATCAGCCGAGCACGAATTTCATAAAACAACAAAGCAAACTCCAGGATGATGTGATGTGATTTCCATTCTCAGTCTACAGAGGAAGACTGTGTTTAAAAGTGGAAAAGCTCTAGGGGGATAAGTATGGAAGCCCAAAGCAGACATGCATCCATTCATTTTATTCACTCTTTTGAATTGTGTCATAACAACTTATTTATCTGCACTTTGTGTTACAAAAGCACAAAAAAAAGAAGAAATAACTCTCCTCATTAGTGTGGGCAACAGCAGCATGATGTGTCCTGGGGCGTGTCCAGAGAGGTGGCATGGCTCCCCCTTAGAAATACAAAAAAGTGCCAAAAAGAATAAGTCATTTTTGAGTCACTGAGGTAAAAACTTTAAACATAAACGTACTCTAACAGTCCCAAGATCAAAATATTTGAGTAAGGAAAATGGAAATCTGCTTGTAATGTTTTGCATCTTGGAACTGACATTTTATATTGTAAAAAAAAAATAGAGTCATGAAGGTTGGTCGTGACCCGACTGTTTACCAGAGCAGATGTTACATCCTCCACTGACCTTCACCTCTGTATGTTTGTCTGTTTCACACACTGAAGGACGACACATAACACACACACACAAACACACAGAGACGCAGAAACACCCATAAACCACATACACGTTTATTCTCCTCACCACTAGAGGGCGGTGTGACTGTTTTGAAAAAGTGCAGTTTTTTAAATCTGTGTAGGAGCCAAATCAGTGTGGATAATTACGTACTTTATTCAAATGGTTTTGCTTTATATGTTAATTTACTTAATGTGGACACTAGAGGGCGATAACGGGTCACTGGGGTGAATCAGTTAATTGGGATTTTCAAGTATTCAAAGACACTGTAGTTTAAAATGTAGGTCAGTAAGGTAGGAGGAAACTGTGAAATAGAAGGAGGACACTGTGAGTGAGTTCAACTTCAACAAAAGTGGACAGGAGTGGTCTCTGAAGTGGTTACAGGTACACATGGTGTGGGAGAGATTAAGGTGGAAAGGTAAGAAAAAAAAAAAACGCTTCAGAGACAGCTCCACTACCAAACATAGGTAAGCTGCTCCACTGTTGTTTTTTTCTGAAATTTGTCCCCACAACAGCGCAACTCATTACCCAACATGACCAGACACACCCTGAGCACGCCAGCTTCCCCTCATTGTTTTAGGTCCAGCTCTGGGATGATGACAACCCTCTCCTTGGAGTTATTTGTTTGCACAGCTGACATGTTGAATGTGTTGTTGTGTGTTTTGAGCATGTGTTGAGTCACAATGAGTCAAACATCAGAATGTGAAGAATTTTCACTTTCCCCTCAGACTCTCATCTGTTTTTCACTCCTGATATTTGAGATGTGTTCGGTCTGTGAGGCTCATTGTTTCTCTCTCCTGAGGCAGTGTGTGTGTGTGTGTGTGTGTGTGTGTGTGTGTGTGTGTGTGTGTGTATTCTGGCAGACACTCAGTTCATACTTTTATTAGAGGAGGGTGCAGAGGGAGGGAGGGGGGGAAGACTATCTGACGTCACACTCACATATGGAACATCCTCTTCCTCCTCTCTGTTAAGTAATAACCGTCACGTTCAGCCCGACACATGTTTTTTTTCTCTTGCTCCAGTTCTGACGGTTAAAAAGTCAAAGAGGCGTGTCGATGTCTGAAACAGTCTGTGGTTGTAAAACTGGACAAATGATCCTCGTAAAGCTCCCGCTGGGATTATGATCATCTCGTCACTCCGGCTGAAGGACAGAGAGAAGACTTCAGGAGGATGTGAGTATTGGAAGTCAGTGTTTTGTGAGTTTTTCTTTCAGAGTGTGAGTCTGTCGCTGTGAGAGGAATGTGCTGTGTGTCAGGGCGTGTTGAGCTCTGTGAGTACACACACACAACTTCTCTTACGCTCATCTTTGGGAGACATAACAGCCGTGAACAGTGAAATATGGAGTCAGAGGAGGGACAGAAAAACACATTTTTACAAACAAAGCAGCGAAGAGGCTCAAAAGCTCCTCAGAGACAACCGGTTTCTGTTAATCGTGTTTTTTTTCATCTTAACTGTGTTTATAAATCATCTCTCATACATCTAAGCATGCAGCCTGAAGCGCACTAACCTGTTTGCACATAGACCCATTCATTCTTTTAATAAATCCACTTTCTTCTCAAGAATCTGTTTTCACGTCTTCATCAGAACATGTCAGCGCTCACAAGAAAGCTTTAAACTGTTAAACTGCAGCTGAAGGAAACCAACATGTTTGAGCCCGACGCTTTCATCAGAGATTTTAAAGATGTGGGTGTGACTCCGTTTAACAACAACCGTAGCTAGGTGACAAACTCAAACATTAATCATCAATCATAATAGAGCAGAGTTTCAAGACCGATGCAGAGCTGGATAAACACTGAAGCTTCAGTATCCATCACATGGTGACCTGTGTGAGCATCGACTTTAGAGAGGAGGGGGCGGGGGGAGACAGCTCTACAATGTTTAGAATTTAGACTGCAATACCCATTCTAAACACTAGGTGCCAGAGTTAAATACTGCTCCTTTAAGAGGTAAAATTAGCTTAAATACCTTGAAATAATTCAAGAGAATTCAGAATGAGAAGCTGCTGAGGTTTGAGTTAGTGCAGTGTGACAAAAAGCACAACAAGCATGCAATGCTTACAGCTGCTCTTTTATATTTTTATATAAACAACAGATCAGATGACTGTGTGTGATGTGACAGGAGAGGCTCTTTAAGATGATGTAGATTCAAATATGAACCCGCTGAAACCAGACACACTTTGGAGGAAAATGCAAAGATTGTGGATATTTTGTGCAGATTTGAGCCTCAGCTTTAGCAGTCCCAGAGTTAAAGTTTTGCAGTTTTGATAAGAACACTCTATGTACTCTGCTTTTTAGTTGAGACAGGAAGCAGGTGAGCAGTTTCACCTCGCCAGGGGATAAAGTGACGATCCAGCCATGAATGCCCTCCTTGTAATCTGTTTTTTCTTCTCGGTCCTCTCCTAGGCTGAGCTTCAGGCTTGTCTATATTTTCTCGTATAACCTGTTCCAGTTCTGTGGACACACATGGATCCTGGCCAACACCATCGCCAGGTTTCTCACTTTTGGGAAAGGTGAGGAGATCAAAGAATGAATTAATGAGTTAGAGAAGAGAGAAAACACCTCTGCACTGCTTCAATGTGAAACAAAAGCAGCTCTTTACATCGTTATTGTTTTCCTTGGCAGATGCTTTAGCGGACACGTTTTACTCTGTGGGCGTCGTGATGAGTCTGTGCCAGCTGCTCTCCATCCTCGAGCTCTTCCACATCGCAGATGGCATCGAGAAAGCCCGACTCCTCCCTCGCTTCTTCCAAGTGCGTACCCACCGCAGCCCGAACTCTTCATGCTGTGTCATTCATGATCTTTTTAAAGTAAAAACACTCAAACCACGTTGTGAAGAAAGTCTTTGTACATTTGAATGAGTGTGTGTGCGTGCTCTCTCTGTGTCTCAGGTCGTGGAGAAGAACCTCCTCCTGGTCATGGTCGTCAAGTTGGAGGAGATTCAGAGTAAACCTGTCGTCTGTGTTCTGCTCTTTTTGTGGAACATTTTGGACCTGCTACGGTACGAACGTCACCTCAAGATGTCAAACATGCAGCACTGTTTTCCCCTAATACACAGATATTCTTCTAACACCCTACAACTTTTAGATATTTAAAATATTGGTCATCATATATTATTCATTGAAGAAGCAAACACTCTAATATCTTCCCTGGCTGGGATAAGGCGGTCTATCGACCTCGCCCACACAGAAGTTTCCTATATTTTAAGGCAAAGGTTCAGACGTTTCTCTACACTTCTATCAGGATTGACAAGCTGCCGTGGTGGCCATAAGATGATTAATCAAAGACTGCATATAAAGCATGCAGAGCCACTGTTCGTTTGTGGGCTGTCAAATTAGAGCCTCCGGTTTGAGATTTTAGAGGTCTCTTCTCAGTCTCTATATTTTGGATCCAACCAGTAAGATGTGTAGAGAGTGAAATGATAAAGTGATCTTACTATCTGATCTGACATTAATGAAACATGCTATGTTGAAGTGCTGGCTTCTCTGACAACAATGCAGCAGTCAGTATGTCCTCCTTCTAACTTTAGATTCTGCTCCTGAATGATCTGGATTTGTTTGGACCAGAGAAGGTAGGAGGTTTTAAGACACCCCCACACGGCCGTTTTGGACGCCCCTCAGTTTGTCAGATATGAGAGCAGTTATCAGGTAAAACCAACAGGTGTTGCAGTGATGGAAGAGGGCAAGAGAAGTGGTTCAGATAGAAGTGATTGTACCCGACCTAAAAAGCCTCTGCATGTTTCTAATAAGCTCCACGAGCAGAAACGTGCTCAAACTAGGATCAATATTGGAGATGCTTTTGAAAAATGGAGAGAGGTTAGAACGCAGAAAGGTTTACAGACCGATGCAGAGCTGGATAAACACTGAAGCTTCAGTGTTCACCACATGGTGACCTGTGTGAGCATCGACTCTAGAGAGGAGGGGGCGGGGGGAGACAGCTCTCTACAATATCATTGGCTGTACTTGACATACAGGTGTGGCCACAACACAAGTGTAAGTATGCATGCAAAGGAAGGTTTCCTTTTTAAATAACATAGTCATCATAATAAAAACTTTTTCAGTGTTTCCGTCCTCACTTCAACATATTTCATGCTTGGACTGCCTGGTTTCCTCCCTTTTTCAATGTGTTAAACATCCTGCTGTGTGGAAGAAGACCTGGAACCAGAGATAGAGATCATAAACTCTCCAGGAAAATGTTTCCTGTGGGACTAAATTAACTGAGAAGTAGGGCCACCTGCTGGTCGTTAGTGAAACTGCAGGTTTAAGATACTTCTGCATTAGCTACAACGTCTTTTCAAATACGATGTCGTCAAAAACAAATCACTGTCACTCATTGTGTAATGATTCTTTTTCTTCTTACTTGAAAACGTTTGTGTACTTCTGCGGACAGGTACCCTCACGAGCTGCTCTGTGTGATGGAGAAACCCTCCGGCACCATGCTGTGGACTCGATACACACTCTGGATCCCCGTGTACGTCCTGTCAGCGGCCACTGAAGGTGATTCAATCTTTTCTGTCATCTTTTTTTTTTTTTTTTTTTTTTTAAACAGTCATTCTAGGGAACTTGCAGTTCTGCCTCAGACGGTCTCTGCAGCTGACCTCACATGTTCCCCTCGGTCTGAGCTGTTTCTCATCTGTGTCTGTTATTGCATACAGGAAGCAGAGAGCAGGAAATGAGTTGGCAAAGCAGCAGAGATAATAAAACGTCAGGAAGTGTGAGAGGAGAGTGTACACAGAAGACACACATGAAGCTCCAGGATATCCACAGAGTTAGGGGAGGATGGTCACATGTCTTTAAAGAAGTCGTTAGCTTGTCATTAAATCAAACACATTTATTTCTGCAAAGGGATTCATGTAGCGTCAGACATTAAGGAAACATGTTGAAGTGCTGGCTTCTCTGACAACAATGCAGCAGTCAGTATGTCCTCCTTCTAACTTTAGATTCTGGTCCTGAATGATCTGGATTTGTTTGGACCAGAGAAGGTAGACGCTTTAAGACACCCCCACACGGCCGTTTTGGACGCCCCTTGGTTTGTCAGATATGAGAGCAGTTATCAGGTCAACAGGTGTTGCAGTGATGGAAGCTGGCAAGAGAAGTGGTTCAGATAGAAGTGATTGTACCCGACCTAAAAAGCCTCTGCATGTTTCTAATAAGCTCCACGAGCAGAAACGTGCTCAAACTAGGATCAATATTGGAGATGCTTTTGAAAAATGGAGAGAGGTTAGAACACAGAAAGGTTTACAGACCGATGCAGAGCTGGATAAACACTGAAGCTTCAGTATCCACCACATGGTGACCTGAGTGAGCATCGACTCTAGAGAGGAGGGGGCGGGGGGAGACAGCTCTCTACAATGTTTTGTGGAGCTCTTTGAATGGTTGAAAAGTTTAATAATCTGTGACCTTAGATTTTAAGGTCTTATCAATGATGTAAAGACAGAATTCAGTATCTTTGCTCTTCTTCCTCAGGTTTGACAATATACCAGGCCCTGCACGTCGAGCCTGAAGCTCCACAGTGTTCCTCTTTAAACTCAACGGTGTCGTCACACCTTCGCCTGCCCCTCGTCCTTATGGTCTACCTGGCTGTCCTCACTCTGGGTGAGATGACTTAACCACTACTCTGATCTTTGTGAAGCCGATGCAGACGTGTCTTAAACCTGAAGTCTTTCAAACGGCCACTAGAGGTCTGGACCTAACTTTAAACTTTAACACCAGTACTGCCCTTAAAGCGACTTTTGCAGACGTGTTTTTGGATTAACATCTACCGACCTTTGCGCCTTCCTTTCTAACACTGGTGTTGTCTTTTCAGGAGCGTCTGTGACAGTGTGGCAGCTGCTGAAGGAGAGACAACACCACCTGCACAAATGGAACAAGAAGACGAAGAAGAAATGACACCTGAGGACATAAGTCTGAACGTTTGGACGTCTCGGTTTCCCAGGACCTTCCTCTGAAGTTTCACTTAAAGGACAACAGAATCTTCATCGATCACAATCTGAGAGTCTGACGTCCAGACGTGTCTAACGTTTTAGAGAAGGTCCTGAAACAACGAGCCGACAACACCGTTTAATGATGAACTTTTAATGGCGTTCAGTCTGTGAGGCAGCAGCGAATGTAGCAGTGTGAAGTCATTTCTGCGGCCGGGTCAAAGATGCAGTCTGAGTGTGTTCAAGCTCCCATCGTGTTCTCCTGAAGATCCTTTGTATGCGTTTCCACGGTAACAAGTCTGTTTTCTTAAAATTCCCTGGGCGCTACCATCCATACGCTTTGGTCCACACGGCTTTCTTCTTGAACTCGTTGGAGGACTTCAGGGCCAACAGAGCGGCTGGAACGACAAGAAGGGAAGATTTCATTTGTCGTGCGATTGTGTTTCTTTCAAAACCATTTTGTTTACGTTCTGTCTCTCTCTCTCTGTCTCTCTCTCTCTCTCTCTCTGAGATATCTGACTCTATCCACTCTCCTGTGTCTCCATTAAGGCACAGATTTAATTGTCAGTCACCTGCAGCGAGGCCTAAACTATTCTGCGATCAGTCCGGATCTGAGTCCTGCAGTTTCCGTTATTTTATGAAATGCAGATTTGCAGGTGCTTTACACATGACTGGATGTGTTTGCAAAACTGTAAGAAGTCACTTTGGTCAATGTTTTTTATGTTCTAGCAGCTGATGTGCTCGAGCCTGAAGGATTCAATTTGCACTACTTTTTTTTGTGTCTATTTCAGAACCAAAAGAACTCTGGTTACAAATCAAAGACACAGAAAAAAAGATGTGCTTTATTGCAAAATCCTCCATTTCCTCTCAGTTATTATCGGGGCTAATGACTCTGCTGTTTCTCATCCTGTATTGTGAAGCACTCTGTGACGTCAGATCTTCAAAGGTGCTCTTTAAATACTTTACTTACCGGGCAATTTATCCTGATTTAATGTTATATGAACAATATGAGCATTCACAATAAAGAAATAGTCTGAATTTATTGCAGTGATGTGTTCTTGGGAAAGACACTTAACCCCAAGTTGCTACCGCTGCTTTGTCGGTGGTGTATGAATGGATGAGTTAATACTGATGGACTCTTTACTCAGCAGCCTCTACCATCAGTGTGTGAATGTTTAAGGCCCCGTGTCCACCTGGTTTCTCCGGGCAGAAGCGCTTGTGAGCTTTGAAGAAAAGCGCTGCAGACTGCACGTCAGTCTGTCGACAACGGACGCTGTGTGACCGTCACTGCTCCGTTACTTTTTTATATTTTGTTTTTGATTTGAGTATCGTTAATTTCCCCGATCCCGTCACGGAGCAAGGAGGATGTTTGTACAAGTCATAATCCGTATGGCGCCGGTTACTTCAACAGGGCCGCCCTTTGTGAAAAGATGAAATGTTTTCAACTTGAGTGCTCGGAAAAAAAAGACGCTGGGTGCTGTGCTTTTTCTCCAGGCGTCCGCTTTCTGCTGCCAACGCTCCTCTGCTCATGGTAATGAAGTGATAAAAACGTTAGGTGGACACGGGGCCTAGGTGTGACCTGCGGCGTAAGCGCTCTTTGAGTAGACAGAAGACAAGCTCAATGTTATCGCACATCGCTTATGTTTCTCATACCGTGCACGCCTTTTATCAGGACTGTGTTTCTGGTGCTTGCCGTTTTTTGTCCCGTGTGTTGAGTTCTTACCTTTGGCGGTGTTGATGGTCGATGACGACAGACTCAGCTCGGGACCTTCTGTGATGCTGAGGAGCCAGTCTATGAACTGAGACACACATTCAGGTTATCAACACTTTGTTAAGACATGTATCACACTTTTATTATTTTAAATCTTTCACACTGACTTTGTGCGTCTGTCCGCTCCACGGCTCTTTGTCCAGCAGCACAGGCAGACTGTGGGACACTCCCAGCATGCACTGGGGCAGGGCGAGCTCGGTGAACGACTCCCCGCCGTACAGACTGTGCTGCAGAGTTTGGGGCTTGGATCCTTGTTGCCACGGGAACCACCTGTCCCTGATGCCGAGGAGGAGGGGCATGAAGTGGTCGCCCCAGGAAACAACAGCAGCAGAAAAGAGATGAAACAGAAAGTCTGTGGCCTGCGGGAGAAGAAAGAAATAATTAGTTTAACTCGTGTTCAATAATGAACCGTACGATCAAAACAATATCTGCAGAGCTTGATCAGGTTTTCTCCTTCAAAATAAAACACAGACTTCTCCTAAAGTGAAGCTGCTCCATCGTCCCTTCTGGGCCTCCGTACATGTGTGGTGGTGACTGTGTCTGCAGAGACTCTGTCCTCTGACTGGATTTTACTGTTCTGCTTTGTTCTGGTTGACTCGGGACGTTTCTGGGCGGAGCTGGTGTGTTTCCTCCAGCCAATGAGAGCGCAGCAGGTGAGTTCAGGAGTGGATACAATTCAGAGATTGGACGCGAGAAACACCAAGTGGATAAAGCTCGTTCTAAAACGAGGGTGAACCTTGTGTTGTCTAGCTTGCAGTAAACGTACACACTACGTCCCGCAGTGAGGGTGAGCTTCTGGGGGCGATGAGCCCAGGAGGAGGGGCCATGTTTGAATGTTGAGTTCATTTTGAGGCTCTGTTTGCACACCCAGACATGTGCAGCAGAAACAGAACATTTGAGTGTTTCTTAGGATCTTGCAGATAAATCTCTTGTTCTGTTGTGTTGATATTGCATGAACTGTTTGTTATTATTCTGCAAAGGTTTATGGATTTCATCAAACTAAATGTTTTGCATTTTTTAAACCCGTCTTCTCATCTGGTCGCTTTTTCTCTCACTGGACTTTATTTCATTCATGTCAGGGAGTTTAATCTTTTCAGATCTTATAATAAGGGACAGAAATGATGCTTTAAGTATTAAAATAAAGCCTGAATGCAGAGCCAATAAATCTCGAGCTGCATTCGAGTCCAGCTCAGGAACCACAGGTATGTCTCCGGATCCTTCAAGTCTCACTCTCTTTCTAAAACGCAGACTTTTCTATCACATGAACGTGACAGAATCAACATACCAGTTTGGTGTCTCCACATGTGACGGAGGTTGCTCCGTAGGCGACGTTTCTGATGTGTCCCATCAGCTCCAGCAGCCACTCCATCCGTTTAAGAACGCCTGAAACCAACGAAGAGCGGGTCAACGTGTGAGCCCCCTCAAGAGGCACGCAGAACAGAGACACGTAGAGCAGAGACACGCAGAACAGAGACACGCAGAACAGAGACACGCAGAACAGAGACACGCAGAACAGAGACACGCAGAACAGAGACACACAGAACAGAGACACACAGAACAGAGACACGCAGAACAGAGACACGCAGAACAGAGACACACAGAACAGAGACACACAGAACAGAGACACATCTCCGGCTGTGAAATGAATGAAATATTTAGAACAGAGACACATAGAACAGAGACACACAGAGCAGAGACACACAGAGCAGAGACACACAGAGCAGAGACACGCAGAACAGAGACACACAGAACAGAGACACACAGAGCAGAGACACACAGAGCAGAGACACACAGAGCAGAGACACAGAACAGAGACACGCAGAACAGAGACACACAGAACAGAGACACGCAGAACAGAGACACACAGAGCAGAGACACACAGAGCAGAGACACATAGAACAGAGACACATAGAACAGAGACACACAGAACAGAGACAATGTAATTTAAATAAATAGACAAAATGATCCCTCACCTGTGTTGGCGTTGGTTGCCAGGCGACACTGGTAAAATGTCTGCAGGAGGAGCCAGCCGACTCTGCTGCTCGGCCAACCTCGAAGCACGCCGGCGATGATGTCATTGAGACTGAGGAGGGGGACTCTGCCCTGGGAGGTCAAGTAGCAGAGGACGAAACACGTCTTCTCCATCTGAGTCTGAGGCACACAGAGAAAATGTTTTAAACTCTGAGACAGCTCAGCATATCCAAACAAAAAGCTGCTCTCTTCCACTTCCTGCATTACCTCTGTGACTCGAGCGATCCGGTCGATCTCTGTATCAGACATCTCAGACAGACATTTGGAGATTCCCACGTACAGATCCACCTCATCATCCTGAAAAACAAAGAGTGTGTTACAGGCTGGAGACCATCACTGAAAATGAAAGGATTACACGTCTGTGTTAAAAATGTTTATATGTTAAAGTGTCAGATGTTGAAACGGAGCTACAGTTTAAGGTCGAGCCTCAATGCCATTGTTCAGTTAAGATGTTTGTTCCCTGCTCGCTCGCTCACACTGCGGGTCCATCGTGTAAAGAGGTCAGCATGAGTGTTCCAGCTCAGAGGACGACACCTACTGATAAAACTCAGGTTGCAGCTCGCTGTCTTCTTAACTAATGATTGCGATTATCTCACAAAAGCTTCTCAGAATCTTGCAAAACTTTCTTTCAAACTTATCCAAATTTTTCAGAATCTTGCAAGTTTCGCAAAAGTCTTGTATCATGCAAAAGTTATTTGGGATCTTTACAAAGTTTTTCAGGATTTCATATACATTTTTAAGGACCTTGCAAAAGTTCTTTGTGAGCTTTCCAAGGTTTTCTTAGGAAATGTGCAACATTTTCACAGAATCTCCGAAAAAAAAAGGATCATAAAAGTTTGTCAGAAAGTTGTAAACGTTTCGCAGCATCTCACAAAAGTTCCTCGGGATCTTGCAAATATTTCTAAGGACCTCCCAAAAGTCTCTTGGTATAATGTACCATTTGATGATCCTTGGGATCTTTCCAAAGTTTTTAAGAATCTTGCAGAACTTTCCTAGAATCATGCAGGTTTCACAAAATGTACTTGTTTTCAAAAAGTTAATCAGGAACGACCAAAAGTAAGTTAGGATCTGAAACGTTTGTCAGAAAGTTGCAGAAATTTTGCAGGGTCTTGAAAGTTTCTCAGGCTCTTTCTGAAGTGTTTTAGGATCTTGCTAAAGTTTCTCAGGATCCCCACATTTGTCTCTTCATCCTGTATCAACATATATATTTTTTTCTACCTCCATGTCGCTTCTGAGCCTCCGTACATTTTAGACATTTTTCAAGCAGAAAATTTTATTATTTGCTGCTTCCAGCTTCTTCAATGTGATAATTTGAGTTTTCTCTTTCACTCATAAAGGCAGGTGAAGATTATTTTAGGGATAAATTACGTTTCAGACAGAAGAAGACATCAGCAGGTACAGTTTGGGCTCAGGTGTGTAAACAGTGTTTTATATCAAACATCAGCTGAGGAATAAAAATGCAAAGTGGAAGTGGTTATTTTTTACCTGGATGTGGTTCGGCAGGACGGAGAAGATCTTCTCGGTGGTGGAGCTCAGGATGGTCCAGCAGCTGTTGGGGGGGTTTGGGAGGGCCATGGCCTGAGACAGACCCTGCACCACGGAGCGACAGAGGGACACACGCTGAGGTCGGAGGTCGTCCTGGAACTGCTGCAGACCCAGACTCTCCAGGTAGACCTGCAGCTTGTCCTCAGCGACGTGCTTCATCCACAGACCCAGACACTCGTACAGGTGAGATCGAGTCTGGAACTGCAGGAGGAAATACGATTTACCCAAAGAGCACCGTCATTCTAAGAAGCTCTCCTGCTCCTACGCTTTCCTGTTACTAATTTCTTTCCAATCGTGACTTCTGTTTCTGTAAAGTCCCCTTCCCAAAGCTACGGTAGGCAAAACAATGGCAGAAACCAGAAGAAGCTAGCTTTGTAAACCTGGGGTGAAACGGCGTTCTGTACTTACACTGAGGCTGTGCACGAGGGGCGGAGACAGCCAGGAGCCCAGAAACAGAGACGCACTCTGAGATGTCTGAGCCTGACTCGCTGCCAGAACCAAACACTGATGCTGAACGTCCTCTCCTGTGATTGAAGGGAGAAATAAACACTGAGCTTAAACCCGATCCTGTGCCAGACCCAATCAAGGCTGTTCACTTTGCCCGCCCTTTTTTCTGAGGTCTTTCCATTTTCTCTTGCCATTCTTTTTCATGAGTAATGTTGGCACCAAAGGGGGCCATGTGGTAGGGTAGGTAGTAATGGTGTAGCCACCAGCTGGCTAGCTTGCATCAACCTGAATCTGTTCAAAGTGGTAACGCTGTTTTGGTTGCGGTGGCGACTAAGGGTAGGTTATGTATCTCATCAGTAGATGATTAGGGGCATAATTAGGACGAGGGTTTCCTTAACGAAGCTCTTGTCCTTTCAGTCGGGTAAAGTGTATATTTCAAATTAAAAAAGACAAATGAACGAGGACTCTTACCGAAGCCGAGTCTCATCAGCGGAGACAGGACGGCGCTCCAGTTGATCGGAGGAAACTGGAAGCTGGATCCGACTGACGCCAGAGGAGTCAGAGCCGTTTTAACGAGAGCGGGATGAGAGAACTCTGGACCTGGATCATCAAAAGGAAGGAGTGAAAGTAAAAATCAGGTTATTGAGATAAATATACTTTGTGATCAACCAGTTTAAATAAGTCTCAGAGCTCCTCAAATCATGTGTGTGAAGTTTCTTGTTCTAAATCCACTCTGATCCTGTATTTGATCATGTCTATAAACCCCTCTATTTCAGCCCTGCTCAGAACAGGCTGTTTCTGTGTCTGCAGCTTTAAATATGTAAATGAGATGTGTTTGACCACGCCCCCTCTCTGGAAGGGCTCGGGGCTTTCTCGCTCCATGCTCTATTGTTTACGGTGAGAAGGCAGACTCAGAGGGCAGAACAAACACCTAGCTGTGGGAGTGTCACACACCTGGGGAGGGGTTACTGCCCTTTGTGATGTCATGAAGGGAAAATCTACAAATGGCCTGTTTGAGAACACATTTTCTGAAAAGTGGAGCAGGCAGAAGACGGAGAGGATGGACTTTTCTCATCATTGGTCATCGTCTAAATTTCTAAAAAAAAGTTTTAGACCTTCTCCAGTAGATTGCTGCAGCTTCTAAACAGGCACGTAGTCGATGGTGGCGAACGCATGTAATCACAGTAAATCAACTAAAACAAGATGGGCCATGTTTTAAAGGTATATACGCCGAATGACACTCTATAGGTGAGACGATCGATAATACTCGTGCAGCGATAGTCGAGTCAACAAACCTTTTTTTCCTGCCTCTGTGAGGAAGTCAACGATGGATCTGATGGCGCTCTTCTCCGAGAGGTAACTGAAATCCTGAGGAACTGAGAGAAAGAGAAATAACACGACAGGAACTCCTCGTTATGCAGATAATAAGACGAGTCAGTCAATCTGATGAGCGTCGAGGTTCACACCGACACTGAAGCTACATTCACAATCCAACTCATCAATATCACCCTGGAGTTACTCAAACCCTACAGAAAGCTCCAGGACTAGTTCTGATCAAAGTATCGGACAATAGGTGCATGTGAATGGTGTCATTGTGGTCAGTGTGGTAGTTAGAGACCTACCTGCTGTGTGAGTGTGACTGGTCGACATGTGGGCCAAATGTAAATGAGCCACCAAACAGGCGCTGTTAGACTGCAGGCCGATGGCTCCTGAGAACGTTATGATCTGCAGAAAAGAGCCACAAACATATAAATCATCATCTCTCTTCGTACAGCTGTGCATGCCTTTACAATATGTAACGCTGAAACCTAGTGTTTAAAATGGGTACTGCAGTCTAAATTCAAAACATTGTAGAAAGCTGTCTCCCCCCGCCCCCTCCTCTCTAGAGTCCATGCTCACACAGGTCATCATGTGGTGAACACTGAAGCTTCAGTGTTTATCCAGCTCTGCATCGGTCTGTAAACCTTTCTGTGTTCTAACCTCTCTCCATTTTTCAAAAGCATCTCCAATATTGATCCTAGTTTGAGCACGTTTCTGCTCGTGGAGCTTATTAGAAACATGCAGAGGCTTTTTAGGTCGGGTACAATCACTTCTATCTGAACCACTTCTCTTGCCTGCTTCCATCGCTGCAACACCTGTTGACCTGATAACTGCTCTCATATCTGACAAACAGAGGGGCGTCCATAACGGCCATGTGGGGGTGTCTTAAAACGGCCTACCTTCTCTGGTCCAAACATATCATTCAGCATTCAGGAGCAGAATCTTAAGAAGAAAGTTAGAAGGAGGACATACTGGCTGCTGCATTGATGTCAGAGAAGCCAGCACTTCAACATGTTTCCTTAATGTCTGATCATTTAGTAAGATCACTTTATCATTTCACTCACTACACATCTTACTGACTGATCCGGTAAGGTGAAGCAATTCTAATTATGTTGTACCATTGCATCATGACAATGACGTCTTTCTATTTCTATTTTAGACGTGAAAGGAGCTTTTTAAACAAATCAAAAATGTTTTTTCTTTTCATGTTCTGCAAATGTGTGTGCGTCAGAGAACAGCCTGAAGTCTCCAGGGAGCGAGTCCAAATGTCATCGGTACAATAATTACAGGAACAAGACGTGTCAGATATCCCTCCTGATGGAAACACAGAATGAAGGAGAAAGTGTTTGATGCTCATTCTGACCTGTGTGATGGCTCGTATCACCTCGTTGAGTCGGCTCTGCTGCTGAGAGGAGAGCTCCAGCTCACTCGACAACTGAAACACAAAACATGCTCATGAAAATAAAACCACAGTGACACAAACTGTGACAGCTAGACTGGTCTCATAAAACCCAGTAATGGAGCCACAGATTGAAGAAAATGAGAAGAACTCTAAACTCTGGGAGCCACCTCGAGTCAGAACTTGTAGATGTTTCAATAACGTGTAGACTTGTAGATGTTTTATTTTCTGGTTGTAAGACTGGTTTGAAGAGAGAAACTTCAGCAGTGTTCACAAGCTCCTGAAAGTTTCTCGAGAATTTCGAGGACTGGTCCCAAAATATTCCTGATCAGGTCATTCACACATGCACCTCACAGCGGGAGACTGTCCCTGTCAGACAGGAGGGGGGGGGCAGGGGGTCTCAAGAGGGAAGACGTGATGTAGAAAGAACAAAATGGAAGTAGTAGGGTGTAGAGAGAAACATTCATGAGTTTTTCAGGAGTTTTGTGCAGCAACACGGCTGTAGAGCTTTAAAGTCATCTGATCCTAGCAGACTTCTCACCTGGATGAGGTAACTCTCTGACCCGACTAAAGCCACCAGACCGTTCACGGCAGCCAGACGCTGCATCGTGGGACAACCCTGAAACACAAACATCGCTTTTTAACTGATGCTGATAATCATCATCACTGTTAAAGACATAAGATGGAGGTACGTTACCTCGGCCAGAAGGATCTTGATCCAGGCAGCAAGCAGACGAGGGTGGATGTCTTCAGCTTTACCGTGACCGGACAGTGAGAGGCTGTGTACCACCAGACCCAGCGCCAGAGAGAAGCCTGGAGTCTGAACAGAACCATTACAGCAGACCGAGTTAGACTACAGAGAATACCACGACGTGTTCTTAATCTACAAAATACTGAAGGAAAGTTTCTCTGTTGTATCATGAAAAGCAACTCCCACAGAGACAGATTCTCCTTCCCTCTGACCTGCTGGCTCTCCTCGGTCAGGGTGCGCAGGCTGCTCATGACCTCCTCGGCCTTTGCGGCGTCGATGATACCTCCACTGAAGGCCGAGACACCCACACACGCCACAGAGTACGCCAAGACCTGCACGGGGAAAAACCTGACTTTACACGCTGTGTTTACTGAGAGTGATCCACGTTGTGGCTACGGTGCTTTAAAAAAACGACTTTTAGTGAAGTGGAGACGGATCCACACAAGACGTGTTGATATTTTAGGAATTTTGGAAACATCGGAGTCTCAGTGTGAGAAGAGAAAAACAGAAAGCTAAGAGGAAGAAGCGGAAGGTGAAAAACACAGAATTTGACTGCAAAGAAGAAGAAGCAGAAGCCCTTTTACACCAGTACTCAGGGTACCAAAGTTTTTAATGTCAGTCAGTAGGCTAAGTCAGAGTTGGCTTTGCTCCATCGGAACTGGCATCTCCTGACTCCAGGGAACAGCTGTTAAGCCAGGGAAATAAACAGATCCAACAGGGAATCGTGCCGGACAACGACGGACCTCCAGCGATGAAGATTTCACAAAAATATACGGCCATAACGCAGACTTGAAAACACACTCTAATGCAGATGTAACCTCCTTCACTGACTCTCCGCTCCGATCACCGGTGATTTGCAAACCACACAAATGCCCTTCCTGGAGGACGGATTCAGACTGCGCGGGGAACTGTGGCTGTTTACCATTGGAGTGTGAGATGAACGGGGGTGGATGACGGAGGAAGCCATGAATGGAGGTGTGAGTTAATGGAAAGGTGTGTAGAAAGGGGATTCTGACTCTGCAGGCGCTACAACGTACACACACAGCGCTGTGCACCCCCGCTGGCTCCGCCTCTTTTACTACTTCCGAAGACGGTACAGAGGGGGGAACACTTCTTCCCCCAATCACGCCTCCACAACATTCAGGTTGAAGGTGAAACGTCACAGGGGTGTAAATATCACGGTTTGAATCGGCAGTCTGAACAGGGCTAGAATGAGCAAAAGAAGGAGAAGTGGAAGGAGGTGCAGAAGAGGAAGCGGTAACCTAGGAGACAAACGAAACCTGCTAAAGCAGGTCACTTCTGTTTTATGCCAGTATGAAAGACAGCCAAATACTGATTCCTGGAGGAATCCCTGAAACCACTCATGTAACAGTAAAACTTGTGTTTGTACCTCCTGCTGCATGCGTCCCTGCCCGCTGCTCTCCTGCAGGCTGCTCAGGAGTTTGTCGAGTGTTCGGGTGACGTGGACGTGTTGGTCCGTCTGTCCGCTGCTGCAGAGAGCCGAGAGCACCAGAGCCAGACCCAACACGCAGCCGGTACTGAGGGAGAGGAGGGAGGAGGAAGGTCACAATGTCAAAGTGTCAAAGCAAACAACCGAGTGTACTGAGGAAGAGGAAAAAGGGGGAGAGGGGAGGAGTCTAAACTCAACTCTCCAATCTAAACATTTCCCACATGTGCGACTAATCATTTTTCAAGCCAACAGATCAGAACCCCAGGCTCAAACCAAACAGCAAAATGTTTCTCTTATTAAACCATGAAGAACTACATATCATGTGTGAGGATTCAGCACTAACTTGTACTCCAGGTTTGGGTTGAAGGAGCAACTTTCCAAAGCCTCCAGAGAGCCGAGGAGGAGATCAGCGTCCTTCTGAACGGAGACATCGCTGGAGAAAAGAGAAGAACGAAGGTTAAGATGATCCTAAACATGGTGGCTCACAGCATGACACATTCCACAGGTACACACTCCAACCTGAGGCGCTGGTGGTGCAGACTGGACAGCACCATGCCGAGAGCGAGGCCCGAGTGGAACTGGACGGCCTGGGAGTCGTCAGCGTTCGGAGAACCCGGCAGACCGGCCTGCAGCGCTGACAGGACCTGGACCAGACCGTCCCTCTGCCACACCACCAGAACCGGGACGAGCAGGGACAACGCCAGGCTGGCACAGGAGCGAGCGATGGCACTCGCTGTGTTCTCACCTGAGTATGAGCGCTGAGAGGGAAGACGAGGATATTATCCAGGGTGATGTTAAAAACCCTTAAAGGTCAGAGAGGAGCAGGTGATGCTGGGTTTTAGATATTACAGTTTAGAATCACAACATTCATCAGCAGAGAAACAGCGCCACCTGCAGGGATTCTGGGCTCATTACAGACAATAATGACCATTGACACCCTCCAATATTTGAAACCTAGGTGACCTGTGTTTACTCTTTTTGACTCTGAATCTCTCCAGAAGTTTGTTTTGGTTGATGTTTTGCCGATTTTTAATCAAACTGATAACTAGGCCAGGATGTAGGCACGGGCAGCGTGGGGCAAACCCCTGCCAACTGCTCCGGCTGCCCCAACAAATCATCCTGCTTCATAGGAAAATTAAAAAGTAACTAAAACTTGTTATCTACGTTCTTTGTTAGTGTTTGCTAACTTCGGTTTTAAATTGCACCATAGCCGCAAATTTCTCTCAGAAACAAGCGGTTCAGCGGTTCACTCACAGGCTTTAATTTCTCTCTCTCTCTCTCTCTCTCTCTAAAGACAGAGACAATGGACAATACCTGGCCAGGTGTGATCAATCAACCAGCTGGTCTCGCCTAATTAGTAGCACCATCTGTCTATATCTGCTCTGTGAAACACTCGGATCAGTAGCACTGATGATCGTCAAGGACACGTAGGTGGGTATTTTAGAAAACAGGTTTTCAAAAATAATCCCAACCTCACACGCTCAGTTCTAAAAAAAATCATCTTTGTCCACATGGAAACACAAAACAACGATGTCCTCACCATTCTTCTGCATCAACCGTTTCATTTTACAAAGTCGTCCAATCAGGCGTCTCTGCTCGTCCACATAGTGGGAGAGTAACTGTGTGTGTGTGAGTATGAAAAAAGTCCAGTTAGCAACGTTAGCACCAGCGCTAGTTTGTTTCTGTCTGCCATCGCACAAATCTCATGTAAACAAAACTGAAGACGTCACACGGAGGAGAGACCGGCGCACAGCGTGACGTTACACCCTGGAAGGAGTTTTGTGTGACAGTTTTCAGTGAGCTAAAAAGCAGTTTGCATACAAAAACGGTCAACATGCACAGCTACCAGAAAAACCCGCCTGCATGCGGACGAGGCCTCAGCCTGTGGACTTCATGTGTGACTTTTTAGACCAGAGGAGTTAGTGTGTCATTTTTCAAAATTCTCTCCAGTACTGATGCACCCGAGTGTCACTTCTTGGACGCCCTGAGTCGGAGGAGTTCCAGACCTCTTGACATATTTGTTACTGGAGAATTAAAACGTTTTTCTTTGTGTAGAAACACTTCAGACAGACAAAGTTCCACAATCCTTGTCAAGGAAACGTACGTGTAGGAACCACGGGAACACCTGTCCTGAGGGCTTGTAGCTGCTGCTGCCGATGCTGAGCAGCGTGTTGAGGACCATCGACAACCAGCTGGACGTGGGGACAAACTCTGGACCAGCCTACAAGGGAGAAAAGACTTTGTGACGCTCTCTACATGCACTGTATCATTTTATCTTCATTTAATGGAAATCCCCCCACAGTTGAAACCACACAGTCATTCCTGTCATTTGAGGACAAAAAGAGGGACACATTATCTCACCCCGAGACCGCCGTCTCCGTCAGCTGGCAGGTTGCTCTCATATTTAGCGAGGACGGCAGCCAGGCCGCTCAGAGCCAGGATGGAGTTCCCCTGAACAACAGGGCTGTCTCTAAACATCACAAACAACAACAACACATTGAGGTTAACACCGACACCTTCATTGCAGTATTTCACACTGTGTCCGACTGTTTGGTTTCCTGCAGAGATCACAAGCAGCCGACTCACTTTGTAGCGGCTTTGATGACGTCTGTCAGCTGATCTCTGGCCCTGAGAGGGAGGGGGAGAGGGGGGAATAATACAAAAAACAACCTGTCAGTGTGAATGGAGGACTCTCCTCCTGTCAGTGTGCACACATTCAAAGTTACTACTCTCTCCTTTCATGTAAGACTGGCTGCTTCTGCACATGTTTGTGTGTCTGTATCTGAAAAGCAACTCTGTTTTATCTTCTCCTATAACACACACGCACTGCTTCAAACTTGGAGAACATTTCTGCACAGTCTGCCCGCCTCACAGCTTGAGGTTTCCCCTGTCTGATCTCCTGGCATCCTCCTGACAGAGTCTGCACAATGACCGTCTGTGCCCTAACATCAATGCAACGTGTGATTGGATGATTTACAGTATTGACAAACAAGTGGAGAAAAACATACTTTAAAGCAGAACCTGCTGTATATTTCCCTGCTGTGTTCACACAACTGCTCACATTGACTTCCTGCAAAAGTTTTACTATTAGGCTGGCAAAAAGGAGAAAGTCCAGGTGAAGTCGGGGAGACAATTCGGCTGTTTGCAATCTCAGCAGCAAGTTTCATAACAGCATGGACAAAAAGCATCGTATGAATGTGTTCTGTGTTGATCCTTAAAGTTTAAACAGGAGCAGGTGTTGCAAATCAGCCTCGGCCTAGAAACTTGTAAGCATGGCATCTACTTTGTATTTTACACATGGAGCAGCTCATTGCATGTGTCCCTGTTTATAAAATGATGAATCTGTGTGGTTGACTCTCACCACAGCCAGGCACAGTGCTGTTTGTACTGCAGCTCCTGTGGATCCTCTTTGCCCTGTTTCTGCTGCAACTCCAGATCTGCACGACGACCCTGCAGACACACCACAGAAAAACACTAACTTCACCGTGCAGGACGTCAAATTCAATCTGTCAAACTAAAAAAGACAAAAGAGGGAAAAGTTTGGGTTTTTTCTTCCCTCCCTGTGAGATTAAAAACACTCCATGTTGCTTTTTATCAAACCTTTTCTCCTGGCTTTACTAAACAGTCCCTGAAGAATGTATCATTCAAAGCAGCAACACATAAAAATAGATCAATCCTTCAATAAACATCCAATTAATCCAGACACACAGACCTGCAGGGCGGCGTGGAAAGCTCGGCTCATGAATCCTCTCCAGGCTTGAGGAAGGAGGAGAGCACGGTGCCACTCAGACGGCTGGATGTTCACCTAAAAGACGAGAAGAAGTTGAGTTATTTTGTTCTTAAATTTAAAAATTAAGATTACAGGAAAAGGAAGAGCAGGTTGTGACCTCAGACTGTAACTAATAATGAATGCAGCCTGAATGGTGTCACCCGTCTGTTCCTGCAGGGGGCGCTGGAGTCCCATCGATGGCGGTCTCCATGCTGGAAATGCTGTCTCAGTCTAACTTTCAGTCAACCTAACGACAGGCTGAGAGCTGGAGCTGAGGCGGGTTTTAAACCTCAATCATGTCAGCTACACGCCTTATTGTGAATAACTCTTATCCTTCATCAAATCAAAACTGATGAGTCAGCAAAACATTCACCCCCCCTATACAGTGTGTACTGTAATGAGTTAATCAGACCTATTTGTTATTTTAACCAGACTGTAAACATGTTAATCTCTGCTGTAAAAACAGACTTTTTAGAATGGGTGTGTATGTGACTTCCTGTGCTTCTGTAGTCAGCCTCTAGTGGACACTCCAGGAACTGCAGGATTTTACACTTCAGCTTCATTCTTCAAAACGGGAGGTTGCCGCTTGGTTGAGACGTACCTCATGAATCAGAGAGGATAAGTTCTGCTGGTAGCTGCGGCTGCGGCTGACGAGGAAACGATCGATTGGTCTGCCTTCACGATCCGTCTGCACGGGGAGCTCGTAACACAGCAGCAGGCCAGCTACAACACACAAACACACAGACGCACAAAATGACAGTACATAAGTAAGCCCATAAATCACAGGAGGCCGTTATCGCATCAAATGTCTTTTGCCATACAGGTTAAAGTGTTGCTTTTGTCACCTGCTAGTCCAGGTTTGAGCCCCGGCTGCTTGTTCTTCTCGTAGGTTTTCAGCATGAACGACGGGATCCCTGCCACCGTTTTCCCCTGATCCGAGCGCAGGTTGCCCCCCCTCAGGGCCGAGAAGTAGACCCCCCGAGGCATCTGGCTCATCTCCTGCTTCACCAGCGAGGTGAGGAAGAGCTGGAAGGCTGAGAGGAAGAGGAGAGCGGAGATCAGGTCCGGCTGGAGGCGTCATGGCACCATCGTAACCACAAGGATATTAAAGGTTTTTTTACCTGGTAGGACAGGTACAGGAGTCAGAGCCATGAGCTTCACGTACGATGAACCTGGTACAGAGAGGTCCTTCTCTTCTTCTTCTTCGTCTTCTTTTTTCTCCTTTGCTTGTTCGTCGTCGTCACTTTCAGGGAGATTGATGGCCGGTCTGGCCTTCAGAGAGGACAGAACAGAAACACCAGGGCGATGTAGAAAGACGATAAAAACAGCCTACGACCCTGATTTAAAACTTTCTTCAGCGTTTAGAGATTCATTAAAGAGCATCCATCTTTATTTTCTACTAATAATCTGTAACTTAGAGCAAACAAACTGACAGTTTTTGGATGTGGAAGAAGACTCTTACTGCCTCAGGAAGGAGGTTGATTGTGTGGACGTCTTCTGTAAAACCAGCCAAAGCTCTGAACCCACAGCTGGCCACCTCTGGATCCTGTTACAGCAAACACAGACAGATGTTTTCATTTAGTTTTGTTGGAAAAACTGTCACCTGATGTTGTGAAGAATTCAACATTTTTTGACACTGAGTAAAATGGCCCGTCTCCACTTGGAGTTTTTTCCGGGCAGAAAAACGCTGGCAGTGCGCTCGGGAGCGCTTGCATGAAGCGTTTGTGCGCTGAGAAGAAAAGCGTGAGTGTCTGTCCTGTCTCTATGAGAACTGTCTCTTTAAACGGCTGCTGTATGACCCGACACTGCTCTGTTACTTTTTACTGCATGTTTTTCATTTTAGATCGTTTCCTTTCCATTCAGACACGGAACGAGGAGGATGTGGGTACTCAATCTGCAGGGTTTAGAAAAGAGCAATGGGGACGTCATCAGTGCTTTCCTGAAAAGTTGAAAAGATTTTAAACTCTAAGTTCTTGGAGCGGCTCCACAAGAAAGGCAGAGTCCTTCCTCCAGGCGCCCGCCTGCTGCTGGAAACACTCTCTGCTCATTTAACACAATTGAAAAAAACACAAAAGAAAAAAAAAAGAAAATTTTGTTATCTCTGGGTTTGTTGTTCTCAGCTCTGTGCTCACACTGACAGGACACTGCTTCCTTAAACTCAAACTTGTTTCATACATCCCCTCCCTTCATTCCCCCTCGCTATTATCTTTTCACCCTGGGGGGGAAGCCCGACGGCCCCACCCACTCTGACGGCAGTACACTGACCTTGCTCACGGCGTAATTCCAGAGAAAGCTGACCACCTCCTCTTTTAGTTTCTGAAAAAAACAACAAAGATGAAAATTATTTTAAATCAACAGTAAATGAGTTTAAAAAATACAGCTGCAAATGTTCGTTGTGAAGTCGTATGAAGGATTAACAACAAATGTTTGTTCAGAAAGAGGTTGAACGATCATTCAGGATAAGAAGGTGTTCCTTCAAGCGGTCTGAGGGCACACTCACACTAGGCAAAGTTTCTCCGCAGTGTGCTGCAGCCCGACTGATTTCTCTTTATTTTAACAAACATTTCATCTTCATGGTTACAAATCCAGGAGCATTTATCCCTCAGGAGAAGGACAACGTATCTGTATGCCTGTTGACATCGCAGCCGCCCTTCACATAAGCAGAAGAAAAAGGAAGGATGCTCTCCGTTACCTCGTACTGCTCTGACTTGACAGCGAGTTGTGGAACCAGAGCCAGGAGCTCCGCTGTGGCTTTGACCATCAGAGGACGAGAGTCACAGCTCAGCTCAGGACCCAGACTCCTCCAGGTGGAGACCATGTCCACCACCTGCAAAACACACCGCATTAAACCTTGAATGCATGTTTAGAAGTTGGCAGTGTGTGTGTGTGTGTATGTGAGAGTGTGACCTCGGCTCTGCACAGCTCCTGTAGTCCCTGCAGGGCGAGAGCAGCCGGGGTTGCCGTGTCCGATCGGGTGCACTGATTCAGAGTGAGTTTAATGGCAGCCAACATGTCTCCTCCGTGCTGGTAAGGCCTGACACACACACACACAAAGGTAATTCTATGAAACGTGCTGCAAGTGATCCATGCAGCTGACGTGGAAACAAAAGAGGAAGTGTTCCTTCAAAGCCACCAGACTCATTCACTAAAACAAACAGAAGCTGCAGGTCTCCTCCTACCTGTTAGTCTGTTTATTGTTCGTTACACAAACATTCGTTGGATCTGATTTAACCAACAAAAAAAGTCACAGAATAATAATTTGAGCCCGTCAGGGACAAAAACAACAACTGTTAAGCCAAGCGGTCTAGTTTGGTTCAGTACAGTAAACCCTAATCCTGCTGGGGTTTCCACAGCCAGCCGTACCATTCCTTAGAAAGCAGAGTGTGAAGCTGGTGATAGTGTGACATCATAGCAGTGTGATAAATTCAACAAAGGAGAAGAAAGTGACACAGTAAAAACTAGGCAACAATGGACGGCGTCCAGCAGAGGTCTGCACCGCCGAGGTCGTCCATGGGGCGGAGCTACGCGCTGACATGAGTCAGTAAAAAACAAAAACAAGAAGAGCCTTGAAATTACTCTCTCCAAATCTACAGGATATTTAAACATGGCACGTTTTGTCTTTGACCTTTATTACCGCTGTTGCACGGGAAGAGATGATACCTTTGACCAACCAGTGGACAGCAGTGTGTATAGCTCCGCCCTTTAGAGTCAGATTGGTACACTTGGCACCCAACAGAAGGAGGAAAAAAGTAGGACAGTACAGAGCGGTTATTTTGGTAAGATTCTCAACTTTTGACAGTGGACCCGCCAAGAAATGTGTACCATTGGTGGCGCAGTGGTTAGTGTGCGCGCCCCATATATGGAGGCAGTGGTCCTCCAAGCGGGTGGCTAGGGTTCAAATCCTACCTTTCCTGCATGTCGTTCCCCTCTCTCTCTCTCCCTGATTTCCGACTCTATCCACTGTCCTACCTCTCCAATAAAGGCCAAAAAGCCCCAAAAAGAAATCTTTAAAAAAATAAAGAAAGAAAGAAATGTGTACCGTACTGAAAAGAACTGAACCGGACCGCATGATGGAAACCGGGGTTAAACTTCAGGATTTACTCTTTATCATGAATGTGATTTCAATCATTTAAGAAAACTAATTTATTCAGTTCCTTTTCTGTCCCTTTTGTACTGTGTCACGCTGCTTCATGCGACTCTTGAGTGTTTGTTGTTCTGACCTCTCTCTGCAGACGTCTCTGACGGAGGCAGCTCTGGCCAGGATCTGCTCCCACTGAGCGTCCCTCCCCACCACCACCCTGCTGTCCTGCTGGCCCAGCAGACGCTGCAGCTCCGGGTACACTCGGTCCTTAGAAGCGGGGACAGAGTGAAAGATGGACAAAAGGACAACAAAGGGAAATAATGAAGGAATAGAAAGAGTCTTAAATAAACTGATGATTTTTATGACCAGCTTTAGTTACAGACCTGTTTCTTCCACAGGGCAGTCATGAGGCGCATCGCCACTGCTCTCAGCTTGGGGGCGCTGGCCAGCATGTGGAGGGTCTGCAGCAGCATGGGGACACAGAGCTGCAACATGACAGCACAGGGAGTTAACGGATGAAGTAAGTCGACATGAGCTTCCTGCATAGTCTCAATGTTTTTAATTTTTTAGACGACTCTACCACTGAAAAATCAAAAAAAGACACGCACATCCCTTGGTGGGTGCTAGCTTAAAAAACAGAAGTTATAAAGAAGCAAATAGATCTGCACATCCCATTTAAGGATTTATCAACAAGTGAGGTTCCGAGCCACCGCTCAAAGTGTATTTGTGAGCCGCCATCTTAAATATACAAAGACATACACATGACAGCTGAAGTTCATCACTCTCTAATCAGGTTTGCTTCTTTATACCGACTCTACCGCTGAGCCACAGCCGGAGGTTTACACGACAGAGAAGTGACGTCAACTCTGTTCTTCATGAGAAAACATCTTCGCTGTCGGCGCTCAGTACCTTGTGAGTCCCGAGGTTGGGCAGACAGTTCAGCACAGCGTGAGACACGTTTGGATTCTTCTCTCTCCCCAGTTTGAACATCAGGACAGGAAGAAGGGAGGGAACCTACACACACACACGCGCACACGCACACATGCACACACATGAATTTGGATGAGGTCAAACGATCAGTGCTAGTACGAGACATCATGCTTTTTTTTAGGAGTAGAAAAAGAAGAAGAGGAAGAAGGTTTTTCTCTGATGTCGTACGTGCAAACCGCTTATATACACGATACACGGCCCACGATCGATTGAATCACGATTCTGAGATTATAAATATACTGGAACACAAACATATGATTACACATCAGGGCATCGGGATAATTGGAGATTATAACATTCACCTAAAAAGGCAAATCCCAGCGTTAATTTGTTTATTCTCTGAAATACGACGTCAGTTTCACCTCTGTCCGACATTATCCCACTGTCTTCTTTTTCTTAAAGGGGACATATTGTGAAAAATCCACTTCTACAGTGTATTGAACATATATTTTGGCAACCTGAGTGTCTACTGACCCACATAATGTGAAATAAATCCAAAAAAATCATTTGTTTGTGGTCTGCATAAGTCTTACAACACAGAGAAAAATACTCTGTTTCAAATGTGCTCTCCTTGTGATGTCACAGTGGGATTCTGGTAAAAATAAATCCCCTCCCCTCCCATGGTATCTCCAAAACTTTTAAGCAGGTCCGCCAGCGAAGGAGTGATGTCTACAGGGAAAACTCAGGGGGGCTCATTACATTTAAAGAGACACACACACCAAAACGGAGCGTTCTGAGAGAGCTGGTTTATACAGGGTCACAAACCTCCTCTGGTCCTTGATTCATGTTATATTTTGACCAAAGCACAGCACAGATGTTTCATTTAGACCACAGGGGACTGTTTGAAAAGGTGGAGAAGGGGCAATAATATGTCCTCTTTAAGACTTAATTTTGGGCTTTTATTTTGTTACTTCATCCCCCCCATTACGCCTCTGTGTAATTTAAGGTTGAAGGCAAAACGTCCCAGGGGCGTAGGTATCGCAAACCCCAGCAGGCCAAACTGTGGTGACAGTATGAAGATGTTCTGGGCTGTCACACCTCCAAGATTAAAAAAATGGTCACTGGTCTTAACCATGGTCATGTACATCTGACTTCTCCCATGATCCTCTCTGCTCATTTAAATCTTCAAGGATACAAGCCAGAGAGAGAGAACCGAAGGACAACGCAGGGTTAACACTTCATCCTCCCTTCTGTGCTCGGGTCAGATACCAGGGTCTCTTGATGCACGTCGTCGACACAGCCCTGCACACTTTAATTAGCATAAAACACTTCTTGGTGCCCGCCACCTCGGCTGTTACCTAGCAACAACTTCACCTGCTGCAAGAAGACGAGGAGAAGAAAGAAATGAAGGTTTTTCTTTCCAGATAAATCCCAGAAATGTCTTTTTGTCGCCTTGGACTCCAAACTTCCATCAACAAAATGTTAGACTTTTGGGTAATTATTCATATTTTAGCCTCGTTTCTTACAAGAAAGGAGATCCATCGAGTTCAAATCTGCCAATAACCTCGTACAGACACATCAAACGAGCAGAGGTAGTGGCACTGAGGGAGCAATTAGAGCAGCAGGGGGATACTGCGAGGAATCTAACGAGGCCGAGTAATGAGCAGCTTATAGCACTGCGTGATAGTTCACATCATCTTCTGCAGAGATCCCAGAGGGTCAGAGGGAAGTCTGTCGGGTTAAATCGCTCTCTTTAGACGAGAAAGGAGAGAAACACAGCGGCTGAAGGGAGGCAGCATTTCATGCATTACGTCCAAAAGATGTAAAAATATTAGTTCAATGTGAACTTTCCTTCTTTTGATTCAGAGAAGTTAGAGGGAATATTTGTATCTGAAGGTCTGCGTGAGTCCAACTGAGCCGTGTGGATTTTCTACCTGGCAGGGGTCGGCTGCAGCGATGGCCTGGCCGGCGTTCAGAGCCAGCTGGCAGACGTCCTCCTGACCTGTGAGTATGGCGTGCGTCACCATCAGGGTGAGGGACGAGAGGCGCTGCTGGCTGGACGACAAGGAGAGGGCGGAGCTGACGGACAGCAGCCAATCAGCTGCAGCGGCTTCATCGTCCGCCAGTTTACGCAGCACAGACATGGCCACGCTGAGTTCGCTGAACCAGGAGCTCAGAGGAAGAGGCAGAGGAGGGGCAGCCTGAAGAGAGGAAGAGAGAGAGAGAGAGAGAGAGAGAGAGATTATTATTCTTTTTATCCATCTATGATTCAAACTGTAAAAAAAACAGTTCAGGATTCTGTGTGAGTTTCAGCCACAGACTGTACTTACAGGAAGGTCCTGGAAGGAACTGAATGTTGTCTTTCTGTTGCAGGAAATGAGGTGGACATGCCATATCTGCAACGCCATGTTGACATCTAAACGTGCTAAACTCCTAATAATCCACAATGGTCTCATTTTTCTCAAAATCACTGCAGTTTGTGTTGTGAAAAATGAACATCACAGACGCCTGCTCGAATACGATGCAGAAATCAGGAAGCAGGGTACGAGTGATTATCATTTTTACAGGTAAATGAAGAACCAGGTTTATCTGTGTGCCTGTCCCTCTACCTGTCCCTCTAGTGCAATCTGTGCTCAGGCAGGAGGAGGGGTATTCTCAGCGACGTGGTGACGTGTTTTTGTCCCCCATTTTGGTTCAGTTTTTTCCTGGGCATGTCAAGATTTCTGGTTTTGTTATTTTAGTTTGGGCTGGAGATCACCGGTGGTCCTGTTTTGGGGTCTTTTGTTTTGTTTAGGTTAGATTTTTCTTCTTTGGTAGGTTTTAGGGGGAGTTGCCAGGAGCGATGGCTCGGCACCTTCCAATCTTTTGTTCTTTTTGGCCGGGGTCTCCAGCCCCTTTTTTTTCCTTTTGTTTCTTATTCATCTTTGAGTTGGTTATGTTCAATAAAGATCGAGGTTCAACTTTAAATCTGTCAGCGTGTAAACACCAGATCCTGAATATGATGAAAACCAGGATAAGACTCATAACAGGGATACTCAAGTCTTTGAGAGAAACCCGTTTACCTGTCCAGGTTTATCCGTCTCCCTGCTGATTCTCTGCAGCAGCTTGTGGGCCAGGTCCTGGTTGAGCTTGTGAATCCGTCGGTCGGCTAGTGCTTCAGTGAGGCTCAAGCAGGACAGGAGCTGAAGGACGGGGAGGACCAGGACGGGACTCATCCAGGGGGACAGCTCAGACTCCTCAGGGATTAAACTCAGAGCTGGGCGAGTGAGGGAGAAAACACAACAAGATTTTAAATCCAAAGAAGGTTGCACATGTCATACTGAGTGAAGAATGTAGCTGTGATCACTTCCAGTTAAAGTTTATAATATTTATTTCAGATGTTTTTTTTACCCAGACTGAGCAGGCTGCTCTGCTGCTCTGCAGGAGCCTCTAACAGGAGCAGGGCCACGCCCATCAGCAGCTCGTCCAATGGCAGCTCCTGAAAATACAGACGCAGCATGAACGATGATGCACAGTGTGGAGATACTTTTATTGTTAATGTAGTTTTAAATGCTAATAAATAACCCCATGCAAAAGTCATAAATCTTAAACCATATTGGTTGGATAATAAAAGTTCCTGTCACCTGTCGGCAGACGGACACGAGCTGATGCATCGAGCTGAGGAGAGGGCGGCAGTCCCCGTTGAGCTTGAGGCAGAGCTGGCAGGCGCACAGAAGCTGCAGAAGAAGAACGACCTTCTCAGACCTCCAGCGCTCCTCAGAGGACGAGACGAGACCCTGAAGCAGAGCGTCGACGAATCCACACAGTTCCAGCACCGCCTCCACGCTGTCCACCTGACCAATAAAAACAAAGAGTGTAACTGTTTCATTAAAAAAACAAATTTGACATTTAACCAGTCTATCTAACTTTAAGTTGGCTGCAGACAGGACGGCGATTTTGTGATCAATTTGTGCCTTTTCTGCACCTTTTTATTATCATGATGTAGTCTTGTGCCTCTCTTGTGTCTGTGACATTCTCAAGAATCTTTCAGTAGTGGATAATGTGAAGACGGCTTAAGAGCGTGTGGAGTAACATCAGCAGTAATTAGCTGCAAGGAACAATTCAAATTACAGCATTAGAAAATTCAAGTTTTAGTCTGAGGAGGACAGAAACAGCAGCATCTCTCTCTCTCTCTGATCACCTGCAGAGCACGCAGACATTCCTCGCAACACAAACGCCACTGGTACAGAGCAAGTGGAGATTGTCTGATTTTTTTTTTTTTTTTTTACAATCTTTTTTTACGAAATCAAAAACAGTAGGCGGATACTTTGAAGTGGTGGGAAGTACATCTGTACATTTCTTTATGTATTATTGAGTTATATACACTTCAGCATCGTTGTTTCACCTGCATGTGAGGCACCAGCTGACAGAGGCAGAGCAGCATGCTGTCAGACACGGAGGAGGTCTGTCCCTGCTCTGATCCTGGGTGTTTGGGCAGCAGCACCCTGAGGAGACCGTGTCTGAGGAGGGCGTGCTGAGGCTGCCTCTGAGGTTCACAGTAGAGGTACCGCAGGAATGGAACCAGCATGGCGATGTAGGCCGCTTCATTTCTGCAGGATTTATAAAAACACAATTTAAAAAAAATAAAAACCCTGATCTTCCTGAGAATAAAACAAAGCCTGATCCACGCTGCGCATGCTGTGATTTATCAATGCTGCATCATAACATGACAGCGTGTGATTAGTTATTTGGCACGCCAAGCTTCTCACAGATGGCTTTGAAACGCATGCAGTGAAGGAGGGAGGAGCTGATTGGACGGAGGGTTCAGGGCCTCTCTAACCTGTCAGCAGCCTGCTGGATGAAATCATCAATCTCCAGCAGCAGAGCCGGCCAGCAGTCCGCTCGGTTCTCCAGCACCGTGATGAACGGGTGAGGGCTGTTCCTGTTTTAAAACAAAAGGCCGGGTGTAAATCACACATCCAGACTACCTGTTCTCATTTTAATCCCATGCAGGTGACACGGATGTGACCAGCGACGAGTCAGCAAAGTAATCACAAAGCATCCTGCAGGGAACACAAATCTCTGCACAAAGTTTCATAACAAAAAGTTACTCACACATTTCCCTAAAAAACAAAATCACCATTGATGAGAAAGGTTAACTGAGGAATATCACACCTGAACTGAAAAAAAAAAAAAGTCAAAGAAAAGACGTCTCACTCTGGTTTTTTTTTGTGTAAACTACAGAAACTCTGTGTGGTTGTAAAGATGAGTTCAAGTGGAGCTTCTTCCCATTACAAATGATCTTTGGCTGCCTAAAGGAAAGAGCTCCCAGACAACAAACAGGTTTCATTTTTTCCACATTAAACAATAATCAGCGACAGGCGATATGACTCATAAACAGTAAATGCTAAACAGACTTGAGCTTGTTTATTTCTTTTCTAGTCTTCTGACTCCTCAAAGCTCTTTTACACCGCAGGTCACACCTACACATTCACACACTGATGGTAGAGACTGCTGAGTAAAGAGTCCATCAGTATTAACTCATCCTTTCATGCACATTCATACACCGCCGACGAAGCAGCGGGAGCAACTTGGGATTTAGTGTGGCTGCAGGAGCTGGGGGTCGAACCCCTGACTATCCGGTAGAGAGACGGCCGACCTGATGAGTGAAAAACAGTTAAATCTTGTTGCCTGATAGCCCCTAGTAGTTATGTTGCACCCCATGTGCAGAGGGTAGTCATGGCTTGCATGGGTTCAAATCCGACCTCTGCCCTTTCCTGCATGTCACCCCCACTCTCTGACCTCCCAACGCTTCCTGTCTCTCTTCAGCTGTCCTGTAAGGTGCTGTAAAATGGCACCATTGCTCCGTCTCGTCTCCTCCTCTGGGAGAGTAAACAACAGACTACCTTCTTGAATTTGAAACCCATTAAGTCCAGACAAAACACTGAGGTCAAATCCAAGGTGAAGGGTCTGTGTGCTGTCAGGACTCTGCACACAGACAGGTCAGAAGTTAACAAAACAGAGTCCCCCATTAGGTCCACTTAACCAATCGCTTAATCAATCACCAAGTATCTGAGTGAAGGAAGGAAGTTCAGTGGCAGAGCATGTCTGATCCTGTGACGGTGTGCAAAGAGACCCAGACCTCCTCCTCCTCCTCCTCTTCTTCTTCCTCACACTGTAATCTGTCTGACCATCTCTGCCCCCTCCTCAGGTTCCATGTGGCCGTCTCTGCTTCAATTCAGCCCCCATCCATCAGCCTCTCACAGCACGCCAGAGCACTCAGCGTCCACACAAAGGAGGAGGAGGCAGGAAGACGAGCGGGGATCTTCCTCCTGTTTTTAGTTCAACTACAAGTTCACAGCTGAATCAGAGCACTGGCAGACAGACAGATGGGTCTGCAGCTTCCTGAGGGGTCTGCAGGTAACAGCGACCTCTGAGAGGAAGTCTGACACAGGCCGGATTTACTACCTGAGAGCAGTACAGACAAACTAACAGCAATAAAAGGAGCATTTTGTCTTTGAAGGAAATATCCTGTATTCTTTAAGGAAGAGTGTGCGACATAAAGTGTGCGTAACAAATAAATATATCAGAAATCAAGTAGAAGGAAAAGCTTCTTGTACTGAAACCTTTATGACAGCGCTCGCTCTCCTTCTCTCACGGCACCTTTTGGTTAAATTTGACTGAAGATCTTTAGATTTGTTTAAAGCTTTTGTTCTTATCAAAACAACACATCATGGTATCGAGGTTTTGAAAATGTAAATAACCTTAGAGCGTGCGGTACAGACATGATGTGTAGTGTGGGAAAGACAAAAATAATATCAGAGACGGGCTGGTGTTTCAGTCTGAACCGTCCCTGATCCCGCTGAGGCCTGAGGTGGCTGAGAGTCTCTGCAGCAGATTGCACAGGGCCGCGGCGAGCAGACGGCTAACAATGGGCATCAGTGTGCATCCTCCATTAATCCCGCAGCATTTACAGTCACCCAGCAGTGCCAGGGCCTGGCGACCAATGACAAGCCGGTCCTGCCAGGCCAACGGCGCCACCCTGCTGCCCTCGACGCATTCATCTTCACACCGGGGAGGTTCAGACCGCCAGACAGACGCAGACAGCAGAGACAGCGAGGAAGACAGAGAGGGACAATGACAGGAAGGAGGAGGAGAGGAGTGTAGGAGAGAGAGAGCAAGGAAAGAAAAAGTAGGAAAGGTAGAAAAAAAAAGACAAAGAAGCTGCGTGTTTTATCACCTGCTGTAACTGATTAAGGAGGCCCCGGAATCCGGGCTGGCAGAGGTGCACGAGGAGGAGCAGGAGCAGGAGGAGGAGGGGGAGGAAGCGGAGGAGGAGGAGGAGGAAGAAGAGGGGGAGGAGGAGGAGGAAGAGGAAGAGGAAGAGGAGGAAGAGGAGGAGAATAAACATTCAACACTAAAGTCTCACCTGATGGAGTACGGACAGGTGAAGGGCGTTCCTCCGTCTCTCTGATCCGCCTGCATCTGCAGCAGCCGTCCAATCACCTTTATGAGCCCCTGGACGTTTCTACACACAGATTCAGACAAATAAACAACAAGATTTATTTAAGTTCATTCAATACCTGATGAAATCCAAAGGGTATCCTGTGCACCGCCAACCAACGTTCTCAGGTGCCGGTCGGTTGCAGGGACATACAATGAAAAGATAAATAAACCATGGTACCCTGAAAAGGACTTCACTGTCATTTTATTATGAGCGAACAGCACATTTCACCTGTAGCTTCCCCACGTTGGCTGTCCAAACACATCACATCCAGAAAGATCCACAGGTTTTTATAAAATTTCCCACCAGTCACCCCACTGTGTCTTCTATAATAAAGGAGGTGCCTGAATCTATAACAGGTCAATTGCAAACGACTGTGCCGATGACTGACGTTTCTCAAAGCCATTTTGTGGGTCAGTAGACACTCAGGTTACCTAATATGTGCCCTTTAAAGATCTTTAAGGAAGGAATCGGACCCCCGATCAGCCCGATTATCCTGCAGTCTGAGCCAGGCTTTAGCTTTCAAAAGAGACCTTATCTGTGCTTGTAGTCCAAACAGTTCAAGAGCAGCACTCAGTTTCCTCGGACTATGTCTGGATAGGCATCTTAGGCACATTTTACAGGATCACAACAAAGGACATATTCACACAAAACAGCTGATTTTGGTCTTTTCTTCCAAAACAATGAGCCACATCGGGTTTAAAAAACATCCCTGGAGCTGAAGTTAGTCTTTGATGAGTCTCTGCAGGATCCTCTTTATCTTAAACATATTGTTCTTGTCCGTGTATTAACCAGTGATTTTTGCTCCACCATTCACTGGAGGAAAGGTCATTTTAAAAAGCTGACTCATCATTTTCCGTACGAGATGAGTCATAGGACGATGAGTTGGAAAAGGTCACCGTTCTCTTGTTAGGCCGGATCCTCACAGAGAAGACTTAATGGATCCGAGTCAGCAGAAAGGACGAGGACAGCGTGCCAGTGTCCCGTTACTAAAAGATGAGTTATGTTTCTGCACAGAGGCGCTGTGTCATGTTCACAACATGCTCCACTTCTGTTACAGGTACGCCATTTATTCCCCCTGTCATCTGTTTGAATGAGCTCAAAATCCAGAAGAGCATTAGTTACATTTAGCTCCATAAAATACTTCTTTGTGACGTTGACAATGCAGCAGTCAGTATGTCCTCCTTTTAACTTTAGATTCTGGTCCTGAATGCTCTGGATTTGTTTGGACCAGAGAAGGTAGGCGGTTTTAAGACACCCCCACACGACCGTTTTGGATACCCCTCGGTTTGTCAGATATGAGAGCAGTTATCAGGTCAAGCCAACAGGTTTGTTGTAGGTTTACAGACCGATGCAGAGCTGGATAAACACTGAAGCTTCAGTGTCCACCACGATGCAACCTGTGTGAGCAATGACTCTAGAGAGGAGGGGGCGGGGGGAGACAGCTCTCTACAATGTTTAGAATTTAGACTGCAGTACCCATTTTAAACACTAGGTGTCAGAGTTACATACTGCTGCTTCATCTGTGAATTTTAGAGCGTATCTAGCTCTGATTCTTCAGGGCGACAGCATCTAGGAGGTTTTCTTTTTTGTGTTTCCACTTATTGTTGGGGTCGTTACATTCAGACTGACGTCTCTGAGAGCGTTGGCCTTATTCTGACATATTTTGGGGTCTAAATCAACTTGCATCCTGAAACAGGCTACAGCACTCAGATGCTGTCCCCGAGCCCCGGTGTGAGTGTGTTTGTGTACCTGGCAGAGGGCAGGAGGTTGAGCACACTGTTGAGGACGTGCTGCAGGTCTGCGTGTCCCTGATCCGCCAGCAGCACCACGGCGTCACAGCAGGCTGAACGCACCAGAGCAGAGTCAGAGCAGCACTGCTGCCACAGAGCCTCCAGCGCTGGACCCTGAAACACAACACAACCAGACTTTACTGTCCTAAAGCAGAAGACGGTTTTAATCTGAGTGGATTTCTTCAGCTGCCTCCATGACTCCATCGCACATTTCTGACCGATATGTCCTGAAATGAAGTCACTGTTCTTTCAGAGACTGCAGGTTCAAGGCACTTCAACTTTAGCTGTATTTAACAGTCCCAGATACTCCCACTTCTTTCATAACATTTAAGATAAAGAATAATTTTTAAGCCACAAGAAAACAGCCTTTTCATGCGTCACTCACCTGTATGGAGGACTGTGTAATCTGTCCATTTGGTCCTTTCTCTTTCAGGACAGCAGCAACGAGAGTCCTCACCGTCTGGGAAAGAAAAAAAAAGACATTTTAAGCTAAAGTATGTTTTTTTTCCCTTTATGTTTCTCTTGGTTTCCTCTGCCTTTTAGCTGATGTCTTAATCTTCTCGCGCTGCTGGCAGGAAATGCTCGCTTTGGTTGCAGCTTTCACGACACAGTAGCAGGAGTGGGTTGGCCCTGACTTGCCGAGACGGCCTTGTGTCCACCTAATGTTTCTTTGTCAGCGCCAGAGCTTTTTTCAGTGGTTTTCAATAAGTAGAGAGCGTTTGCAGCAGAAAGCAGCCGCCTGGATGAAAAGCGCAGCGCCCAGCGTCTTTTTTTCCAAGCGCTCTGTTGTTTATGTGCGGCCGCTCCGAGAGCTCAAGTTAAAAATCTTCCAACTTTTCAGAAAGCCGCTGTTGACATCACGGGCGCTCTTTCCAAAATCTATGATAGTCCCTATATTTTAGCCTCCTACAGATCGTGTCTTGTACTCATATCCTCTTTGCTCCGTGTCTGCTGGGGAAAAAAACGATCTCAAATATAAAACATGCATCAAAAGGTAACGCAGCAGTGTCGGTCATACAGCGGCTGTTGTCAACAGACTGTTGTCATAGAGACAGGACGGACGTGCAGCGCTTTTCTCCTCAGCACACAAACACTTCATGCAGACACTCCCGAGCACACAGCCAGCGCTTTTCTGCCCGGAAAAAACACCATGTGGACACAGGGCCTAATCCATTACCTGGAAGACAATAGTTCAGGGGAGAGGACTAACTAACTCAAAAACAAACCAGAAGCCAGATATGGTAGACGGTTAGGCTTGGGGCTAGCAACCCCAACGTGTCTATATGCTACAGAAACGCTGACAACAAAAAAATCAGACTCTGGCAGAGGACGGTGACTCACCAAAAGGGGGAATATCATTTATCTTTTTTTCTAAAGGGACTTCCCATCCATTCCTTTCCTCTGAAGCAAGGGGAGAAGTGTGTCCTGCCTGTATTTAGACATGGCAGTAGATCGAGTAGTAAATCAAGGAGAGAGAGAGAGTGAGAGAGTGGGGAATGAGCCACAGCCACAGTTTGGACTTGAACCCTGGCTGCAGCTTGGAGGACTATAGCCTCTGTACGGGCGGTGCGACCTAACCGCTAGGCCATCAGTGCCCCCAAGGGAGGTGAGAAGAGGAGAACTGGGGATTGGGTTGAGTCAGTCACTCACCTGGGCTTGTATGACGGGGCTTTGGAAATCAAATCGTGCCTTCAAACTGTCCGCCATATCTGCTGGTCACACCTGGGAGGAGGAAGAGGAGGAGAGGGAGGAGGAGGAAGAGGAGGAGTAGGAAGAGGAAGAGGAGGAGAAGGAGAAGGAAAAGGAGGAGGAGGAGGAGGAGGAAGAGGAAGAGGAAGAGGAGGAAGAGAACGCTTTAGTAAAATAAGTAAACAACAGTTTTATCGTTCATTTTACTTCCAGTAAATCGTGTTTCGTCAGCAACATAAAGACAAACTTTCCAGAGAGAGGAAGCTTGGTGAACTCCAGAATATCACATATCAGACGTTCTCTGAAACAAAAGCTACCTGGAGCAGCCACCTGTTCTTCAGCTTTACCAGAGAAACATTAGTGCGAGCAGCAGAACTGCTTGAAGGTATTCAGGTTCTTTGAAAAATGACCCCTGCTCTCTGTGTTATCATATTATTGGCCTGCAGCCCTGACATTATTTTGGTTTGAATTATTCACAGGACATCAGAGCGCCGGCCCGCTGACTGAGTCACAGGTTGCTAAGCAGACGAGTGGTCCACATTACACCTGTGTGTGTGTCGTACAGGTGCTGAACACCTGCTGTCTGAGGCCTGAGCTCCACAGCTGCTCTTTCATCAGACAAGACTGTTACAGACTGTGAGGGGAGGGCGGGGGTGGTAATGACAGAAATGTGTCTGCTGGACTGAGAAGGAAAAGTAGAGTTGGTGATCAGCTTCAGAAAGACTGAAGCATAATAAGTTAGCCGATACCTGAGAGGAAAAAAGGGAAGAAGTTATCAGCCAACCAAAAGAAGGAGAAAATGACGTCCACTTAGAGTAGAGTAGAGAATGAATGTTTGATTCATAGACTGTAAATATGATGACGCCTGAGTGATGTCACCCGTCTGTTCCTGCAGGGGGCGCTGGAGTCCCATCGATGGCGGTCTCCATGCTGGAAATGCTGTCTCAGTCTAACTTTCGGTCAACCTAACGACAGGCTGAGAGCTGGAGCTGAGGTGGGTTTTAAACCTCCTGACAAACCGTTACACCGCGACCGCCTGTCAATCAGGTCAGCTACACGCTAACTATGGGTAACACGTATCGTTCATCAAATCAAAATGGGTGCGTTATATAAAAAACATGAGCTAATCACACCTATTTGGTTAATGTCTGTATTTTTGAATGGGTGTGTATGTGACTTCCTGTGCTTCTGCAGCCAGCCTCTAGTGGACACTCGAGGAACTGCAGGATTTTACACTTCAGCATCGGCTTCATTTTTAAATGAAGAAGAAGACGGCAGCTAACACACAGCGAGCTAAAACGACTGCTGCCGACTGATTTTTAAGAGAAAGAAAAATGCATTTTGAGTCTTGTTTTATACATCGAGTGACATCACAGAGACAATAAAGTTTCAGAAAGAGAGCATAAAAATATCAACATCCAACATTCAGCCCCCCTCCCCCCCTCGCTGCATACAGATAAAGTTTGTAGTTCCCCTTCACTGCAGCTTCCCTCCGTTAATCATGTAAACTGATCTATTGTTCTTTCGTTACTTTAAACAGGGAACAGGAGCCTCCCGTGTCCTCACCCGTCACCCCCTCCCCAAACACACACACCCAACCCCTCACCCCCCACCCCACTGCTGTTATCTAACTGATAAGCTGCCTGCTGTTCTGTACTGTTATCCACCCTGCTGCTGCTCGCTCTGCACCCACTCCCACCGACCGCCTTCAGCTCCACATGGACAGGTAAGACAGCAACACCTGCTACACAACGACGCCGCAAACTTACACGACCACACGCTGCTCAAAAGCTTCATTATTCTCATTTTAAGACCACACGGCTGTTAATCAGGTCACATCTCCAGCTCCTGACCTTCACACACATAGCATATCTCATAGGCTTTAAACTAGTTTGACGAGTTTGAGGGCTGCAGAAGTTTATTTTCTAACTAAAATATTTTCAAAAAAGTGTCAAGACTCATCACGTTTGAGGTGTTATCCATCATTTGAAATCACCAAGCGTCATCTCAGGTTGAATCTCTTAAAAAAAAAAAAAAAAAAAAAACTGTTGATATGCAGACTTTTTCCAGTGTTTTCTGCAGCATATTTACCGTACAGCCACACAATATGCGCCTGCCTGTACTGCCAGCTCTGCATTAGCCATAGAAGAAGAGGACAATGCGTGAACAGTGTTGAGCCAACAGTGCTTTAGAAATGACACGGCTGAGGCTTTACTGTGGGACTCACGCCGCTGCTGTTGCTGCTCACCGCTGCACACATGCCGGACACACACGTGGGATTTTTTTCTTCTTTTTAAAGGTCGTTCATGCAGCACGACGTGCACAGTTTCATGGCCGCGTTGAAGGACTGTAGCAACACAGATTACAGCCTGATTGTTGTATTCTTTGAAACATGAGAGAGATGGACTGAAAGTGGCTTGCTTAGGAATCGTTTTGATTCATAAATCAGCACTCGAATATGCATATTTTTCAGGGAAACTGTGGTCATTTTATAATATTTGTTTAGCAAAGAATCCCTGAGGCATCTTTGTGACCTCCAAAAACAAAACAAACCAACAGGAAAAATATTTAGCGTCTCTAAATAGGTATTACTAATGCCTCCGTCACTTGATCAGATCCAGACAAAAGACAGTAAATATTACTGGACGAAGCCTGGCTGACGTCCCCCGTCTGTTCCTGCAGGGGGCTTCGGAGTCCCTGCAGTGGCGGTCGCCATGTTGGAAATGCTGTCTCCCCCTAACTTTCAGACCAAAAAAATGAAGCCGATGCTGAAGTGTAAAATCCTGCAGTTCCTTGAGTGTCCACTAGAGGCTGGCTGCAGGAACACAGGAAGTCACATACACACCCATTCAAAAAGTCTGTTTTTACAGCAGAGATGTATAAGGTTTACAGCCTGGTTCAAAAAACAAATAGTTCTGATTAGCTCATGTCTCGATCGACACACACTGTACGGGGGGTGAATGTTTTAATGACTCATCAGTTTTGATTTGATGAAGGATAAGAGTTATTCACAATAAGGCGTGGAGCTGACCTGATTGACAGGTGGGCGCGGTGTAACGGTTTGTCAGGAGGTTTAAAACCCGCCTCAGGTCCAGCTCTCAGCCTGTTGTTAGGTTGACTGAAAGTTAGACTGAGACAGCATTTCCAGCATGGAGACCACCATCGATGGGACTCCAGCGCCCCCTGCAGGAACAAACGGGTGACATCACTCATGCTTCAAGCATTAATATTTACAGTCTATGTTATTAACCAGTTATAAGACACAAGTAGATGCGTTTGCCTCATTAAGATGCATCCTGCAAACAAACTACACGAACTGAGGTTGCACATGAACACAAAGTGAAAGTTCATCATAGCTGCTTTAATTACCCCCTTTGATTTGAGACATTATTTGTTCACGATTTTAAAATAAAGAGAATAGCAAATAGTTGTGTGTTTAAGTATCAAATGCAGATTTTTAACAAGCACCTCCAGCATGGCCACCAGAGGATGTACAGTGCTGCTAACCCAACGGAGGACCTTTCAAAATAAAACTTCCACCATACAGAACCTTAAGAGCAGATTCTTACTAGACCAAAGAATAACACGTCTTTTAAATGTCACGGTGTCAACTGTTGAGTTTAGCTTTCATACTTCAGGATTACTAAGCACAATCATTAGTGATGTGATAAATGTTGAGGGGTGTAACTCACATTAAAAAACAGAGGTGTACTCTGACAGCTTCTTGTTTTATGTTTTTAGGCCATCTCTTTAAGTCGATTATATGTATGCCGAATTGAAGCAACCTGTCTGCTTTGTCAAATAATTCAATTTATTTCATGTTGTGCATTACAATGCCTCTCCAGTAAGCTAGTAAAGCTAAAGTTGGCAGATTTTACAATGGGGTTCGCTGTAGCGCGTGCTCTAGTCCAAGCTAGTCGTGGTTCTGATGCTGGCTAGGTGACGCTCATGTCTTAGCAACAACAACTTCTTTTGAAACGAACAATTAATCATGGAAACTTAAATGTATGCCGAATTAAAGTGTGACAGCTGTTTTGTCAGGCATTTTGTTTCTGAAGTATTTTACTCTACCGTTGTTCTCCAGTTAGCGAGAGACGTAAAGTTAACAGATTTTACAATGAGGTTCAACGTAGCGCGTTCTTTCAAGCTAGTCGCGGTGCTGATGCTGGCTACGTAAGGTGTCGCGCGTTCCCCAGCAGTAACGTAACGACTAGGTAATAAACACCTGTTCGCCATTAGCATTTACACCCATTTATACTCAGTAATCATCATGATAGGCCGAATAAAGTTAGCTAAAACCGGCTAAAAAGAGCTAACTTACACAGGAGTTATCCACCGCAAAGCTAATGCTAGTCAACAGAAAGTGCACGAGCAATAATAAACAGTTTTATTGTTTGTATTTTTGCTTAAGACTTAGCTACATGTAGCATTTTATAGCCAAAAGTTAAAACTTTGGAAGTTATATATGTTGTTTGCTAAACTTTACCTCATTCATCCGCCTCTTGTTCACCAGCGTGGAGCTACGGCGCGTCTGGAGGACCAAAACAATAGAGTCCGACTTATCACAGACCACAACCTCCTTTTTGTTCATTTTAGGCAAATCCTTTTTTAAATCCCCTAGACTGTGCATTTTAAGATAAAGCCTCATTGTCACAATCAGTAGTTCGTTTTAAATATTCTTATTTAATACTGCCAAGTCTGGATTTTTGTGGTTGTTGTATTTTTACCTGGAGTAGCCTATTTGTGTCCTTTAGTTTTGTAGTTGTTTTGTGTTTTGGTCTTTATGATAAAAAATAGTTTAAATAGCTTATAGCTCTGTTGAGCACTTAGTGTCATATTTCTGCAGGAATAAGTCCTATAACCCTGCGAGTTTACATATTTGAGCCTACTTTCGATTCTCATGTGTCAAAGTAAACAGGTGTGTTTTGAAAGCGTGTTTCAGATGTATACCTTTTACTGTTGAACACTGGGTTGATAATTCTCTGTGGACTAAATGATTTGTAAAGGTGAGATAGGAACAGGTTGTGGACTCTTATGACTGCCCACATTTTTATGACAGTTTTGTTTTTGCATTGTTAAACAATTTCCAATTATTTTCAGATGTTTTCGAATTGAAAAAACACCAACATTTAAATGCTGTTTTTTAACCAGGGGTGTGTCCAGAGGGGTGACCACCGGTGACATGGTCCCCCAACTGAGCTCTGTTTCCAACAAGTGCACGTATTAATCTTGGTTGACTTTCAATGACAAACTTTGGTTCTCACAGCAATAATGCATGCAACGCTTAGCAGGGCAGAGTGCTGTCTGGCAGGGCCCCTTTAGGGAGGTTTCCTGATGTCATTGCAAAATGAACATGCATCTTCTTTTCAATAAAGAATTAAGGGAGCAACATGTAACTTTATCCTAGTGTTTAAAATGAGTACTGCAGTCCAAATTTTAAACATTGTAGAGAGCTGTCTCCCCCCGCCCCCTCCTCTCTAGAGTTGATGCTCTCACAGGTCACCATGTGGTGGACACTGAAGCTTCAGTGTTTATCCAGCTCTGCATGGGTCTCTAAACCTTTCTGTGTTCTAACCTCTCTCCATTTTTCAAAAGCATCTCCAATATTGATCCTAGTTTGAGCACGTTTCTGCTCGTGGAGCTTATTAGAAACATGCAGAGGCTTTTTAGGTCGGGTACAATCACTTCTATCTGAACCACTTCTCTTGCCCGCTTCCATCACTGCAACACCTGTTGACCTGATAACTGCTCTCATATCTGACAAACCGAGGGGCGTCCAAAACGGCCGCGTGGGGGTGTCTTAAAACTGCCTACCTTCTCTGGTCTAAAGTTAGAAGGAGGTCATACTGGCTGCTGCATTGTTGTCAGAGAAGCCAGCACTTTAACATAGCATGTTTCCTTAATGTCTGATCAGATAGTAAGATACCTTTATCATTTCATTCACTACGATTATCATTTGTGTGTGTGTGTGTGTGTGTGTGTGTGTGTGTGTGTGTGTGTGTGTGTGTGTGTGTGTGTGTTATGTCTTATGGTCACCCCTGCAAAAATCAGTGGTCCAGTTCAGCCACCCCAGTCAAAAAAAAGTCTGGCTCCGCCCCTGGTTAAACATTGGAAAAAGTGGATTTAAGATAAGAAAATAAACAAACACACTCTTTGCTTTCAAAATAACTCAATAAAAATGTTCTGTTAGTTGTCACGTGACTTTGTTGCGTCTGACCGGCTTTGAACATCTCATACAAACTGTTGAAGCACGCTTCATTCGCCGGTTTTCCCCCGGGACTTGAAGGCAACATAATTACATGAGGGTGCGAGCACCTGATTGGAGGACCGTATATTTGCTCTCTTCTAATAGGCTGCCCTCGTCTCGTGCTCCGTCTGCAGCCCCAGCGGGTACACCAAGCTGCGCGTGCGCTCTGTCCCTCAGCGTCGTGAAGTTTGCGGAAATAAGGAGTAAATGTAACGACGTTAAGAAACAATTTCCTTCAAAATGAAAGAAACTCGTTACGAAGTTTTTAATATTCTTTATTCAGCATTTTTGACAAACGCAATAAAAATGTTTACAATTCACACATTACTTCAAGCAGCATCTTTCGATTTATAAATTAAAATATAACAATCAAAAATGACCTAAAACAACCATTCATAAATATATAAAATCTTCACACAAATCTCAATAACATTTAGATTTATAAAATAACGTTTAAATAAAAAAATATATATGTTTTTTAATGAAAGTAAAACTTTCAAGACACTTCTTTTTTTCCCAATTATTATAATATAAATATACATATTTCCATACAACCTATGACTAAACTGACCCCCCGGGATTAATGAAGTATTCTTTATTCTGATTCTGACACTGAACCAGGAGAACCACCTTACAAACACTGAGTGTGAGTGTCTTAAGGTCAAAAACCTTATTTAAATATTTTATAACAAACGTGATGATCTTGACGAATATGTTCACTTTTTAAGACTCTGAATATTTTAGTTTTATCAGGCCATTAGTAGGTGAAATAAATGATTTTTAGTGAACCAGAAAAGATTCCTGGCACATTGAATTTAAAGAAGCAAATATTTGTCAAGATTACCCAAAACCATAAATACACCAGGGGGAACACCTGCAGCCAGACATATTCGCCTCTAAGTCATTTAACATCCTTTCAAAAAGCATCCAATGAGAGCAGCAGGAACGAAAGTACACAGTAAATAAAGCCGCAAATATAGAAAAGACATTTATACATCTGTTAATTAGTCTTAACGTTAGTAACAAAGTCTCAAATAACCTTTTTAAACAGTCCCCTGTGGTCTAAATGAAGCATCTGTGTTGTGCTTTGGTCAAAATATAACATGAATCAAGCACCAGAGGAGGTTTGTGACCCTGTATAAACCACTTCTCTCAGAACGCTTCGTTTTGGAGTGTGTGTCTCTTTAAATGTAATGAGCCCCCCCCCCCCCGAGTTTTCCTGGTAGATATCGCTCCTTCACTAGCAAGAATAAAAATGGCCGACCTGCACAAAAGTTTAGTTCTAGGCTGGGGGTGGAGTCCATGGGTGGAGATACCAGGGGAGGGGAGGATATATATATATTTTTTTAACCAGAATCCCACTGTGACATCACAAGGAGAGTAAATTTGAAACAGAGCATTTTTCTCTGTGTTGTAAGACTTATGCAGACCACAAACAAAGGACTGGATGGGTTTATTTCACATTATGTGGGTCTATACAAACTCAGGTTACCTAAATATATGTTAAAAAACACTGTACAAGTGGATTTTTCAGAATATGTCCCCTTTAAAAATTTCCAGCTGCGTGTGTTTTATTTTGAAACTGTGCGGCGGAAACTACCTGTCTCAATCCGGGTGCTTGACCGCCGGTGAGCCTTTGAAACTGTTGAGCGTGACTGCAGACCAGGAGAGACCATGTCCGGCGTCATAAGCAAACTGTACTCACCTCTACTCTCATTTATAACTCATTCTCCATGAAATAACAGGCACAAGGGGCCCAAAGGATGGCCAACTCGGTGAGTAGCCGGCCCGAGGATTTACTCGCCATTCCGCTCTAACGGAGTGGATGTTTGGATATTTTTTCTGGTTTGTCACACCGGAGGAGTCGGTGGTTTTTTCACTCCGTAACGAGGATTTTCGTACCGAGCTAGCACGAGCCGATACGTGCCGCTATCTCCTGCACGAACGTTCCAATTCAAAACCCAACCTAAAAACTTTTTTTTGTAGTTTTCTTCTTAATGACCAAAAAGTCGCGTTTAAAACTCGCCAATTAACACTAATCAGAGTGACTAGAGTCCATTCTTCAATTCGGCGTTATTTTACATAATGTTCCTCAAAAAGTGGCATGTAAAAATGGGTAAAATGCCAACTTTCTGCAGGGGTTTTCTTGCATTTTTTACAACCATATAGAGACACTTTATGGGAATTTTAAGATAACTGTTAAATGTTAGTGATAATACACGCATGCTTATATTGTTAAATAATGTTTCGGCTTAAATGAACAGTTGAACGTAGTCAGTCCAGCTCTCTCAGGTGTGTTGATTAGGCGAGGAGGAACATTTCATTAAATCTGCTGATTTTTAAATGGAGTTTTGTATGGCATGCTTCATTCAGAAGACATGGCATTATAATGGCTCCTTCTTCAGAATAAAGGAGTAAAAGTAGCATGTTAAACCCATTTGATCTTTTTTTTTTCTTTTTTAACTATTTTTGCAGTTTTATTGATCAGTAACCCAACATCATTTTATCCCAAAGGGTGCTGTTCAGGTGAAACTAGAACTTGGTCATCGAGCCCAGTTCAGAAAGAAACCCACCGTGGAAGGCTTCACCCACGACTGGATGGTGTTTGTGAGGGGACCGGAGCACAGCAACATCCAGCACTTTGTGGAGAAAGTAGTTTTTCACCTGCACGAAAGCTTCCCCAAACCAAAAAGAGGTAAGACACCTGGGCTGCTATTTTACTGCTCTGATTTCTCTGGCCCTTTTGTTTGATGCTCTCTCTGGAGCGACTCCTTCAAAGCAGCTTTGTTTCCTGTGTTATCAGCACTCATCCTGCAGCTGGATCCCACTGTGTGTGGAGGCTGGCAGAAAACCAGAGTCTCCTTGTGTTTAGAATTCACGTTTGGTTCGATGATTACTGGAAAGCAAATTGCGGAGAAAAGTCAATGGGTTTTGGTTCTGGAGAGCATTTAATGTCCTGTTGCAGAGTGTAGGTCGGACACACTGGCTCGTAAAACCAGTGATGTGTTTAATTTCTCTGTAACTCTCAGAGGACCAAAGAGAAAAATTGGAGATAATGTTTAATGGAGGAAAATGTGTTTTATGGTGTGTAGGAGCTGCCCATGAAGATGGATGCTCCCTGCAGAGCAGAATCACACCTGATGTTGCTTTTCATCTTCGATGTTTGACAAAAGGACTTGTGTGTTGTGTTCTGTTTGTGTGGTTGTTTGCAGGTTCTCGTCTCCTAACAAACCAACATGCTTTAAACACAAACTCCTGCAAAAACGAATCGCTGGATTTGATTCGATATCGATATCAGCATCACCTCTGTTACGGCCTAATGCTGCATTCAGGTGCTCCTTGGATGGTCCCAGTTTCTGAGTCGGGAAGTCAGAATGTTGTAACAACAAAAAACAGCGTTGATGCTACAAAGACGATGTGTAGAATGAGTAATATTTGAGCCAAAAGTTGATGTGCAAAAAAGTATCTGAACATTTAAAAACATGTTTTGCTCCCCCATGTGATGACCAATATGACGTCAAGTCAAATTCTTTCCGGAGTTCTCGAGTTGTTGCTCCGACTTGAGCAGGCGTTCATGTGCATTTAACCACTCGGAAGCTCGTTTTTCCAATGTGTCCAACAACACATGAATGCACCATATATTGCAGGATTTGTGAAGATACCTTGGTTTCTTGGCTCTCCAGAAAATTGACTTATTTCTTCTTAAGTTGTCAGGATACCTGATTTTTAAAACCCTGATCCGATTCTAGTTAAAATTGAAGGATATCGATATCGTCACCCGTTTTGATGCCACAGCAACAAAAATTTAAATCCCTAGGCGCCAAATAGTGTCATTTCTTGTTCTTAATCACCTCAAATTGCAAACAAACTCCTGCACATTGTCTGAACTGCACAAATACGTTGTTGTGCAGGAGTTTGTCTGTAGTTTTTAAAGTATTCAATCCTCTCCAACGAGAGGAGTTAAAATGTTTTGTATTTTTTATTAAAATAACAGATTATAACGTTTTACAACAATTTGCGTCAAAAGTTTCCATGTTGGCAATGTTTGGGTACTGAATTGTTGCCAATGCACTTTAGTTATGGCTCTCTCTGACGTTAGCTCGCTCAGCTTTAAGTAAGATTTGAATAATTAAATATTTGGTACCTTTCGATACTATCGATCATTGAACTATATTTTTTTATTGCAGAATATCGGAGCGGTACTGTTTATCGTTGTGATGTTTAGACATTTAAAAAAGGTGTCAGGAAGGAAGACGAGTGTCCACATATATCTATGGATCAGTCAGTGTAAGCATGCTGATTCCTAATTGGTTGTTGCATCAGTTTGCATGCAGACCGTCTCTCTCTCTGTTTGTAGCAGTCCTGCTTGTAACTCTTAGATTTACGACCCCGCTTCAGGACTTGTCTGCTTTCCTCCGTGTTGTGCGTCAGGGTCTTCTTTGTGGTCTGTGGTGTGCTTTTAGTTTGTGAGCTTCAGGAGTCCTAATGGAACATCTGGAGAGGAAGAGATCAATTAAAAACCTCCCCTGGTTCAGGATTTTTGACCCCACTTCAGCTCGTTGTGAATTCAGGAGTTTTCTACGAGCCAGCGCTTGGCATCGGTCCAGTGTTGCTTCCTCTCGTTTGTTGCTCGACTGTACAGTCACTGATATCCTCACACTGTGGTGTATTGTTGTGTTTGTTTTGGGTGTGTTTCTACCTGTTAAGTCTGTCCACTACCTGTTAAGTCTTTCCACTTGTGATCCAATCACTAAGGACGGATGTTAATACCAAATGTAAACAGGGAGAAGTGCAGGTCTTTATTTGTGTAACCTGTTTCAAAGGAAGGGATGAGAAGGTTCGTGTTGTTTTACTCAAGACTCCTTTTTGAGACTAAGGGCTCGTCTCAGAGTCGAAAGCATTTTTACTCGGTCTTGTCTCGGTCTCAGGCTGGGCGGACTCAGGATTTTAAATCAAGACCACCACTGGTCGTCTATTTTTTTCCCCGTCATTACTGAGATTAGAAAGAAAACTCCTCTTTCTAAATGAACAAATAACTTGAATTCATTTGTAGTTTGATTTTTTTCCCCCGGTTACGGCCACAACCTTCCCGGTATTACGGTCTTAGTGAGTGACACAGCCCCTGAACACAAGATAGTGATTTTTCACTGATATTTATGGTCTTGGTCTTGTCTCGGTCTCACCATGCCATGGTCTTCTCTCGGTCTCGGATCACTCCGGTCTCGGGTTTGTCTTGGTCTTGATTAGTGTGGTCTTGACTACAACACGGGAAGAGACTTATAGGGAGTTGTCACACACTTGAATCATTTGGATACAGTAAGTTGTTCAGAAACAAGGTTTGGTTCTTTAGACATGTGTTACCAAAGCAACAGTCTCTGATGAGGACCAAAACAAGCGAGTCGAGATCACAAAGATGAGGTGGTCTCAGCTTGCTTCAGACTCCCTCTTGTTCATGCGCTGATTCAGAAGTTTTTTTAAAGGTCACATATTCTCCTCCTTTTCAACCAGTTTAAATAAGTCTGAGAGCTCCTCAAAACATGTGTGTGAAGTTTCTAAATCCACTCTGATCCTGTATTTGATCATGTCTATAAACCCCTCTATTTCAGCCCTGCTCAGAACAGACTGTTTCTGTGTCTGTACCTTTAGATATGTAAATGAGCTGTGTTTGACCACGCCCCCTCTCTGGAGGGGTGTCTTGGGCTTTCTCGCTCCATGTCCTATTGTTTATGGTGAGAAGGCAGACTCAAAGGGCAGAACAAACACCTAGCTGTGGGAGTGTCACCCACTTGGGGGAGGGGTTACTGCCCTTTGTGATGTCATGAAGGGAAAATCTCCAAACGGCCTGTTTGAGCACACATTTTCTGAAAAGTGGAGCAGGTAAAAGACGGAGAGGATGGACTTTTCTCATCATTGGGGGGTTTGTAGACAGAATAGAGACACATATTAGAGTTAGAGAAACATGGAGAGGTGGATGTTGCAGAATATGTGACCTTTAACATTTATCAAATATGTTCATCTACCTAAATTTTGATGAGATATTTGACCTCCTCGCTGCTCAGTCAGCCCATGATTCATTTTATTATGTTCACAATCTAACTAGCAACCAGTACACATTGCTTTATTTTCTTGCATAGTAAGGAAACAAGGCTGTGATGTAATCGTGTACAGGCAGCTCTCCATTAGTTTGACATTTGGCCCCGCTTTGGAATATTGCAGTGTGAACGCAAAACGCCCCAGGGAGATGCCACAGTGAATAATTTGATCACCTGAATCATTAACAAGCAAACAAGCTATGGGTGTTAAATCACCCTTAATTAAGACCCTTGTGTTTGACGTTTCTGAAGGAACTTGTGTTTGATTTCCTGCAGTCGTTAGTGGATTTTATTTCGGGGTCTTTGGGGTGAAAAGTCGCCCTGTACTCGAAGTCTGTTATATCGAGTACCTACATCACCGTGATAAATAAAGCTTAAAAATGAATGAACTTCAAGCTCTCAAAAGTTGTGAAAAAGTGCACACCAAGTGGGAAACCTCTTACTGTATTTATGCTCCCTGCTGCCTCTGTTTCGTCTGTAAATCAAACTCCTGTCTGCTGATATTGAACCCTCAGAGCTCAAATTTCTCCTGAAGGGCTTTTGATTACAAAGAACCAAATGAGATCTGGCTCCTGCAGGCTGCATCCTTCTCCCTGCACTTTCTGTACTCCAGCTATGTCTTGATAAATGTGACGTGAGGCTCAAAGAGTTCGGCCTAGAGCCCAGCAGGAGAATACTTAACCTTCAATAAGTCTCCCGCTTTGACACATGCCATGAGATCTTTGTGGAGTCTTTGGGGCCTGTGTGTTTTTACATGGTGACAAATTGCGAGCCAAAGTGCTTCCTGATCTGTTGGGACTTCAGAGTGTTTCCATTTGAAAGTCAGCCCTGGTGTAATTAATCAGAATAACTCGAGTGTTTCATGTGTTTAAACTGCTCAAGGGAGTTCAGCATGTTGTCACATTTCAACTTAAACCACCCAAAAGTCAACTAATTCTCCATTATTGCATTCATGGACTTACACAAACTACTCGTACATCTACACTCCACATCTGTTGAGCAGAAGTTTAGACTACTTTTTTTAACTTCTGTTGCATATTTTGAGGTCTAATGTGTTCTAAAAGGATTCAAATCACTGCGGTAGATTGTTTCAGCCTGCAGCAGTGAAACAGGCTTAATGGCTGCAACTAGATCCTGAGGGCACTGCGCCCAAACAAAGGGCCACTAAAAGTTCTTGTTTTTGTCAGTCCAATTTACACTTGGACAATAATCATGGAGATTTAACTTCTCAGCGTTTGGAAGCACGGTGCGCTGAGTTTATGATGGTGAAATGTTCCTCTGTTCAAGTATAGTTTGACATGTTCCGACAATGAAGAATGCTTAAAGCACAATTAACCATCTGGTGTCTTCAACTTTTACTCTAAAGGGCACCTCGAAATGATCTTGCTACTAGACCAATATCCAGATTTGGTCTGCACTGGGACTGGAACCGGCCACCCTCCGGTTCCCAACCAAAGTCCTTACAAACTGAGCTACTGCTGCCGCCCCAAAGAAATAATGATTTGACATTTATCATGGTAATTATCAATATCACCTGAGATGAAAATTATTATCAGGAAAACATTTTTAGTCATATTGCCCTATAGGGCTGGGAATCTTTTGG